TTTTTTTTTTTTTTTTTTTTTTTTTTTTTTTTTTTTTTTTTTTTTTTTTCTCGCACCCAAAGATCGCGATATGCATTCCAATAATCGTTGCTAAATATATCGGGTCCATCGCCCCGGAATCCACGGTCCACAACCCAATTGATATATCCATCATCTTCCATATCTCCTCTATTTTCTTTCCATCCAAACGCTTTGAACACCCTCGGCTATGTGCATCGTGTTATTCCCCATTCTCCAGCTTCATTGAACCTCCCATCCTGGCGGTCTGGACCTTCTGTCTATGTACCACTGACCAGGGACGGTCTCTCCGGGTTGTGCTGTGTCCAACAATATCCATTTCGGTATAGGTTCATGGAATCTAATCCTGGCCATACCTGTGTTCTCGAGTATATATATGATGAAAGAATCTCCCCAGGTCTCATCATCATCACAACAACTTCAGTCTTCTCGACCATTCAATCCTATTCAATCCTATCTTCTCTAATACGCTATCTCTACTATCTACTTCTTTCCTCTCCACACTTTACTTAAACAAACCTTATCCACGCCTACTCAAACCTATACAATGGCGAACCAATGCTCCGGTCACTCCTTTGCCATCACCCAGGCCAGCAACGGCAACATTCTCACCTGGCACTGCCATGACTGCACCGGCGGTCCATTCACGGCCGTCTGGCTCTGCAAGATCTGTGGCTACGTTCGCTGCCACAGCTGCCACCAGTCCAAGTCATAATAAACATACATGTTTCGGTATGTTGCTATCTCCAATGAAAACAACCACCTATCTATGGAGCAATGACTGACTCGTTCCCCAGATATGCCCTAGACTAGACCACGCTCGCTACGCCCTCAACCTGCATTCCGTCTCTATCTCACATTCTCCACGAACGGACTACTTTCTAGCTACTACTTCAACTCGACACTTAATATCTTTTTACGAATCACAGCAGGATCTCATACCCTGGCTGAACGGCATTGGTGTTAATCGGCGTCCTACCATACACATACACGTACTGAACGACAACAACAAACCGTCCTACACTCGCGCGCTACCTCAATTCGAGCGCTACATTAATAATGACTGATCCGCTGCATTCCTTTCGTGCGACTGTTTGTGCTGCTATGCTATATCGTGTTGTGTTGTTTTCTTATTTTGTTTCGTTTTGTTTCGTTCTGTTTCATTTCATTTCGTTGCATCGCGTCGCGTCGCATTGCAAGCTCGGGGTTCCGGTTATGGTCAAGGTGTTAATCTGCGATGCATTCTTATTTCTTTTTTCTGTTTCTTTTTTCGGGGGAGTTTCATGGCGTTTTGGGAATCATTGGACTGGGCTAAATTGAGATACACTACACTATGCATAGACATTAATGAGCAATCAAATCAGTTAATCTATTTTGAGCTGTTATGTTACTTTTGTTGTCTGTACTCTGGGCTTGTGCGACATCGCATTGGACTCGGTTGTGTCCGTGTTTCGAGGCTTGTGGTACAAAACATGAATCTTAAAAAGTTTCGTGGTTTAGGGGAGTTCAGGGATAATTAAATATATTCGAATGGATATCTTGTAACTTGTCCTGCACGGCCAAGAATATATATCATATCGACTCTTCTACTGCTTACACGTATAATTAATTCTTAGTACTTCCAATAAAAAAGAAATAAAAAAACAAATTAGCTAAATTGCTAAAAGAGAGGTTTAAAAAACCAAAAAAAAAAAAAACAAAAAATAACTGACAAGAGTGGGATTCGAACCCACGCCCCCTGTCGGAGATCAGGAAACTTCGAGAAGTTGTGAGTTAAGGTAACCTTAACCTGACGCCTTGGACCGCTCGGCCATCTTGCCATTTGTTGAGATACTGAGTCACTCATTGATTTCATCATAGGCCTAGACCGATTGGACGCGACATTCACTTTCATTTTCTCGTAGAACTATCGTGACATCAATAGATAAATCCGAAAAGGAGGTATGTGGTATATAAAAATCGTAAATAACATCAAAACAATATATATCATCAGATCTTTTCCATATCCAAAAATTCGTCATCCCGTTTACGTGTAGATACTCTGAAATTTATGTTAGTCTTGTCCAATAAGCACAAGTGATATTACAACTCACCTCAGTAATCTGGTTCACCTGCAAACCAGGCTCAGCCATTTCAGCATCCTTCAAGAAATCAAGTGGCATCCAGACAAGATGTCCCTTGATCTTGTCAAGCTGCTCGCGAACCTGCGTAACCGGCTGGAAAGGATCGAACAGATGGCCCTGCTTCGAGCCCTTAGGCGAGAACTTATCATAGTCCTCAAACGTCCGGATGTTGTCGTCAGGATCAGCGCGGAAGAGCAACCGGAACACCTCCGTGTTGACAGTGGCCCGACCAGTCCACATATCCCAGAGTCGCTCACCCAGGGGATCCGCGACGAAGTCGTTCTCGGGACCCTCCAGGATCTTGTTGGGGCAGACGCCTGGGGGCTGCGCGTTGGGTTCCCGCGAGGCGTCATAGTCCTGGGCCGGAAGCAGTCCCAGGTGTTCTCTCCACAGCTCTCGTCGGAGGGTGGCAACGTGGCGTCCTGCCTTGTATGGCTTGCCGTCCATCCAGCTGTCCATGAGATCTTCATCCTCCATAACGATGGCGAGCTCGCTGTCATGGAATCCGAGTTGCGACTGCAATTGTTAGTTCACGCACATCCACACTGTATAGTTTCAGACGAGAAAACTTACTCGATCGTTGATGTTCGCACTACCACAGATAGCGACCCGGTCATCCACGATACACACTTTACCGTGGATATAGAGTTCTTCCTGGACAAAGTTGTCCTTCTCACCCTCCGGGTCACCCTGCCAAGCCTCGTCGGACATTTTACCCCCATTCAACATGGTGGTGTGGGCAACCGTGTCTTTGCTGAACAGTCCTTCGTCAGACTCGCGAGCCTCGAGCCGCTGCTCGAACTTGTGCAACCGTTCAATCTTCTCTTCAATTTCACCAGCCCCAGTCTCGTAGTCTCGTTCGCCCTTGTCGCCCTCCTTGCCAATTGCAGGGTGGACACTGTCACTCATGATCGTCTCGGCAATACCACGCTGGATATCATGGTAAGATACGTCGGCATCCTCCTCAAGCTTCAGCAGAGCAGGGGTCTTGTTGATACGATCGTATGCACGCAGGTTGAAGAAGAAAATGTGCTCTGTTATCTGTCAGCAACGCAAAAAAAAAAAAAAAAATAGCTGGTGACTTACGTGTCGGGTCAACGCCCTGCGCCTTGATCTGTCCAAAGATTGAGTGTTCACCACGGCAGATCGACTTGTATTGATAGTCCATGATCGCCCGAGTACCGGTCGCCTCAACCTGTCTCAAGTCACCGGCAAAACCAGGAATAGCAGGGATCAAAATGATGACCCTGAACTTTCTTCCCTCTTTACCAGCCCTGACACAAGCTTCGACAATCGCGCTTCCAATAACATTGTGAACAGGCGCCTGGTGCTCACCCGTAGCGGTGACTGGTGGTTATGTTAGCAAGATGCTCTCGAGTGGCCTGTATGCGTGACATACTGAAGAACTGGTTTTCGATGTAGACGAAATGCTTCGCGTTGCGAATGATCTCAATGTAAGCATTTTGGATACTATGCTCGAGCAAAATACCACTGCTCCAATCGGCACTGCTGCGCACAATCTGTGCCCTCACGGAGCCCTGTCTTCCGCGAGGCTTGGTGTTTAATGGCCTGAATGGATGTTGAACATAATCACCACAGGGGAATTTCGGACGCTGAACCGCGACGAGGTCTTCGTCTTCGCCAGTGCGTCCCTCGAGCATAAGCCAGTCCACTTTTTCATCCCGCTTGTGCTTGTCTCGCTTAACGAAGTTCCAACGGAGGACGAAATGCTCGGCGATATCGTATACACAGTCGCCGATCAGACCCATGCCAACGTCATGCCATGGCATACGGCCGTATTCTGACTTGCTAATCTCATTGCTCTGCCACTGCGCCACACTCTGGAAGTCCATGATGCGGTTGTTGTTGAATTCCTGACCGGGGAAAATGTCGTTTTTGAAGTTCGAGGGATGACAGTCAGCCAAGGGGTGCTGATGAGCGTCCCATCGTCCGAAGCACAAATCGATACCACCAATGAAAGCCAAGGCGTAATCAATGACGATGAATTTTTCGTGGTGAGCCTAGCAACGGTTAATACTGTGTTCATTTGAATCAACTTTCTTTCAATACATACCCAGTAGAGGGTCATGTCTGCTGCATTCTCGAAGATGTTGTGGTCCGGATGGCGCAAGACCTTGATGTTTTTATAACCAGGGCTTCCTTCGGGACAGAGGCTTTCCAAGGCATGCTTGGTATGGGCCGAATTGCAAGTAAGCGCTTGGTTGACCTAAGTGAGAATCCATCAGCCGTCAGCCATCCGCAATTGGCACGTTGAAGCCAATATCTGCTAACCTCCTTGTATACAATGATGTAAATCTTCACACCAGCCTCAGCTCGCCGCTTGAGAATTTGATCCAAACGCCATTCTTGATTGTCGAATGGGGGTCTCCGCAAGAACAATTCCGGCGAGATCCACCAGTCCTCCAGGTAGATGACCTCCTGGGCCTGGTCGAGCGCAATCGAGACCGCCCAGAGATAGTCCAGAGCATCGACATACCACTTGAGGTTGTTGTTCTCGTGAATTGGAGCGTAGGACTCGAATCGATGAGACTCCGCAATGTCAGTTCGCTTCTTGTCAGTCGCTTGCTCGTGCTCTTCGTCATGGCGGTGGTTGGGATTAAGGACGTTGAAGAATTTTCCGAACTTGTGCTTCATGTGGTGGGCCTGGGCTCTGGCATCGTGGAAACCGGTGTCTGTCCACAATTCCGATCAGTAAAGTTTGATTTTGTATCAATTAGCTCTCTCCAACCTTTGAATTGCTCCTCCAAGTTGTCTACCTTCTGCTCGATCATAGATTTGAGTTTATTCATGGTGGCCGTTCCCGAGGGGTTGTCCCACTGTCAGACTTAACGACGGCGCACAGCAGGTGGAGTCCAACGAATGACAGAATATGTATGCAAGAGAGGTTGCAGCAGGGCTATGTAGGGTTTATGAACGAAAGCCAACGTTATGTACGACCCTGACGGGTCAGACGAGTAACTGGCGGTAGCGATAAAACAAAGCGGAGGGGAAATCGGAGGTTATTGTTTGCCCAACACGTGTTTAGTTACCCCCCGCCCTGACATCATCTAGCCCTTTTATTAGCGGTGAGCGGTGTGCTAATTGCCGGTTTTTCGGGCCTTGTCCGCCCCCAGTGCCTTAAGCAGAACCACTCAATGGCTCTGCCGCTGTACGTACTCCGTAGCCAACTAACTTTGCGATCTGCCTTCCTGGACGAGATTGGCTCAGACTTCTGGGTCTGCTAACACTTATTAGGGCTTGACCCACAAGGGCCCGTGGTAGGAGGGAAAATGACAATTTACTTGTCTTGGCTGCTGATGACTTTACAGAACATACGAACACTATGAGAGCCGCGCGCAATATTTACAAGAATGATGTCGATTTCACGGCGCTTTCGTTGCAGTCACCGGAGTTTGCTAAATAGTATGCTGTCCGTGGTCGTGTGACTATCTATGACTGACTCTGCCAGTGTGAAACCAAATGGACAATTGGATTTTACCGACCCGGATGCAGTGCGGTACGAATTGAGACATCGGACTCGCCGACATGGTGGCTGACTGGCGGTAGGCAGTTGACCAAGAGTCTATTGAAACAAGACTTCGATCTGGAAGTCGACATTCCCGAGAACAGATTGTGTCCGCCAGTATGCCATATCTCCACCACTGAATTTCGTTTGCTAATTCATTGTATCAGGTGCCTAACAGGTATATCATTGGAAGAATATAGATTAGCTCACCGTCTAACTTTGGTAGATTGAATTATATCCTGTGGCTGCAAGACTTGTTAGATACCACCGGAGACGAGTATCGTGATGACTATGACCCTGACCGCGACGTTACAGGGCTTGACATGTATTTCTCCAGTCCCCCGATAATTAATATTTGCTGATGCACGCATAGAGGAACAGGATGCTGTAGTATCTATCCACTTCTTGGATGCGCCTTGAGGCCAAGTTGGAAATTTATGGCTACAGGTAAGCAGTCGCGCCCTGTGTATCGAATCAGAGGCTCACAAAACAGATATCGATGATGGAAACATCCAAACTGCCACAAGAACGGTATCTGCAAACGGACTCGAATCGCGGATTCAAATAACCAAAACAGACTCCAACAGCGAACTCATCCCGTTTAAGCAATCGGGAGTTGTACGGTTTGTACAACACGGACCGGAGATTTCTAACCTTATCGCTGACATGGATAGCCTTGATTTTACCATGTGCAACCCTCCATTTTACGCATCGCGCGATGAATTGATTGCTTCTGCAGAGGCGAAAGAGAGACCACCGTTTTCAGTACGTCACGACATCGCCTTTATTAGAGCAAGAGACTAAAGAGTTGCAGGCATGCACAGGAGCAGAAGTCGAGATGGTCACCTCCGGAGGTGAGCTTGATTTCGTCACGCGAATGATCGAAGAAAGCATCCAGCTTCGCGAGAAAGTCTTATGGTACACCACCATGCTCGGGAAATTAAGTAGTGTCTCTCTGGTCGCCGAGAAATTAATCAGCCACAACAACCATAACTACGCCGTCACAGAATTCATCCAAGGCTCAAAGACTCGACGGTGGGCAGTTGCATGGTCATGGACCGATCTACGTCCGGCAATGGTACGTCGACTCTTCCGTTCGCATGGATGATACTGATTATTAGTAGAATGTCGCCCGCGGCATAACCAGCTTTCCCAAACACCTCCTCCCCTTCCCCTCCGAATCCACACTCGTACTATCCAACACCTCAATCGACGACCTCTGCTCCAAACTAGACACAGAACTCACCGCCCTTCCGATCCAATGGCACTGGCGCCAGAACCTTAGCACGGGTATCGGCTTCGCAAAAGAGAATGTCTGGTCTCGACAGGCGCGGAGGAAGATGCAGAACCCCGAGGCTGCGGAGAAACATAGGATGGAGATTGACGAGGGTCATGCAGCGCTGGGGTTTAAGGTGCAGTTGAAGTTAGATGGGATTTCGGAGACGAGGACAAAGGTTGTGGTGCGGTGGTTGAGGGGGACGGATTCCGTTCTATTTGAGAGTTTCGTTGGAATGTTGAAGAGAAAGCTTGAGGGGAGGTAACAACGATCTATCATGTTATACACCAATACAAAACGAAAGAAAACTCGTATTCACATCGCATATACTCATTAACCAAAGCAAAGCAAACTTTTACGAACCAGTCCCAACCTCACTCTGCAACTCCTTCAACCGACTCCACCCCTCACTATCCTCCCAGAAATCCTTCCCCTTGCCCAGGATTCCCCTAACAGCACTCCTGGACTTAAACCGCCAATCCTTCGCGACCATCTCGCTCTCCCCATCCTCATTCTCAGCCTGTCCTTCCTTATCCATAGGTCCGTACTTGGCGTAACCATCGCGCACCAGGCGTTCAGTCGCCCTAACGACATCCAACCACTTCTTCTCATCGCCCATTTGGAACGCGCCCTGCGCGGAGGAGGCGACGGTCGCGCGCCATGCTTTCTCGTGCGCTTCGAAGGCTTTGCTGGGTTGGTTGCGGAAGTGTTCGACGCGAGCAACGAGGAGCCACAGCGAGGGGGAGTGCGTGATAAGCGGGACAACGGAATTGTCGATCAGCGAGAGGATCTGTCCGGGGATAGTACCGCTGCGAATGACGCGTTCGGAATTAGGATCCTGCTCGTCCACGTTAATGAGGAGGTCTTCGTAGTCATAGACCGTGGCGAGGTGGTCGACGAGCATGCCCAGGATAGGATGGTCGATGCTCTTCTCGCCCTTCTTGGGGCCGAGGAACTCAATGAGCCGGCGTTGGGCATTGATGACGTCGCGGAACGGCGTGTAAGGTGGTGGGATCGATGCTGCGACGGTGAGGACGTTGTCCCAGATGCGGGGGTCTTCGTGCTTGAGTTGGGCGGCGCGTTGGAGGGCCGTGAGGGCTTCGCGCTTGCGCCTGAAGGGGTCTTGGGGCGCTGGTGCGGGCGTGGTTTCGTAATCGGCGTCGGCGTCAGCATTAGCTTCTGCTGGTGGGTTTGCGACGGGGTCCTCGGATGTGTCGTCGGCGGGCTTGGAGGTTCGGAGGATGGCTGCTGCCAGGTTACTCCATGCCTCTGCGTCGCTTTCTTCGAGCTGAACGGTGCGGGCGAACGAGTCAACGGCGTCTTCCCAGCGTTTAAGCTCCAGCTGGACACAGCCCAGGGCGAACCATGCGCCATGGTTGATGCGGTTGATGTGAAGACTCTTGCGGTACGCCTCTTCTGCCTTCTCCAGCGCCGGCGGCTTCATGGTGAGATAGTGACGGGCCAGAGAACGCTGGGCACGGGCGTAGCGTTGACCAGAGACCTCCCACGAGCGCTCGTACATGGCTGGGTCCGTGTCGATGTCACCCAGGATACAGAACAAGCGGGGTGCGTTTGCGGGGAGGGGAGACAATTCTGGGCCCTCGAATGTCTCGTTGTCGCCTGCTGGTTCATCTTTATTGGTGGGTTCGTAAAGCTGTCCGCGAATCATCTGCCTGGCCTTTTCTTCTCTCTCTGTAGCGGCGTAGCAAAGGGCAGCCTCGGCCCACATTTGAAGGCGTTCGTAGATTTCAAGTGCGGTTCGCAAGCCTCCAAGGTCAACCCAGCGCTTGGCAAGTTCAGCTTCGAGATCCCATCTTGTCGAGAAGCTCAAGAGCCAGATGTACTCGAGTCGTTCAGCAGCGGATGCCGATTCGGACTTTTCGGGTCTGGGAAGGAATGTTGAGGGTTCCTCGGTAGATTCTTCTCCAGTTTGTGCGTTGAGGCTAGCGGTGTCTGCAATGACCTGATCCACAAGAGCTTGCATCTGCAGGACGGCTCTCTCAACTGTTCGTGTCCGGTAACCCTCGATCCGACTGCGGAGCAACAATGCCTGCGTATACACTTGCCAGTTCGAGCTGCCACCCTCAAGGACACGGGTGGCGTAGGGTTGGGTTTCCTCGCGGGTCAGACCGTTCTCAGGCGTAGTGTTTGTAATTGCTGACACCAGTGCAAGCAGAATGGAAGAGTCGACGGCGTCGAGAATCGGCTGGTCGCCAGCATCAATCGAGGCCAGCGTAGGAGAAAGACCGGATTCATCCTGAACTGTCATCGACTTCTCCTCCTGAGATTCTGGCTCCTTGGTGAAAGAAATAGACTCCAGAAGGGTATCGTCGTTCAAGTCAAGGTTCTTCGGACCAGCAGGTTGCGAGTCATCCTTCTTTTCAGACTCCGGGGCAGCGCTCTCTGTAGTTGTGTTGTCGTCTGCACTCTTAGCCAGAATCACCAGCTGACTGATGTCACGGTCCTGGAACTTGGTCCTCTTTCCCATCCGTCCAGTCAACGCGAACTCGAAATGTCTCTCTGCAGCAGCACGCTCAAGGTCCGCACGGGCCTTAGCGTCGAATCCATGGTGAGTATGAATTGTAGCCCTCTCGAGCAAGAAGCGGCCCTTCTCTTGCGGGGTAGACGTGGAACCCCCACCAAGCAGCACCTTCGACAGCTCATCCAGATCCTGGTAGATAACATCCTGCAATGTACTGGTAACTTCCGAAAGCATCTTCTGGTGCAGGAAGTTGACACGCATCCGAGCAGTCCTTGCGACGACGGGGCCATCAGTCACCAAGACGTCAGCATCCAATATGGCCTTAGCAACAGCAAACAGCTCCACGTTGGGAGTCAGCTTGTACGCTGCCTCTCCATCCACGGTAAGCCCACGGATGATCTGGTCCCGAACACCACGGAGAGTAGCCACTTCAGACCGCAGAGCTGACGGAAGGATAACATCTGCCGGTTTGAATTTCAATGCAGGTCCCGTGACGTTGGACTGCAAAAAGGAAAAGAGAGCCGCGAGGCCGATATGCAGTAATTGCGAGCGTTTCTCCCCTGTTTGCGACTGGGCAACGGACTTTGTCTTCTCGGTCATGAAAGTAGTGTAGGACGTTTCACCGCTGGATACCTTCTTGATGGCATCCTCATCAGAGGGAGTCTGGCCAAACACCTCTTTTGCAAGCGGCAGTTCGAGGATCGGGACCACCTCTGCATCGACCAAGCGGACGGGCTCATACTGGCCCTTGAGCGATGCATCGTCGAACAGGGTGTTCAACGATGCTGGGAATGAAGTCGTCTCAGCCATTTTCGAATCTTTGGTTCTCTTCAAGACAAAAAGAAGGACGAATGTGGGGTATCAAGCGTTAAGGTACACCAAACAACGTGGAACGACGCAAAGCGAATGGGTGACCGCAACCTACTGCATGCTATATGGCAATCTGACAGTATTTTTTGAGCCCCTGCCAGCAAAATGAGCAATAACAAAAGTATACACAGAACAAGAATCTCAAATGAAGCCTTCCCAGACCCCGCCGCTTTCTAATTTTTTTTTATCGATAAGAGAATTTTCGGAGGGCGGTGGGGCTGACGAAGAGCCGTGGCAGTAACAATAACAGTCAAGAAGACGTTTGTCATCTCCGCAAAAAAAGATTAGACACGCACTTTTTCACCAACACACAGCTCCAGGTGGTTCTCGGTAGAAGTGTATAGAAAATGGAAATCTCACATGAAGATGATTCAACTCCACATCATGTTCTGATGCGTAGAAGGACTGACGTATCCAAAAGGAAGATAAACACATTAGATTGTTCCTGGGGTATCTGCAAAGACAGACATCGAATGCATAAAACGCCTCGCGAACGCAAGAAAGAAACATCAACTCCACGAATGCTAAAATATACAATAATATCCCATATAGACCATCCAAAAATTCACAAAACCCAACCATTATACAACAAGATAGATCGTAAAGTTTCAAAATGCCACAGGTAGACGAGCATCACCAGTCTTGCCCCCGGTCTCGCATCAAAATCTCGATTGCCTCATCTTCCGGAACCGGATTGTCGTTCAGCTCCTTGACGCACTGTGTCAATCCCTCAGCGGCTTCATCGACTTGCTCAGCTGACCACCCGGTGCAGGCCATGACCATTCGACGGTAATTCTGTCCCAAGACCACATTCTTGGACTTGAGACGTTCTACCTCTGCCAACAGTTCATCATTCACTCCCTGGTAGCAACCGATCCGCTTCCGCAGGACCTCGGGGGAAGGCAAGGAAGCGAGATATGCAGATTGCTTTTCAGATAACCCAGCTGTTGGATCGAACGATTCAGGGAAGATGGACTCGAATTCTTCGATACCAACACCCGACTCTTTATCCGCATCTCCGACGGCCGCCATCTTTGACAGGTCAAGCGATTCCCCGCGCTTATCCTTGAGGACTGTATAGAAGTCTTCTAATGAACGTTCGAGGTTCCTGATCCGCCGGTCAAGCTCAATACGATCAGTACCCTTGCGTTTGAGATCATCGAGCCCCTTTTGCTCGATTTGCCGAGCCTTTGCGGTCTCACGGATCCTTGAATGCCAATGATCGAACTTTTCTTGTTTCTGAGTTAGACTTGAAGCGAGTTCATGGTCAAGACCGCCTAATGCCTCTTGTACCATTGTGGTGACTTGAGACAACGTTGCTAATTGCAGTTAGCATTGGAAACAAAGGATGAAAAAGAAGATAACCTACCATCTAAGATCTCCTTCTTGGTCTTAGCAAGCTGATCCGTAAAAGAGTCTCCCTTGTTCGCCTGGGAATTGCCCTCTATCATATCAACACCAACACCATAGTCTGCAGGCCGGAGACCGGTGTGGTTCGGAATGTGAGGGTCTGCTCCCACTTCCAAGAGCTGGGGTACGAGAACAGAGCGTGCACGTCCAGCCAGGTTGAGTGCAGTATCTCCTTGGTCATCCCGTAAATTGACAATCTCAGAAATGAAGCGTCCGAGTGTTATGACTTCACCCGTGATTGGACCATTTTGGCCATTTTCGACAGTCCCATTGGGGGCATGCGCATTGACTGTCGAACCACCATGACGAACAATAAACTCGAGTAGGGCCTCCAAGTAGTGCTTAGCCGACACATGGCCTCCGCCTCCTGTTGCCGCCATCACTGCAATGTGATGTAGGATTGTCCGCCCACTGTAATCAACCATGTCGATCGTTGGCGCAAGTACTTGTAGTAAGCGAGGGAAGCTCCGGTAATCCAAGTTGTTTCTTGTCCCAACAGACTTTTGCAGGGCTGTTTCCCCTGCACCGTTCACACGGTAGATGCTCACGCCCTTCTGAATGAGCGAGTGGACAAGGGGCATGCGAGCAAGCATCGCGGCCCAGTGGAGTGCATTGTTCTGATACTCGTCAAGAGGAATCTCCAGGTCTTCGTTGGAAAGTTGGACCAAGGCCGGATGGTTCGAGAAATCCTTCGTCCGCTTGTCTAGGAACAGGGTCATGATGAGTTTCGTCTTTTGGAACCTTTCAGGGGTCGAAGCTGCAGGAAGAGGATCAGAGGGACGCGGGTGGCCATCCACCATGGAAGCTGGGATATCCATTTCCTGGTAAAATGATTCATTTGGTTCTGTTGGTGTCGGCTCGTGCATCGACAGATTTGAGGGCTCCTGGTGAATCCCGAACGACTGCTCGTGATGGGAGGTAGATCTAAATCGTTTGCGAGGGGGTTCTGCGGATTCCTCGTGATGAAGGCCTGAATTATCAACAGGTGGTAATCGCCCGCCATTCTGCATATGGTTGTTGAAGCTATTATCGGACGCTATGCTGTACATGCTCTGCTGAGCGTTGAACGGCATATGAGGCTCGCTGTTGAATGACTTTTGCATGACGCTCGGCCGTCTGTTGACATTTCCTCTGGCGGTCGGGGAATCGAATCGGGCTTTGCTGATGGCATTGACGGCTGTAGCGGCGGTGCGGGAGATGTTCTGAAAAAAGGTGCCCTGTTGTGGTTGAGACATGCTGCGATTGCCATCCACGCCACTGTATAGCCGCTTGCGCTGCGCAGCCATCGCCTGTTCCTTGGTCGGAGTATCCATAATATCGTGCGTGGAGCCACCGGTGCCACTTGCGCCAGGATCGTATTCGAGCAACGGTCTTAATAACTCTTCGACGTGATATTCCCGACAAAGATCCACGCCCCTGTGGAAGGTCACCCAAGTACCCTGGTATTTACCATAGCCACCTTGGACCTTTTCATGTTCACCGGCCGCAATCTCCTTCTCAAGTGTTTTTGTCCTTCGAGCTTTGACCACGCCGGCGACTTTAAGGATCTGAGTAGCGTTCAACCATGAATCGTCACGACGTTTCATCACCGCAACTCCGTTGACTTCCATTTCATAAACGTGCACATTGGAATAGACAGCCTATAGCGAAGAGCGCAAAGTTAGCATTTTCACTCAGGACAGATAGAACAAGTGTAGGGGTCAGACCCTGTATATTTGCGGCTTAAAGTCTTCATGAAGGTTTGATATTGACGGTAAGCCATTCGGTTCATCGAATCCACCATAACTACTCCTCGAACTGGCAGGCATACCGTGGCCATTGGGATAGCTAAACGACATGGTCGACTGTTGCGATCCCTTCGGGGGCGGTGGTGTTGCTCTTGGAGTTGATGCCACGGAATGAGAAGTGTTGAACGAACCCATTTGCGATTGCGAAAAAGCCATGCCATTGGTCGACCCCATGCTACTTTGCGAATATGACATGGGAAGGCCTGGACGTCCAACAGGGTTATTGCTGGAAACCATCTCCGGGTCGGTCTCGTCAGGTCCTCAATCGGTTTAGACAAAGCGCATGTAGGTTGGAGACCTGGGAATAACAATGCGATTCTGTCAGCGATCACAAAACACCTCGTAGTATTCCCTAAGCATGCGGGGACCAACCTCTTGTCCTAAGGCAGTGAATGTCGGAGAAGTCGTCGGAGCGCGCAAAAGAAAGGCGCGTTGTCGGAAGGGGCAACTGCACGGTTCACAAGTCCTGCGGAAGCCCAACCAAGCAAAAGGCACAGTCCAAAATATTCAAAGAGGGAATCGATCTCTTTGTTTCTCTCAACCAGTAAGATAGACAGTTTTTCGGATCGTGCATGCAACGGGGAAGATCGAGGCCGTGAAAGTCGCGGGGTTTCGTCGGGTCGCGTCTCGCGCTTGGCGCTTTCGCGTGACTTTTGCGTCAATTTCCTTTTCGGGCCGCACCTCCGATTCCGATGTCTTTGACCAGCGTTGACTGTGTCGCAATCAATTGAGACGCTGCCGGGAGGAAGATAGGGTTTCTATCACAGTTCTTTGGTCATATCTACTCATCCGCTGTACCTCTCTCATTCCGCCATGATGAGGACTCCGAAATTCACCCCGAACACTACTATACCCTCCGAAGAATGGCGGAACCTCCTACGACCCTTACTCCGCGAATGCTCCTACCTCCCTGACCCCATCGCAAAGGGACATATGCGCGACCATGTGATGCAAAGATTCCGTCGATACTACTTTAACACCCAAATACAGCAAGAAGCAGAGCACCAGCGCAAACTCCGCAAAACAGCATTACAGCAACTATCTCTCCTCCGACGCGCAAACGAAGGATACACCAAAGCACTGGAGCATGTACTCCGGCTATCATACGGACGGACGGGAAAACGGCGGAACGAATTACTGTGCAAATTGGTTGCCCCCGAAACTCCTGTGGACAGCCAGGAGGTGGCCGAGCTGATCAATAAGCCTTTTGCGTACTATGATGGGTGGGAGCCGCCGTCGGTTGTGAGGGCATTGCTCAAGGCGCAGCATGCCCATGGGATTATCCATGAGTTGCGTGTTCGTCCGCAGATCAAGTCCATCGAGCCACGGATACCCGAGGGGAATAGTTGGGGGAGGCCAATTGTTGCGGTGCGTCGGAGGAATATTAGGAAGAATTGGTACACTGCAGCATTGAAGAGTCTGCTTCCACCAATACCAGGGGAAGAGCTGGATATACTGGAGGGGTTAATTTCGGGGAAACAGCATTGGGAGCCACCGAAACGGAGAAAGGTGATAGAGAGTCCCAAAGAGGAGGAGGACAGCTACTTGAGATTCTTGGTGGATGGCCCACAAAAAGGACATACGTTCAGAGAGTATGTCGATGGTCGACCGCATAACATCACACGGCGATTTATGCGGAGGTTATGGCGACGCATCGACTGTCTGGTTCCTCGAATGTTGTGGAATGATGTTAGTCAGAAGTACGATTTCACGTGGACTGCTGTAAGGGCTATGGCGGAAACGTCTTTGCCTATGGACGATGACCCAGAGATCTTTGGGAACGTGGATCCGCAGGGTAAACTGATTTCGCAGTCCAAGGCTAATCAAAAGAGCAGGAGGCCTATACTGGAGTCAAACACTGAGTAGAATAATATGGTCTCCTTTAGTTCAGGTAACGATTATATGGCAATCTCCCTCTTTAGCGCTATTATATAGAACATAGGCAATGGAATCACGCAAAGAAGTAATAACTATCTTCGCAGGTGAGATATGGGTACAACACGCAACCTGCCATACTCATCCTCCACCGGTCTCCTATCTGCGGTACATAAGACGCCTAAATGAGAACCGCGTACAATATCAACACCATTCCTCCCCCAAGCCTTCTCCATCTCCTCCCGGAACTGGGTCTTGGACTTCTCATCCCGCACGCGCAGCTTCTCAAAGAAGACATGCCGCGTAGAACACACCACTCATATTACCGGCCATACGTCCTTTCTTTCCCAGAAAATCATGCATAGTCTTCGAACTGGGCTTCTTCTCGCCATTGGGATAAGCCGCCTTGGCGATATCGCGTATAAAACCCGCCTACGTGACCATGAGATCACGCATATGATTTCTGATCTTGCGCCGGACCTCATCACACGTATCGTAAACCGGAACCTTCAGGTCCTCCTCTCCAGGCAGCGTAACAGAAGACACATCGTACTTGGTCTTATCCTCTGCAGTCGTCGCCCTCTTCCTTGGCGGCTTGAACCCCTGCAACTCCCGCTTTTTGAAGAACCGTGCTGCGTTGAGATACGTCAAATACGAGGAGCCCTTGTCGCGACCCTTCTGCCGCATAAGATGGTCACCGAGGAAGTCGGACAACGGAGTACTCGGACAAAGTAAATTAAACGAATCTACTACCGAAAAACTTGTAAGGGCCAATTGTATAGATTGCTCCTTTTTTGACTTCATTGTCATATTATTTCGTGGCTAAACTACACGTGGTAAATAAGACACAGATTTTACTAGATTTCTATGTGGTGTCCGAGTACTCCGTTGTCTGACTTCCTCAGTAGCCATCTTAAAGCCCAAGTACGAGCGCGATGACACGTTAATGGCATCTTGGAACTAGCCGATTTTCATCTCGCCATTGCTGATGAAAGCATCGATCTTGTGACGGACCTGGTCGTAGTTGTTGTCGATCCAGTCGAGGCGTTCGTTTTCGCTGTCGATTTCGGGGATGTCCTGCTGCTCTGGCTGCGGGGATTCTTGGGCAGCGTCGGCATTGTCGCCGGTGGTTTCTGTGGATTTTCTTTTGGGCATTTTGTGCTTTAGTTAGGGTAGTGTAGAACGAAATAGAGTGGATGAAGTGACGCGTAGTTGTTGAATTTGGGAGGAAAGAAGAAAAAAGACAGTAAATAAGGGCCCGCCGCGTGCTCTACCGATCCCAAGACGCATCACTGACCTCAAATCTTGTTGATAGATCCATCGCGAAGAAGAAGCGTCGAATAGTTCATCGATGGGATAGTATCTCGTACTATAGACGCGTCTAATTGAACAATAGTCATTGCTTTAGAAGTCCTCAGCGCGAGTCTCGCGGATTTCGCGCGTTAAATGGGGGAAATTAGTAAAACCTCGATATAACGAATAAATTCGTTTTAACGAGATTATGGGAACTCCGAATATAAGCAATTCCTCGCTGTAACGAGATGGGTTATGCATATTATGCAAGGAGATTAGTCATTTACCGCGGTTTTATGCACATTCATCCGTTTTTAGCCCTACGGAATACAATAGACGGCTTTCCAAATTTAATCTTCAATAAGCTCCTCGACAGCCCATATAGCCCTCCCCATGGACACTCCTCGTCCTGTAACCGTATACGCCGCACTAGAAACCTCTGCCGTTTGCCTCAAAAGATTACATCACCCCTGCACCCACGAGAAAACAGGCACCTTCTCCTCCGGCACCACATACTTGGTCAGGCCGTAGGATACGCAGACTCCAACTCCGCCAGAACTGCCAATGCACATGAGAGAAAAACACGCAGTGGGAAGAAACTAAAACATCCAATCATCATCATCGAACGAGCCGAGTGATTTCTCCGGCGTCAGATTCCCGGCTGAATATTGCCCTTTTCAGCCAGTATTCGTCCTACCAATGGTAGTCTTTAGCAAATATACTTGAAGGTGAAGAGTCTTACATGAGGTGGCGTTATCTTTTGGACTTGTTTTCTTGTTCAGAACTGATTTTCCCACCAGGCCAATCCACTCGAGGTCAGGAGGGGATTTGGGGATGTGAGATTGGTTGTGGACGGCGAAGGCGATAGGCTTTCCGCGGCCTCCAAGCTAGTCTTTCATTTTGCGAACCTTGTAAGAGATGGTCGCTTTCTATCCGTTTGGGTCGACCTGGCGCGTCTTGTTGATCGTGGTATTGGTTGAGCATTGATACCAAGGCGCCTCGGAGCTGGGCACGCTCAAGTAGAGTAACATGCGTCAGGTGAATGTCAAGTGACCTGAATCTGACAGACAGATCTCATTCTATACTCCCTGCCAGTAAAAACAGTTTTCTGTCTTGTTGCAGGTGCATCAATTGGAACGGTTTTGCCTAAGACATTGTACCGAGAATCGTAGTTAACACATTGTGATAGCTGGCTGGCAGGTTAATTGAATTAGGTAAAAAAGCTGTTAAAAGGGCCACCCCGCTGTTATCGAAATGTCTTGTCACCGGAACAGAACGGGGGGAGGAAGACAGCTCCCGGATATCGGCGTTCTCTATTGTCTGCGCAAAAATGTATTCGAAATCAGTGTGCCCTTTACTCCTTAGAAGACTTCATATTTAGTAGTTCTACCTTGGTCCTTGGTTGTTACGCTACGAATTTTTGATACATTGGAATCGAACTATGTTGCACACACACGCAACTATCGTCCACAGTCGACCCATCCCGACGAGTTATTAACGACGGGGCAATTCGCCTAGAGAGCGACATAATCGCGACTTGGGTAATACAGATCAATCGAGGGAAAAATATTCCGGGAAAAAGGAATACGACCTCAGTGGCCGCATTATCATCCCCGGTCTCGTTTTGACGCACATGCACACGACGCAACCGTTGCTGTGAGGGACAGTTGATGATCTTGAACTTGTCTCATGGCTCTGTGAGAGGATCTGGGTGTTACAGGGTAATATTACCGAAGCAGATGGATGTGCCGCTGCGCGTTTGAGTATTGGGGAGATGTTGAAGTCAGACACTACGTGTTTCCTAGAGAGCATGGTAAGTTCCATCCCATGGATCGGAGACGGATTGACAGTCAGCCCTTGACGGAACAATCCCACCTCTTTAGTTCGCCAATCGATACGGATTTGATGGACTTTGTCGAGCTGTGGAAGAGAGCGGAATCCATGGCTGTCTGGGCAAGATTGTCATGGACATAGTCCAATACAGCAGCTAAAGAGACAGGTGACAGACAGGCTATCAACAGGTACATTTACTAATAGACATGAGTCTGTCAGTTTACCCTGGAGACACCTCTGATGTGTCCTGAAAAAAATATACATTTTCCCGATGCCTTAAAGACTATCACAAATTAGTAGTTTGCTCCTCATATTCGCAAATTTGGCCCAACAATATAATGCAGAAGCTCGGGAATAGCCTGTAACATCTTCATTTTCTTTACTTGATTGAAACGCAGGCCTTATTTCTTGACCCAACATATAATTGAGACTGTTAACTTTGAAGAGGGCGAATTCAACCAATTGCCGGCATACCTCCGCCAGAAATACCAACGACATTGCCTCTCTCAGCAAATATGGTGATGTCGCCAATGACGCCAGCTCATATAAAAGTCAGACATTTCCGCCATCTATAATAGATCTCTCTATATAAGACCTCGTCTAGTCGCGAATTATGGATTTCCCCAGTTCCACAAGAATATCACTTGACCATTGGACAATAGGTTACGGACCTACAATTGACATGACAAGATCATATCTAGGACATGATCTTGATATGCAGGGGACATGATGTGATAGAATATAAGGGGATAGGATATATAAGGACACTCATTCACGTACTTAGCCTAGTTCTTTGCAGTTAATTCAAGACATTCAGCATTGGTTACCTCTTTAGTTTCTGACTCGTCCGCACTTAACCAACAACTGAGTATGCATACTCAATTGGCAAGAAACCTCCGGACTTTCACGGGATCTCTTTACTCTCTTTTTAAAAATAATAGTCGCAGGCGGGAACTTGCACAATATTGTTACATTCAGACTATAAGACAGCATATTTATAACTCGCATTATCGAATCAATCCAGCTCGGGAGAAATAGATCCACCGGTCTTAAAAGAAAGTGCTAGACCAGCCACTCTTGATGGCAAATGAAAGCTGGCTGCCTGTGTTGGATGTGGATTCAACATGCATATCACACTCCGCCATTTGCGGAGCGAATTCCAACTTTGCATTCTGCTGATTCAAAAGATCGCAACGGGTCAAATCATCCAGAAAACAGGTATCTGGGATGAGTGTTTGCTGGTAATTTGGTTTATTCGGCCCATTGTCCTTGTTTCCGCCGACAGAATCACGAGAGGACTGTATGCACATTTCTTGTAGCCCGTAGGGGCTTTGCTCGCTGGTAGTGTTCCCGGGGATAGTAGACTCAAGTATCGAGTATTCGCCTGGGGTCACAAACCACCGCGGTTGCTGAGGCTGTTCTTTGTGTTGTATTGTTTGTGGGACATTGTTGTCGTGGATGGATGGACTGATATCCATCACCGTAGTGCCAGGCACTTCTTCAAGATACTTGGGCTTTTTGCGAATCCCGTCATAGCACGCATGGCCCATTCCTCGTCTAATACACATGCCGCATGGTCGCTCATCACCTGCTCGAACATATATTAGCACTCTCCACTTTAGCCGTGGTAGGTTTGAGAACGGTAACATCCAGAAGTACAGGAGCCGTCTATAATGAGCACTTACCACACATTCTGTGAGATCGCTGGCAAGAAACACAGCTTTTTCTGGCTTTCCTTCCGCGACGACTTATCTGGACTGTGGGTATCATGCCTCCTGCTGCTTGGCTGTTTCCTGAGTTCGAAATGCCGTCGGAATCCCGCGAGTAGGCAGGGTTGTTGGTCTTTGGAAAGCCAAAATGCCAAGTGCTCGTCAGAATTGATCCAACGCGATCATATTGACTGGCCCTCTCACCTCTAATTCCATTTCTCACGGTGGTATTGCGAATATGGAAAGATTTTGAGCTTGTGAATGCAAAGATGAAAAACATGGGCGGAAGATGCAATAATGGTATCTTGCAGAGAAACAGAGGGCAATAAGGATAGATTGCATTGATAATTTGGGCCTTTTATAGGTTCTAAATAGCTATATGTGAACGGTTAATTCTATATAATGAGGTAACTCAGCTTCGAGTCTCAACTAAAATGTGGTTAGCGGAAGGATTCATTGTGTGCTAACGGAACCTGCATAATGGTATAGCGGAGCATGACGGATACGACGATTGGGCGCGCTCTTCTGTCCACATGATGTGGTGTATTCGGTAGAAAGGAACACTAGGAGTTTTCATTTGTCTGTCTGGGCTGCGTACTTTGAAACATCTTATCAGACAGGGTGAAGTTAGCGTCTCCGGATAAGCATAGTTGCATACGAGTGCAAGTACTTATTCGGTTCCACACTACAAGTTTGTTTGGAAGGAGAGGGCGAGAAAGCTACCGTTGAGTCCGGAGGTTCTATGGCCAGACCTCTCTCCACACCAAAAAGAGAAATGACGGCTCACATCCATCTCCGGACTCTGGATTGCGGAGTTGTGGGGAAGCCCTGGGGGGGGGAACTTCGGGCCAGACGATCGGCTTGCCCTCCACCACTCCATTAGCCATCATTGCGCTTATACAAAGCTTCTTTTTGCTTTTTGTTTTTATCACCACTCTTTGTTCTCCGTTCCACCGACAACATCCTTATGCCCGCCATTTTGACCTAGAAAGCAATGACGCCCGCGAATCACGATAATACATTCTCGTCACGCGCCGCATCCCGGCGAAGTAATGAAGTGCATGCTGTGACTGAATCCTATAAAGAAAGGCCCCGGTTTGAATGGAACACCTCACCCATCCTACAAGTTCCATTGTGCGTTATCTTGTTAACAATCATCATCATCTCAAATCTTTTCAACATCACTTCTTTATATCAGCACCTATCTTGACTTCAATCAAGATGTCGATCCCAGAAATGCAATGGGCCCAGGTTGCCGAAAAGGCTGGCGGTCCTCTGGTTTACAAGCAAATTCCAGTCCCCAAGCCCGGACCTGATGAAATTCTGGTCAAAATCCGCTACTCGGGAGTCTGCCACACCGACCTGCATGCTATGAAGGGCGATTGGCCCCTCCCCGTTAAGATGCCCCTGGTGGGTGGACACGAAGGGGCGGGTCATGTCGTGGCCAAGGGCGAATTAGTCCACGATTTCAACATCGGAGATGGTGCCGGCATCAAGTGGCTGAACGGGTCATGCCTCTCCTGCGAATTTTGCATGCAAACAGACGAGTCCCAGTGCGAACAATGCTCGCTGTCCGGGTACACGGTTGACGGGACTTTTCAGCAGTACGCGATCGGTAAGGCTGCGCATGCCTCGAAACTCTCCCCGAACACTCCACTGGACGCTGTCGCGCCGGTTCTGTGTGCAGGAATCACGGTCTACAAGGGGCTGAAAGAGTCGGGCGTGCGCTCGGGCCAGACGGTGGCCATTGTCGGAGCCGGAGGTGGATTGGGCTCCCTGGCGGTGCAATATGCCAAGGCGATGGGCATTCGCGTGGTCGCCATTGATGGCGGGGACGAGAAGCAGGCTATGTGCGAGCAACTGGGTGCCTCAGTAGGTTAAACGTCTAGCAGTATGTCGTCACATTGCTAACCAGCGCGGGGGTTGCCAGGCATTCGTTGACTTCACCAAATCCAAGGACCTTGTCGCCGATGTCCGAGCTGCAACTCCAGGAGGCCGCGGGGCTCACGCGGTCATTCTTCTGGCAGTCTCGGAGAAGCCCTTCCAACAGGCCACTGAATACGTCCGGTCGCGAGGATCGGTGGTAGCCATTGGCCTACCTGCTGGCGCCTTCCTTAAGGCGCCCGTCCTGAGTACGGTGATCCGCATGATCAGTATCAAGGGAAGCTACGTCGGAAATCGACAGGATGGTGTGGAAGCGATTGAGTTCTTCGACCGGGGCTTAATCAAAGCGCCTTTCAAGAAGGCCCCGCTGAAAGATCTTCCCCACATCTTTGAGCTTATGGGTAAGTTAACCGCTCTTTTTCAAAATGTCGCTATATATATATATATATATTTTTTTTTGTCTGACAAACAAATCAGAGCAAGGCAAGATTGCCGGTCGATACGTGCTCGAAATCCCGGAATAACGGGCTTACTCTACATGACGATACCGGTACCGGTTGTATGAAGCACAAAGGTTCAAAGAAATTGTTGTTTTGAGAGTCATGAGCGTGTTTACTTTGGAATGTGGGGAGTGAAACCGTAACTCTGTTGGGAGGGGGTACTATGAACCAGAGTGGAGTTAGAGCCGAGAGCGAAGATTGCAATAGTCGCATTTTGATCAATTTGAAATGAAGAGTTCCACAGCATTATTCTTATATGACTAGCTAGTAGTGCGTGCTCTTGTCTAAGACCGCTAGGCGTTGTCGACAAGCAATGAGACCCAATATTAAACCCTGTTTGTAGAGAACACTACAGGTAGATATAAGAAACGCGCCAAGTGAGTCTAGCTGCTATATAAAGCTCGTTCCTCATTTTCGTTCTGTGGAATTCTGCCTATATCGATCACGAAAAAAAAAAAAGAAAAGAAAAGAAAAGAAAAGAAAAGAAAAAGCTTATCGAGATAGTCTCTAATATACGGAGTAGGGCCGACCTCGAGCCGTCATACAGATCCCGAAAGTCGACTGGCTTATTGGCTGAGTAGGACAAAGTTTCCCCGGGATTTGACAGCCCCCGCAAAGGATCGGCCAATTGTTTGCCCCGCCCCCCTCCCCCCGATGCGGAGGGGCATTGAACGTTCAAAAAGCAAAGTCTAATGAAACAGGGCCAAGCAACCTCGTCTGCCAAAAGTACGGCTTACAAAAAAAAAAAAAAAAAAAAAAAAAGGACTTGGTCTTTAGCCTCACTGCCTTAATCTGACGTGTGATCTTCCCCTTCGTCCGAGCTCGTTCTGCGAGAATAGTATTCGTTTGGAATGCGGAGGAATCCGGGTACCATTTGCTTTTGGCGAAAGTTTTGATGCTCATTTTCGTAGATGCCGACGAGAACGCCATTTCTGCTGTCACAGAAGTGGGGGAATAACGAGAAGCTTCGGATTCATCAATATGTCGTCCATCGGGTCCCCCATGCTGGAGGCCGCTAGGTCTCGAAAACGGTGTCGCCGGCCTTCGGTCCCGAGGAAAATAGATCTACCTGTTGAGATATAAATTGGACACAATGCCATTCATCTTTGAGACTTCTGGACCAAATTGATCGGTATATGCTTCAGACTGCCTGTATCGTTTCACGTACAGAACCTCACTTCATTTTGACACGATCACTACCTGCCTTTACCTCCAGCGTCTTAACACCATGGCTTTGCACCAAACCATCAAGACTACTACCCTTACTTGCGAGCAACCAACTGGACTGTACGTATCCAAAAACGCAAGTGATGTTTCTCTATAAGCTCTCGTCCGCTAATCAGCAAGCAGCTTTATCAACAATGAGTTCATACCGGGCGTTGAGGGTAAAACGTTCCAGACCATCAACCCTCATGATGAAAAGCCCATTGTTGCAGTCCATGAAGGCAACGAACGAGACGTGGACATTGCCGTCCAGGCTGCACGGAGGGCTCTGAATGGCGAATGGAAGCAAATCACGCCTTCCAAGCGTGGTCAGCTTCTCATCCGGCTCGCAGAGCTATTGGAACGTGAGACAGAGACTCTGGCTGTTATTGAAGCGATAGATAATGGGAAAGGTGTGAGCATGGCCCGAGGCGATGTCGCCGCGTCTGCAGGTTGCATCCGATATTATGGCGGTTGGGCGGACAAGATCTATGGGCAAACTATCGACACGGACTCGGGTAGTCTCACCTACACCAGACATGAGCCGGTGGGAGTGTGTGGCCAGGTTATCCCCTGGAACTTCCCACTGTTGATGTGGGCTTGGAAGATTGGCCCTGCGATTGCAACCGGGAACACCGTGGTGTTGAAGAGTGCGGAGCAGACTCCGCTATCCGCCCTATACGCTGCCAAACTAGTCAAGGAGGCTGGCTTTCCACCCGGAGTGATTAACATCATTTCAGGGTTTGGCAAGACCGCCGGGGCCGCCATCGCCGCTCACATGGACATCGACAAGGTTGCGTTTACCGGGTCTACGATGGTGGGTCGACAGATTCTCCAGACCGCAGCCAAAAGCAACCTCAAAAAGGTTACTTTGGAACTTGGGGGCAAGTCCCCGAATATCGTATTTCCGGATGCCGATTTGGAAGATGCGATTGCATGGGTGAATTTCGGAATCTATTTTAACCATGGCCAATGCTGCTGTGCTGGATCCCGCATCCTGGTGCACGAGTCAGTCTATGACCAATTCCTAGAGAAGTTCGGCCAACGTGCGCGGCAGAACAAGGTCGGCGATCCCATGAGCACCGAGACGTTTCAAGGTCCCCAGATCTCGCAGTTGCAATTCGACCGTATTATGGGGTACATTGACGAGGGCAAAAAAGCCGGGGCCAAGGTGGTTGCCGGCGGCTGTCGCTTGGGCTCAACAGGATATTACATCGAACCGACTATCTTCTCCGAAGTTAACGAAAACATGAGTATTGTGAAAGAAGAGATCTTCGGCCCTGTGTGTACCGTCCAGAAGTTTAGCACGGAGGCCGAAGCAATCCAACTGGCCAATGACACCAATTACGGTATTCCGAATTCCCGCTCTTTCTGACAGACAGTGGCTAATTAGCGACATAGGATTGGCTGCAGCTGTTCACTCCAAGAATATCGACACAGCACTTCGTGTGTCGAATGCCGTGAAAGCTGGGTATGTTTCCCCTTCGCTTTCCTCCCTTCCCCTCTTGTTTCTTGCGCGGTCCTTCAGCTAACACCAACATCGGAAAGAACGGTTTGGGTCAACAATTACAATACGCTTCACTACCAGATGCCATTTGGCGGCTTCAAGGAGTCCGGGATGGGTCGGGAGCTGGGCTCGTACGCGCTGGACAACTACACGCAGGTGAAGACGGTTCGCGTCCGTATTAGCGACAATTAAGCTGAATAGGCAACTGTGTCAATGGTTCTTGCTTTGCTGAGTCCCTCTTTCTCACTTTTATTTTTATTTTTATTTTCTGTCGTGTTTTGTGGAAGAATTGGCATCTGGGAAGTTTGGATTTACTCTGCTCAACCCTTCAACAGGGATGCAATGCACCCATAGCGCTTATAGCATGCGGTTCCTCAGATTAGATTTTATGGGTTATAGTCGCTTGAGCTATCAGTGAATTATAAAATATCGTCTGTCATTGATCGAAATATTATTTTCGTCTAACCCTATGCTCTGGTGGAGTTGCACACTACCCTGGTTGGACTATCTTCGGCCGGGCTCCATGCGAGTATCCCGCAAGCCATGGTGATTAAGTGTTGGCAGTGGGTTACCGTAGAGCTTTTCTCATATATTTATGAGAGAATTGATTTTACTTGGTCTATAAAGGAATCTAGATGTGTATCATTCATTGTATGGGAGCACTCTTTCTCGCCGTGTTCAACAAAATACTGGGGAAGCCAATCGGGGACAGACAGCATTCATTCGTACAAACTTTGATTCTTTGACCACGGAAATATGCGAGAGTTACCGGACGCGGGAACCATCGGACCGTTAACCATTGCAGAAAGGCTATTTTCCCCTCGCCAGGGGGCGAGAAGGACCGGTGGATACTTTCATATTGGTTTTAGCTCCCCCCTCCTCTCGTATAGTCTCCGCCTTCATTCTCGTATTGATCATCCAAATGGTAATTTAGTTTAGCTACCCCGCATATGGGGCCCCAGCCATGATCGTCAGTCATTCCGTACACCCTGTTTGAACCCACTGTTTGGTTCGGGGATGAAGCTGCTAGGTTAAGCTTTCCGTGATCGAAATTTCCCTTCAAACTCAATCTTGTGATGCTGAAGTCGTCATTATCCCGTTCACGAAAGGGGTCCTTGTATTGCATGGAAATTGCCCCTTAGCGTGGCCACGCCACGTCAGATGAGGGTTCTAGCCGACACAACAATCACCAATGTTAGGCTTGAGACTATGTCATCCATCTAACTCCGTTCGACCGGAACCAGATGCTTGTGGATCTCAGCGCTACTGGCGCCAGAGTAGATGTCTCCTTCCTTTACGCCGCATCCTATCAAAATGCATACGGGTGTTTGATGACGTGGAGTGATGAGTCGATGCTAGCAACATAAGACAAGCAGTCGACCCAATGGTAATACAAAGCTCTCCAAGCATATCAGTTCTCTCCCCGCGGTCTGCTATACCTTCATTCTTCTATTTCAAGCCCAAGTCGAGGACGACAAAATGGTCAGTGATATCAATTATAATGGCGAACCAAACACTCCTTCGCACAACAAGGACAGCTCAATACATAGACTGTCTACAGTCCCTACATCGGTGACACTAACGGCCGAGCAATTTGAGAGGCTGTACCTGACCCCAATGACGCGCCACCAGCCAGCACTGGCCAAACAAGTGGGAAATCCGACGCCCTTGTAAGTTCCTGCAGTGGCATCCATTTCGGCCATTGGGCCTCAAAGAGAGCGCTGGCTAATCGTACGACCCAATCCCAGAGCCCTAGGAGGCTTCGTTATCACTACGACTCCCCTCTCGTGTTGCTTGATGGCCTGGAGAGGAGCCAGTGGAAATGGGATTGCATTCACGTAAGGGATAATTCAAAATCCACGATCTCGTCCCTGATCTAACCAATGGAACAGCGGCCCTATCATCTTCCTTGGTGGCCTTCTGTTGCTCATAACTAGTATTCTTGAGTTCGTGCTTGGCAATACGTTTCCCTGTGTTGTATTCGGTACCATCGGTAAGTTCGCCAGCATTGATCAAAACTTCCATGCCTTGGTTGTTCCTACTGACTCGAAACAGGTGGATTCTGGTTCGCCTTTGCGGCTACAATGATTCCCGCCTTCAACGCAGCTGGTCTGTTCACCCCGTCTCCCTTCTGACTATAAAGGAGTTATTCTCACATACCAGAAGCTCCTTATTCCCCGTCTACTACCGATACAGGTGCCGGACTTTTGAGTACTGGCTTCATGAATACCTATGGCAAGTGCATATTTTCACATTGTCCCTCATTATCCCTGGTCGATAATTCTAACCGTGAATACCAGCTTTCCTCTTTATATCCATGGCAGTCCTAATGCTCATTTTCATGATCTGCGCGACACGCACCAATGTTGTGTATACACTGATATTTCTGTCCCTTCTCTTGGTTTTTATATTATTGTCGTCCGCTTACTGGCGGCTGGGCCTCGGAGATGCTGCGGCTGGTAATCGATGCGTGATAGTGAGTCCTTTCCATTGTGAGGCCAGAAAAAGCGCTTACAAGATCTAACTTGATATTCCTAGGGTGCCGGGGCTTGTCTTTTTGCTGCTAGTATATTTGGCTTCTACCTACTCATTGTCCAACTTTTTGATGCCATGGCATTCCCGTTCAATTTGCCAGTCGGGGACTTGGGGAAGCTTTGGGTTCCCGCCCTGAAGAAGTAAGTGACCCTTCTAAAGCCGGTGGATGCAGAATTCTAACTCATGCAAAGGGCCGAGCAGCGCGACCTTGAAATGGCCACCACAGCTAACGATGGTTAACGACCATTCTGGAACCAGACATTCATCTGGCCACCACACAGGTTTGGTATTTCCCTTCGGTGCCAAACTAGGTCAGATGAGTGAGTCTGCATTCAACTTGGGCGATTTTAGCGCTCCAGGTATCCCCAATCATCGACTTCAGAAGAGTTCTATTATCGCAGCTCATACAACCACATCGCAGCTAGCTTCTACCGATCCCGCATTGGTGCGCCCGCATTGGTGCGCCCAGCTGGATGCCCTTGATTATTTTCTTCGTCACTTCAAGCTTTAACATTATCTTGTGATGACTAAGATATAGCCCTAACTAACTAATTCATAAGACCTGCCGTCATCACAGAACACTATTCATTTTACAATCCAGCTTACCTGGTTTCCCACGGAAATTTTCGGACATAAATTCCAACTTATACACTATACTCTAGAATAAGAAGTAAAATAGTTCTGAACTTGGTAGTGCAGGCCAATTTCCAGTCAACTCACCCGTCAATAACCAGCCTTCCTATTTCCACCTCCTTAGGTCAGATCTATTCATCTGGCTGTCTACTGGACAGTACATCCTCGTAGTGCAGTCTCCAGAGCGGTTCGGGGTTTGCAGGTTCAGTCTTCAGTGTCTTGGATCGCACCTCGAACTCCATGGCAGCTTATAGGACTATGTCCAGAGACACGGGATGATTCACGCAGACCTGTCGCACAGTGGTGGACGAAACCACGATACACCTTTCCTCTTAGAAGATATCCGCGTTTTCCTCAGGAAGACCCTGGGCATGCGCTTCCCTGGGCTATTCCTACATCGGGAATTAATATCCAGTCTCATCGCGGTGTCACTAACGTCAGTAAAAAGTACTGAATCGTCCGTAAGAATAATGATGTTTCGCGGACGGAGACTACTGTGATTCAAGGTCCTATACACATGCTAGGTATGATATAAAAAAAAAAAAAGCATCCCACTTTTGTTATCCGCACTCCCAGTGATTGGAAAAGTTTGTTTCTCCGTGATTGCTTCCTCCTAGAGCTCTGCCTCCGCCAATCTCTTCTGATACATCTCTGCTAGCCCCTCCAGCACCTTTCGATGCTCCTCGGGTCTCTCCTGCTCTTCTTTGTATTTTTTCTGGGTTGCTAAGAGGAGTTAAGGTGTTCTTTTAGCTGGGAGGCATCGAGACCCTTTTGGTGCCAATATTTGTTAGACATGATCGTATAAAACGAATGAGCAGTGAGGTTGATTACCTTTTGTGCCTCACAAATGGTGTCTTCCGCCGGCAAGGCCTCGCATTCATGATTGGAGGAAGGTTAGACCGTGATTCTATTCCATGATTAGAATATATTGTTGAAATCATACGCATAATACGTATCCATGCCGTCAACGAAGAATGAACAAACTGGCTTTCCAAGGCATTTCTCAAGATCTCTTATCAAAAAGCACACATACGAATATTTATTAAGATTCTTGCAAGATATCACCAAATGGAGGATCGGTTCTTGTCAGCAATTTTGATCAGCAAAGCCACAGAGTCTCGGTATCCTTTGGCTGAGATAACCTGTGATTCGATCGTGAGCGGTTGTCGTCAGTTCTTTTGTCATATCAGTCGAACCCAGAGAAAACGCAACCGCGTAGCGCAGGTGTCATCATCACAGAACACACTGACACAGGAGTATGTAGTACCCAAGTCAATATTAAAAGTGGGGGCCAGAGACATTGTGAAAAAAAAAAAAAGTGATAAATGCAGAGGAAAGTCATTAAAAAAGAGGATAGAAGTACAAGAAAAGAAAAGGAGAGAAAGAGGGAGGGAGAGAAAGAGGACAAGAGTGAGCATCTTCTCAGTGGTGACAGAGACAGACCCAACACTATGAGTGTCTCACTTGATGCAGCTTTGCTTTTGTGTCCTATATGCCTCTCTCAAGGAAGATCTTTCTCTCTTTGATGCCCTCAATAGTAGATTCCTCTCAGGATTTCTTTTCCACCCTCAGGAGAGCAGAAGTTCTGTCTTGACGCAATTACCAAGACTCCTTCTTCTGGCTCTCCAAAAGGCTGAGGAGCTCCGTTCGCCTGTGGATCTGACTGGGGGTCAGATCCTCCAGGGGAGGAGCTCCATCGTCAGGGACAAACCAGCCCGGAGCCGACCTCTTCTAGTTATCATTAGCAGTGAAGGTGGATAAGAGGGGAAAGGGGCCTCCTACCTTGGGGTTTGACGCGCCTGTAGAGAATGATGTTATCTATAGGGCTGCTCTAGAACGAGGAACATGAGAGCTCGTCAGATCCCCTGGCCAATAATGAATTCTATTTCAGGTGGGACCCCGTAGGTAGGGTCCTACAGGCATGATCAAATCACTGTGAGTAGGTGTTCGGAGCCTGAAGCTCAATCGCGGTATGTTTCATGTAATTCACACGCTGAGAGCACCTGAGAAGCTCTCGTGTATTTTTCGGATCGCAAGCAGTAGGAGTGACCCCAGTTCATGGATGTGGCATCTATCGAGCACAAACTCCCAGCAAGTGGGCCCATTGAATACCCATGCTAGAGGTGCAAAGTATCAAGAAGCGCTGGCATAAATCGTTAGTCTATGTAATATGCGAATAAAGGGCTCTTCTTACTCCTATTACCTGTAACCACATGTAGAACAAGTGCTTGAGTGCTTGACTATCTAAATACGTGTAAACACTGACCTATGTAAAGATCCCCTGGCCTCGGTAATCGTGCCGACTATTTGTCCGATACATCCTCATCACTAACACTGACGAGTCGCGCCACGCCAACACAACAAGGTGTGAGAGCGTATTCTCGTGCTATAACATCCAATCTGCATTTCTTTTGGTCCACCATCCATCGTTTCATGCCAAACAAAAAGATGGGCAAATCTTTAATCCCGTCCATCCTATGGCCAGATTTCACTTGGCCACGGTCAACTCCTTCCACAATTTTACAAACTATACCTCCAGTGCCCCGCGTGCCGGGTAAAGCTATCAGAATAGCATGGGGTATCGTTCACAAGTCATTATATACCTTTTCCCGATGGTATTCTTCTTGGTTTGGCATCACTTTTGATGCTAACATCGTACAATTACCCTTTGGGCTCGTTATGAAATGGACAGATCGGACAAGCATAGAGGAAGCTGTCTCAATGCAAATGGCAGAAGCTGCTGGAATTCCCGTTCCAAAGGTCCTAAGTTGTGGTGAACACCCAGAGGCCCCATTTAATAGGAAGATTTCGATCTTGATGACGAGATTGCCGGGGGTGTCCCTTGAAAATTCAGACGATCTCTTACAAGTCGATAACGAGGAGCCATGGCTAGAGGAACTGAAGATGTGCGTACGCGCTATGCGTTCCTGGCGTTTTCCCGGCCAGAAAATAATAGCTTCGCCTATTGGAACGTCCCTCCGAAGTCCAAGAGTCCCTGGCCATGTCATGGGCCTTTCATGAACCAGGAAGAATTTTACGAATATCTTGTCTCCCCAGCTTCTGCCCATGCATTTAAATCAACCGCAGAATACGAGAACACACTCACGCGTGCAAACAAGCTTCAACGCGACTATCGGATTGTGTTTACTCATGGAGATTTCAAAGCTCACAACATCCTTGTTGGCGATGATGGACATTTATCTGGGTTTCTGGACTGGGAATCGGCAGGCTGGTATCCAGAATACTGGGAATTTACGACAGCAATGCGGTTCGGAAAAGGGAGCTGGTGGTTCCAAGTAGCTTCTTGGATCGGCGGAGATCAGTATTATGATGAACTGGATTCTGATGTAGCTTTGAACCTATTAACTGTCGACTCCTATATAGCCATATGATGGAACTGTTGTACGACAATAAATACGAGCTGCTCGCATATCTAACTTGGAAGTCCTCGGCAGTTATGCTTGGCAGTTTTTGTTTGAAGAAAGAATAATTACTACTCAAAAAGATGAATGGGGATTGCTTATAATATGAAATCCGTAGGTGTGGTGGCATTTATCAAGGCGTAATGGAAGAGTAATTATTACAAAAGGACGAGGTCGTCGCACATCCAGTATTGACATTCAGGAACAGAGCATGAGAGAGCAATGAAACTAAGACAGTTATAAACATAACAATATAGTCCAAAATGAAATTCAAATTTCAGCATTTAATTGACATTTTGCCACCCCACAGTGATCTTTCACCAAGACCCATCCTCAGAGGCACAGCCGCGATCTAACAACCGGTCGTGGCTGGTTATTTTTTGCGGCGGCGGCGCTATACTGGTTTCCAATGGCCATACATTCCTATATCAACGCATCGACACTGCTGCAGCGGACTATCTGATGCTGGATTAACTGTTGGAGGATAGCCATCAACCACACACGGCATGTCACACCAGGGATTGAATTCACGTCTCCATCACGGGATCTCATGATTTGATCAAGGTGACTGTGCTTCGCCTGTGGGACACTCGCGATCTGAATTAGAACGCAAAGGAAGTTCGACTTGAATACACCCCCAGTTTTGCCATGGTCCGGTATCCATCCACCGCCTAAGTTCCTCATATGATACTTCAATCCTCCCTGTGGGTTCTCGTGGAAAAAGTAGCCCCAATGGAAATCATTTGGTTCAGGAGGATCCGATCGAATATAAAGAAGGACTGCAGCTCCAAGAGCGCTTCAACATCTACACAGATCATCGAGCACTAGAATACTTCATGACAACAAAGAAGCTAAATGCACGGCAAGCTCGATGGGCTGAGTTCCTCTCCCAGTTCTATTTCCTCATTCGATACCGACCTGGATGTGAAAACACCCTAGCTGATGCCCTTAGTCAACCAACAACCAATGGGCAGAAGAAGGATGAATATAATCAGCAGATCCTTTTGAAACCAGATTCAATTGAACAGCCATTGGAGGCCAAGGGAAAGAGATCAACTGTTAGCGCCTTAGAACCCACCCTACAGATAGTTGATCAAGTGCTCAAGGCAAATCAGGACTCTCATACCGCTGAAGAGCATTGTGGGAAGGCCTGAGAAGGAAAGGATGATTGGATGCTCCAAGATGGCCTGCTGTTGAAAGGAAATCAACTGTTTGTCCCTGATGATGAGTCCACACTGCGCACACAATTGCTTGATGAAGTGCATATGCAAGTGTCCACTGCACATCCAGGAAAAACCAAACCTCAGCGCCTCATCCAAGCACGATACTACTGGCCTACATGGAGACAAGATGTTGAAAGATATGTACGGAACTGCTCAAAGTGTCAAAGAGCTGAGAACCCCTGAGATTGCACCCCTGGACTGCTCCAACCGCTTCCTATTGCAGAGTGACCATGGCAACATATAGCAATGGACTTCAGGTCCTTTCCACCTGACAAGAATGGTTATGATGCAGCTTTGGTGTTTGTTGACTGATTCAGCAAGAGGCCCATTAGTATCCCCTGCAAGAAGACTGCCACTTCTGATGATGTTGCACACATGTTCATTGAGCATATCTACCACCATCAAGGGCCTCCGACAACAATTGTATCAGATTGTGGACCCCAGTTTGTGACGGCATTCTGGGGTGAGCTTTGTCGAATTCTTGGGGTACAATTGAAACTTTCCACGGCATATCATGCACAAACAGATGGACAGACAGAGATTGTGAATCAACACATTGTCAACAGACTACGACCATTCATCAATAGGTATCAGGACAATTGGTCTGAACTACTGCCACTGATTGACTTTGCCGCTGCTACCCTACCTTTGGAATCAACCGATGCATCACCTTTTCTCATTGACTATGGATATGAACCCTGAACCTCATTTGATTGGACCTCAGTAGAGACATCAACTCCCTGAGATGAACGGGTCAGCCGACAACGAGCTAAGGATACTGCCCAGAAGATGGAGAGCATATGGAATGCCATGTCTGAGTGAATAAAGAAGACCCAAGAATGACAGAGGAAGCATGCAGACTGCTGAAGATGCCCAGTTGATTTTGGAGTGGGGGATAAAGTATGGCTCTCACTCCAACACTACTGTACGGACTGACCGAACAAGAAACTTGACAGCCAGATGGCAGGTCCTTTCCCAGTATTGGAGCAAGTGAGGAATTCATACTGATTACAGCTCCCTGAAATGATGAAGATCCACCTCATATTCTCACCTGATAAGCTGAGACATGCCGCCAATGACCCCTTGCCTGGACAAGTGTCAGAACCCCCAGAGCTGATTGTTGTGGGTGACCAGCAGGAATGGGAAGTGGAAGAAGTCCTTGCTTCTCAAATATACCGTCAACGACTGCAGTATCAGGTGAAGTGGATAGGATTTGATGAGGATTGAACATGGTATTCAGCAGGAAATTTCAAGGTTCTCCACACTGCATATGAGACTACCATCAGACATACCTTGATAAACCTGGACCACCGCAACTTTTGCCTGAATGGTTGAGAACCTGGGAGGAAGGAATAGATGAGGTTGATGATCACCCTGATGATAATGTGCCTGCATAGAGTCTGGGGACAGACTCCGCTTAAGAAGGGGGGTTATGTGACGGCTCAACGACCAGGCAAACAGTGCCAACATGCCAAAAGATGCCATACAAGCAATATGGACAAACAAGGGCTCAAGCCGCATCGCACAAAGGTTTATAGAGACTGTACTCGCCAGATAGATTTCCTCTCCTTTTTTCCTCCCCAGATTCGATATTCTCGTTGATGGCTACAATAGTCTAGATAGGAATTCAGTTCGTTATTATCTTCTATTCCAAGCCCGTAACACTCATCAAGTCATATATCAATCATGTTACCAAACTTGATTTCCTCATTGTGTTTCACGAGGCATTCTTTACATCTATGACCAAGGAAAATGTCAAGGCAGGATTCAGAGGCTCTGGTTTAGTACCTCTGGACCCTGAAGCTGTTCTATCAAGCTAGATGTCAGGTTAATGACACCAATATCATCTGACTCGCCTCCAACTTCTCCCAATCATTGGGTTTCTCAAACACCACACAACTCAATTGAAGCAGTTTCACAGTCTACATTCATCAAGACTCATGTTTTCAGACACCAGAGCAGCTCTCCAACACCAATATACACTGCTGTTGATCAACCTGCAAGAGGGACACAAGCATTAGCTCATACTATTATCTTTTCGAATGCCCAAGTCCATTCACTAGAGAAGGCAAATCAGGAGCTCAGCAAGCGCCGACAAGCAAAGAAAAACCTGTCTACAACATGAAGGAGTACTTTCTGCAGAAGATGGACAAGATTTGATCAATCAGAAGGATATTGATGCGCAACTAGAGCATGAAATACACGAGGAGGGTAGTCGGAAAATACCGACTGAGCCAACTCTGCGGCGCTGTAGCAAGTGTGGAAAGACTGGGCATAACTCTAGGACTTGTAAAAAAGATAAAAAAAAAAGGGGGTCTATTATTATACTCGTAATTGAATTCAATTGATTACTGGTGATTTGGTGGTGCAATTGATCTTTGAATGTGAAGATCCGAAAAAAGTGCGCCGCTCGCTTATCAACTACGTTATACATATATCTCAACATTCGTACTATAACTTATAAAATTATAGATCACAAGTTTGTTTATAACATACTCCTAATATTTATATGTATATATTATTATTATTATTATTATTATTATTATTCATACACGCATCTGTCAGCCCTATAGGCCGAGTGGCGGCAGGTCCTGTGGGGCAGCCGGGTAAGCCGCCGTAATGGTAGTCGCTATGTACATCGTCGCCTTTATACACATATCCTGATATCTCATTCCACGTGTTGTATATCCCGTGCTGCTGGTTTTCGTGCCGCTGTTCCCATGGCCACGAGGATCCATGGGCTTGTTGGATACTATCTCGTTTCCTTCCCTACTTCTGCAAGCGTGTAACCTTGGCTGCGTTATGCTGCCGGTTTCCCCGAGTCTATTGTTGTGACTCGGTATGTGGTTGGTAGAGTTTGAAACTGGCCTAGGAGGCCTGTCTCAAGCATGAAGTGCACTGCTTTTGGTACCAGGTCTGGCTGTGTTAGGTAGGCCCGGTAATCCAGCTCCCGTCTTGATCCCTGTGTAAGATGGCGCATCCGGGGTCCTGCCTGGTTGGTACAGTGGAGGAGAACATGGCGTATGTCTTGGAGGCCACATCCACTGGAGCATTCAGTTGATTCCATAGCCTTGAAGGTACCAAGGTAACTGGCCAGCGCAATCTTCCCAGTTTGCATTTGAATGAGGACTGATGTAGCAGCTCTCCGAAGGCCTTGGTATAGCTGCATTGGTGCTTTTGAGGGTTCTTTATATGTATATATATATAAAGATTTGACTTTCCTAATATGAGCCTCAATAATAGTAAATTGGTCAAGAAATCACTGATTCAAAAAGTGCCAATTTGTATGGGAATACAGAATTCGTCGCTCGCCCGCATTCGTCGCTCGTACGTTGAATACATTAATCAGTTTCCTATTCAGAGAATACCAATCAGAACTGTATCTAGCTATCTATTCTAAACATGACAAGTTAGAGTTGTTCCACCATCCATGATGAACCCACAGCCGGTAAAATAACTCGATCGCGAACTCGACAAGAAAACCACTGCATCTGCAACCTCATCTGGAGTGGCGATGCGCCCCATTGGCACTACAGTCTTGATCAACTGGTCCAGCTCCAATCCACTTTCAATCGCCCTCTGAATCATGGGCGTGTCCACCCAAGAGGGGCAGACGCAGTTCACCCGAATTCCATGTGGAGCGTTGTCCAGCGCTGTGACAAGTCAGCAATCATGCATATTATTTGCCATTGATTGATTTGTACCTGCGTTCTTCACAAAGCCAAGCACGGCATGCTTGGATGTTGTATACTGCACCATGCCTGGAGTAGCCACAAACGACGAGGCGGAGCCCAAAATGACAATGGATCCTCGTGTTTTCCCTCGTGCCTCGGACAAGGAGTCGACAATTCTCAGTTCCTGAGACTTCATGATCGCCGACACTTCACGCACAAGCATGAAAGACCCCGTAGTATTTACATCGAGAAAGCGACAGAACTCGTCTGCATTAGCATCCGCTATTTCAACGGCCCTTTCCACCCCGATCTAAATTCCAGAAAGCAGCATAGTCAGTACTGTATGGGGATAGTGGTGAATAACCTACTCCAGCACAGTTAACAAGGCAGTCAATCCGTCCAAATGTCTGGACCATGTGGGCCGTGGCACGCTTAACCGACTCTCCTTGTGAGACATCGATGTGTAAGGCCTCAGCCCGGAAGCTGGGATGTGTGGCTGCACGCTGACATTCGACTGCGATCCTGTGAGCCGATTCGAGGCTCAAATCTGCAACCAAAAGACCAGCGGCGCCATCTTGGGCAAAGGCTAGAGCACAGACGGAGCCGATACCACCTCCTAATTGGGGCCAGAATCAGCCCTTGGCTGTGGCGCACATAAAAGAAGATCCACCGGTAATGGGGCCAACAGCCCAGGGATACTTACCTCCCCCCACAATAAATGCATAACCAGTAAGATTCATATTCAGTGGATAATAGAGTAAGCACGACTAGAAGTAGGTGTTATCTTCCTGGAAATAAGGAAAGGACAAAATGGTGGACTGGGTAGTGTTAGACTGTGGATTTATAGTGTGATTGCTAGAGTGTCACCGGACGACCCGGAGATCCGCTACGGGTCTGGGTCCAAAAGGTTCAGCCCGCGGGTTTTTGGGGAGCCCGAATGGGCTGGGTCAAACGGGCCTGGCCCGTTTGGGCCAGCCCAAAAGCTCAGTTTCGCCCCGTTACAACGCAGTACACATCTTTCTGTCTTGTATGGATCTCTGGTAATGATACAGTCTTAACGTAAGATGATTAATTATTGAGTTTTATACTGATGTAATCACAAGTTACAGTCAATCTGAATTTAAAACTAACCATGGTAAGAATGCTACGACATCATTATCCTATACAACTATAAAACACTGACAAACATGCTGATATAAAAGGGAAACTTATACGCATTATGCGTGGGGTGAAAATCCCTTCATAACAGAGAAACTGAACAACAAAACTCCAAATTACAAATTACAGCTCATTATCAAGTCGATGAAACCGTCCTGGTTCATATACAACACAACGTGGACGGCCAGAAGAACCTTGTTCTGAAATTGCAACTTTAGGTTGGTGGGTGGAAGAACTTGCTTGTGGTCACAGAATTGCAATTTCAGGTTGATAGGTGGAAGAACTTGCTTGTGGTTGCGGAATTGCAACTCCAGATTGGCAGGTGGAAGGACCTGCTTGCAGTTGACTGGAAGAAGACTGGGCTCAACCTCCTCCTCGTCAGCCTCCCCAGTCTCATCCTCGAAGCCATCACAATCATCAATATCACTGATATAATGAGCATCAATCTCAGCACCTGAGTCCTCATCATATCCAACTTCATTCGGATTTTGCTTGGCATCCAGTTCATCCTCCAGAACCTTATAACCTTGTTTCAGTTCGAAACGGTCAGATGACAATTGAATCATAATGGCCTCGATTGTCTCAAGGGCAAGCCAGTTGTGACAATAGTAGCAAACATCTCAAGCAGTGCTGAATAGGTCTTCAACACCAACTGTGACGGCCCAACGTTGCACTGACGCCGATATAGACAAACGACATCAACACGCCAAACAACGCCAACCGTGCAATGAAGACAAACGAAACATTAGTGAGATTACACAAACGCCTATAAGACCCCTTCGTCTTCTAGATAGATTTCCTCTTTCTTCTTCTCCCCAGATTCGATATTCTCGTCGATGGCTACACTAGTTTAGATAGGAATATCAATTCGTTAATATCTACTGGTCCGAGCCCGTGACAGGTATTAAACTTGGCGGCATTCTTCCCTGAACCATCAGTTGAGTAACAACCCAAAGATGCTCTATCTCAGCCTATTGATGCTGTAGCTCAAGCTCTCTTCGTCTTTGCTGATAGGCTATATCAGCATTATTCTCTGAGGCTATCTGCTGAAGAGATGGTTCAGCATTCAAAGAACTTAGAAGAATAAGTTAGTAATTAATTAATAACTGGCTAGTCTATTAACTAGTGCTTACCTTGATGTAGTTGATTGTCTTCGTCCTCGTCCCCATCCTTGTGATGGACTTCATCCTCGTGAGCTTGAGCGACGACGGATAGGCTGGGGTGATCCAGAAGATGAGTATCCTCTAGAAGCTCTATTCTCAATGCTGTTAAATATCTGCTCTTGTGGCCTTGGTGTGGCCTGGTGTGCTGAGCTAGAGCTAGATGACTCCCGTTGACATTTCCGTTCTATAACCAGTTAGTAATAGGCTACTAACTACTTAGCAATTAGTTAGAAACTTATGCTCGCAAATTAAGCTATTCGAGAATTGGGTAGATATATAATCTGTATGATATCCATGCCGCTGACCATAGGTATGTCGTGTTTGATATTGATCCACATCACGTTGATCAAGTATATAACCTCTAAGAATAACTAGTCAGTAATTGGTTCCCAACTGGTTCCTTATTAGTTAGGAACTAGTATGCTTACCTTTCAACAGCCCTTACTAGAGAAATTTGTTTTCCTAGCATATATCCCTTTTGGTGTGATTGCTCTCCTGCATTTGTATGAGGAATAGCCTCATCAAAATTATTAGGATCCATATAAGAGCAGTATTTATTAAGTCCAGCTGCTATAACAGAGCCACTTTTATGATTAGCCCAGGGGCCCCAGGCTCGTACCTGGGGCGTAGGTGCATGAGCTAGTTCGTAGCTAGTTAGTGATTGGTTAATAACTGGTATAGAGCTATTTACATACTGATAAGCATCTGAACCAGCTGAAACTCTCACAGAGATGGGTGGAGTACTCGACACGTACGATAACATATCATTGTGGACAGATGCCAACGAACCAAACAGTACCGCGACGCCAATTTGGCACAATCTGAGTCTAAGTAGCAAGTAGAGTGATATGTGAAAATGAATTTGTAGAAGAATCGAAAGGATAGAGCAGAGGATCGATCCCTTTTGCCTTGACCTTGTGACCCGGTAGATGAGCACTTCAATCACAGTTGCTCTGTAGCCCACTGCGAGCTGGGAAATGAATGTATCTCTCCTATAGGCGTATTCAATGGAAAATCTCCCCCCTCACTTTGTCCTTTTCCACTCCTCCGTCTAAGCCTCTTGTCCCTCCATCGCCTAACTTCTACCTACGCTCTTCTACTCCTCGCGATCTCCTATCTACTGATTATATAAAAACACTTTGAAACACCAGTATGGGTAAGTATAATAGTGTTCATCCGATTTTAGTGATTACAGGCGTTGACTATAAAGCAGAAGAAACCCCCATCCAACCGCAGACGATGACCACTACTGCGCTTCCCTTTCGCACGAAGAAGCTCAAAGTCAAGATGCCGAACTCTTCTGCTCATGTCCGAGCTCAAGTCGACGCTCCCAGCCCATCCTCCGAAGCAACTTCCATGTCTCCTGGAAAGTTATGAATGCGGCATGGGCGTTGCGACAAGGCTTCTTCCATAGATCTGCAAAGGTCCAATCAGAATGCTGCAATCCAGCCTGTGATAGAATGACATACCCTGTTTCCATGCTCCCTGAGGGATGGGGAAAATATAACTGGATATGTGCTGATCCAGAGAATGCCCTTGGTGGCTACCTGTGCAATATCTGTGCTAGATATATGCAGTGGCATAAGACCCTTCCAGATACAGACATTATTCACTGATTGGATGTGCACCAAGAGGCATGGTGAGAAGCTGGTGACAATACAACCTGTACTATGTGTCAAAGAACAGAGTCCATGTTCCCCAAGATACAGTGTAACAACTGGAATGGAAGCATCCAAATCCATGCCACTCAGTTCCATGTGCATCTGACTCTGAAGAAGTTCTTCTGCTCCGCATGCTATTTGTTCCTTGGAACGAATGACCGGTTCCGCACAGATGGAGAGAATGATGACTTCCTAACCAATACTGACCTTGAGAGAACTCGAAAAGCAGGTGGGCTGATCCAATGTGACCACTGATGTTCTTGAGGGCTCATCTGGCACCAAGAAGATCCATTATTTCGAGCAAAGAAGTCGAAGAGTGATGTGCATGCCATATCACCACTACTATCAGAGGTATGGCAGAGATCGAGATCTCAACCTGCAGGTCACGCATGAGATCAGAGCCCGAATCAAGCAAGACCGCGAAACTGGCAGGTCGGCCATGTGCGAGAATTGCGAGGCAGTTGAGGGAACTCATGAATGTCGTGGCTACCATGGTATCAATGGTGAGACCAGCATGATTCTGTGCGCCGCCTGCAACAACTTTTATTCCAAGAACAAGAGGCATCGCCCAGAAAATGATCAACACATTCTCAAAACCAGGGCTTGGATGAAGCATGACCGAGAAGTTGGCATCCCAATTTTCTGCGTCCACTGTAATGCGCAAGAGACGGCGGACTTGATCGCCACGACTTTCCAATTCGTGGTCGGCACATAATCTCTTGGTGCAGTTTGTACAGATTGCTACCGGAAGGATGGACGTCGTTGATGGTCGTCGATGCGGTATTCGAAACAGATTCCACCTGATGTTTGAGTGATGAGATGTAGCTTCTAATGGTATAGAATTGGAAAAGTCAGTACATGCTTGTACAGCAGGATGGCTTCAAGGGAGGCAAACGGTGACTAGTTGCTAACCCATTGCTGTACAATATGTACGGCAGCCGGACGACGTTCCTAGAAAACGTGTTCACACCTTCACGCGGTGTCCGGTGTTAACCACTTCATATGGGACCTGGATGATCTTTAAACTGCTAATATGGTATACCAAGACGGAGGAACACGAAAAATCGGTATATTGGTGGGTTCATTCTGGTCTGGATAGAGATTATGTGTGGTAGAGCAGGACGGAGAGGAAAAGGCGAGGAGTGCTGTCAAGGAAGGACTCGCTTGCAATATGTAAACAAACAAAGAAATGTGTATGTATTGTTTGGTAAATATGCCTTGGGGACCTCTCCGCGATACAACCATCTGGAGAAGCTTGCTTTAATCTGAGACAGACCAGACGGAAACCTCTGCCACTTGTACAGTATCGTTCATTCAGAGCGTAATTCACTGTTATTATATTTCATTTCTCTCTCTGCGACGTGAGGATAATTGACGACAACCTCTGCGTATGCGCTCTGGGCGCTCGGCAACTCGGCCGTACTAGGCAGTAAGCGCATTTGTACTCTACGGGACGAAGGACTAGATGTCGAGTACCTCTGAATCAAGCAACAAAGAGGTACTAATCATGCCTGGCTTAGAAGGATAGAATCAAGCAACCGAGTACCCCTTGGGTGCAGCGACTCAGACCATAATGGCGTGGCATAATTTTGGCTGGACCTACGTTTGGAATCTGCCACAACACTCACGTGACCATATACGGAAACATACGGGGCTACGAGGCAAACTGATGAACAAGGAAACGTCTCATTTTATTAATCGTCAAGCCAATAATGACATAATGACTCGTAACATGATCATAAAAACCCAACTTTTTCAGTTTACTCCTCATCGGAGAAGACCTCCTCACCACGCTTGCGGCGGGCCATGCGCTCCTTCTTCTTCTTCTGCAAAGATTGTTAGTAACGTTCCAAACTCCAAACAAGGGGGGGAAACCGACCCTCTCTTCCGAGGCTGTTAATTTCTTCTTCTTCTCAACTACAGTCTGTTGATTAAGTTAGCATGTGTTGTCAAGAAAAAGTGGTTGAGGTGGGTTGGTGAAGTGGTGGGAGGTCGGGGAGCGAAAATGCGGGAGTGGGGGGGTGGAGGGCGGGGAATGTGGAAAGCGGAGTGAAAGACAGTGTACATACCTTGTTACCCATAGCGTCGACAATCTCCTCGGCCTGCTGGGACTTGTCCGCCAGACGGGGACCGGAACCCTGACCCGCAACCCAGTTGTGACCGGAAGGAGTCATCTTACCGTCCATGACGGCCCAGACTTCCTCGGTAAGGTTCTCAGTGAACTCACGAGAGTGAGTGATGATGACAACACCACCTTGGAAGGTCTTGATGGCCTTGGAGAGGGCACCAAGCGAGTCACGGTCAAGGTAGTTGGTGGGTTCGTCAAGGACGATCACGTGAGGACGCTGCCACGAGCAAGCGGCAAGGACGACCTTGACACGCTGACCACCGGAGAGACCGCGCATACGCGAGTGGGTGACCAACTCGGTCTCGAGACCGAACTGAGCGCAGTGGGCTTCGATCTCCTTGCGGACCAGAGGACGGAACTGACCGCTGGCAAGAGCCTCCTTCTGGTCAACGTCGGCAACCATCTTGGAGTGCGACTGCATGATCTCGGTACGAGGAATCCAGGCGTTGTCGGAAGTCATCATGGGAACCCAGCGCTCCTGCTTGAAGCCAACGTTCTCACCAAGAGCGAACGAACACTCGTACTCGTAGGTGTTCTTGAACTTTCTACGAGAGTGGATACCAATGACACGACGTTGGGTGTCATTGATATTGTAGATCTTGTCCATGGCCTTCTCGTCATCGTCGGTGATGATCTTGTTGGCACGGTCCATAGTCTCACGGTCTTCACCGGTCTGGAAACGCCACTGGATGTACTCGGAGGGGGTTTTGTCGAGGTGGTTATCGATGTGAGCGAAGGCGTGCTGCTTAATGTAGGCGATACGGATGTTCTCGTGTTGGTAGACGTCACCAGCGGTGGGGACCAGCTCACCGGTCAGGACATTGACCAGGGTGGATTTACCGGCACCGTTGGGACCAATGACGGCAATACGCGAACCCAGCGACACCTGGAAGCTGATGTCCGTGACCTGGGGACGGGGAGTACCGGGGTACTGGAAGGACATGTTGTTGACACGAACGATAGCCTTGGCCTTGGTCTTGACACCCTCGAGGAAACCGGGCTCGGGGAACTTGAACTCCATCTCGGAGGCACCGAGCTCGTAGTAGGAGCGAGCAGCAGGCACCTTCTTGACGAACTCGCTCAGGCTACCACGGTAACGCTTAAGCTTGAAGCGCTCGTAGTGGACGACGTGTTGGATGACGTGGTCCAGGAAGCGACTGTCGTGCGAGACCATGATGGAAGTGCAAGGGGAGGTCTTCAGGTAGTTCTCCAACCATTCGACGTTCTTGACGTCCAAGTGGTTGGTGGGTTCGTCCAGGAGGAGAATGTCGGGCTCCTCAAACACGGCACGGGCAAGGGCGAGCTTCATCTTCCAACCACCAGAGAGGGCGGTGATGGGGCCCTCAAGCTGCTCACGGAGGAAGCCGAACTCCTCGAGCTTGGTCTCGACTTCAGCCTGGTTGGGGTCCAAGCCGACTTCATGGAGCTTCTTCAGGGTCCAGCCGATGACAGTCTGCTCAGTGTCGGCGGCATCGAGGTCGTGCTCGACGTACACGGTCTTGACCTCGTCCTTCTTGGGGAAACCCTCAAGCTGCTCGTTGTTGATGGCACGCATGAGGGTGGTCTTACCGGTACCGTTGGGACCGAGGAGACCGTAGCGCTGACCACGCTTGAGGCGGAGGCGAGTCTGGTTCAGCAAGATCTTGGCACCATAGGCCAGGGAGAAAGTGCAGTTGCACAGATCCTCACCCTCCTCCTCGTCGGAGGCGATGTCGTCACCCTGAGCGGCTTCGGGGGAGGCCTTCTTGCGGAGAGTCTCGGCAACACCCTTGGCCTCACCCTCACCAATGAGGGCGGCGATGTAAGGCTGAGCGTTCTGGGTCCAGCTGGAAACGTCGGCGTCCTTCTCGTCAACGAGCTGACCAGCAATGGCACCAATGTAGCTAACGATGGCCTCGGACTTGTCGTTGACCTTGTCGCCAATGATCTCCTTGAGGATAGCGGCGACGGTCTCGATGTCACCGGCGGTGGAGATCTCAGGAATCTTGCCATCCTTGACATCACCGACACGGGTGAGAGTCTCGAGAGCCTGTTCGGTCTTCTCACGAGCCTCGGGGTCGGCGAGAGTTTCAAAGTTCTTTTGAAGACGGGGCATCAATTTGGGCAAGAAGGGAGCGACAATCTGAGGGTCCTCCACAAGCTTACACATGTTGTCGACGATGACGGCCGACTTACGCTTGATGGCGGTCTCACGCTCGACGAGACCACGGTCAAGCAAGGGGACCATGATAGCCAGGGTAGGACCAGTAACGTCCGACACGAAAGTGGTGGCACCGAGCAAGTGAACGGTCTCAGGGACGTTCTCAGGCTTGGCGATACACTTGATCAGCTCGGGAATGAAGCGCTCAATATCCTTGTTGATAATGAGACCGCAGACCTTCTCCATGGTGGAGTAGGCAGCCTTCTTGACATCAGCCTTGGTGTCCCACATGGCCTCGGAGACGACGGGAATGAGCTCGGGAACACGGAAGGAGAGCTGAGCGGGGGCGGTCTCAACCAGGAGGTCGATACACTGGAGAGAGGTCAACTTCTCAGCCCACTTGGGAGCGTTCGAGACCGACTCGCGGATGGCGGGGAGGACAGCCTTGACGGCGTTGCCGTTGATGGCCTTGACAATGGTGAGGGCGGTGGCCTGAGCAGCGTTCTTGACGGGAACCATCTTGTCACCGATGGCGGTGAGGACGTTAGGCAAAAGAGCAACGAGGTGAGGCTCGACACCGGGGGCGATAGTGGGCTGGCCGGCGATGGCACGGATGCCCTCGAGAGCGCGCTCACGGGCAACAGCATCCTTCTTGTTGGCGAGCTGCTTCTGGAAGGTCTCGACGGCCTTCAGGGGAAGAGCCTGCTCAGGGATAGGGCCGCTGAAGAGCGAGGCGATGTTGCCAGCAGCGGCGTTGATCTCATCCTGGCTACCGGAGACGTTGAGGTTCTTGATGAGGTCCTCGAGAACCTGCACGGACTGTGCGGTCTCCTTGCTCGAAACCTCGGGAACGGATGCGGCAGCGGGCATTTTGTCGAACTTTTTTCTATAACCAAGTCGAAAGAAAGGAAATCAAAGGCGAAAAATCAAGAACGAAGGGCGTTCTATCAGGGTATCTCGAAAAGTGGCGGCCCAAAGAAAATCTGCGCTTTCACAACGCAGTGGCCGGAAACGGTCTAAATTTTTGTCTATACAAAAGACAAAAAGAAAAGAAAAGAGAGGACCAGACCTCTTTTCAAAAAAAGAAAAAGGAGATAAAAGGGGAGAAGAGGGATATGGTAAGAAAGAGAGGAAAAAAAGAGGAGGGGACCAAGTGGGAGAGGATGATATTTATCGCTGGTTGTGGCCCTCTCGCCGCCTTCTGGCAGAAAAATTTTTTCTTTTCAGTTTTTTCTTTGCCTTTGGTCCCGCACTAAACCCGATCTGGTCTAACGCCGCTGATTTTGAGCCATAGACGACCTCCGATTGGCCCCGTGGTCCCGGGAGTATCAATGTATACCAACTGATTGGCTGCTGGGATTCGAGGGGCGGAAACTCAGTAGGGCATGTCACGGGGTTTCCCCGGATACTACTGTTGATAAGAGCACTGTGGCAAATAAAGTACAGACAGTAAGATGCTACTAATGCTTATCTGCTTCAGAATGGTAGGGTATACAGGTGCAACATAGTCCGGGGCTATCGCCACTTACCAGGTGGCGGCCCAGAAGGCGTTAGGGTTGGTACGGATCCATGGACAGGCCAGTATCAACTCCGATCATGCCCGTTGGATTCGGGTTCTGGGTTCATGGGCGATGAACTGTCGTATTGTCCATATCGAATAAGCTGAAGATAAATCCTTGTCCGACATGGATATGACCGCCATTCGTGGCCCAGCCCTTCACCGCATTTTATATCATGCATACGCTTGCTCGGCCATGTACAGTTGTCGGGACTTATTCTACCCCGGATTTTCTGTTATCGTATTTATATATGGGTACTCCGTACTTCTGCGGGAAATTCAGCTTGGTCTTCATTCGTCGATTGATATTCGCCACCACTTTGTTCGCACATAGTTCGGTCGAGCCAACCAATACGGAATTACTTTCCTGGCATAGCATCAGCCCTATATTGAATTTAGAGAGTTTGCCAGGGACGTCTAGTCCCTTGATCAATGTCCCACAGGGTACAGAGTGATCGATTTTGGTAACCTTGCTAATTACTATGGCATCACCTTGCGTTATAAGAAAATGTGGAGTGGAGGTATGAAAGTGTCAGCTCTCGGATCAAGGCATATTATTGATTGTTATTATCTATCCATTTAGATTTAGATGTAAAATACAGCAATGCAACATTATCATTATCATGGTGGGTGAACAGGCTGAAAAACATAGATACATGCTCTTTTCCAGATGCCCTAGTTATGCAGCACTCTTTGCCATACCGGCGACATCTTTTTTGTCACTATATGATGCACAACTTATGAGCTTATAGAACGCTTCAGCTGTTCACCCACCATGATAATGATAATGTTGCATCGCTGTATTGTACATCCAAATCCAAATGGATAGATAACAACAATCAATATGCCTTGATCCGCTGGAAAGACGTTTTGGGCCTGTTGCCAGATATAGCAGTACTCTATAGGCTCTAGTATGGTTTGCATATGATCCCCAATATCATGTACATCACACTAGTCCATTTGGAAGCTATATTGTCCAGAGATCTGGGGAGAAGACTAAGAATGAGAACAAGCAAATGGTTTCAAATCGATGGGGCCCGTAGTACCGGGAAGTAAGCAAATGCCTCCCGCATCTGTGCCGCCGCGATCTCTGCTACTTTGCCAGTGGGATCGCCGGTCCGAATTGCACCAGACGTGTCTGTTGGATGGTTTCTCGCGTACGAGAACCAATGAAGGGAGAGTCGCTGTCGTCACCTTCACTCATCCTCTCCTCTCCTTTCTTCTTTCTCTTCTATCCAGGCCAAATTGTCAAATTAGTCTCTCCATCTGACAGCGAACGTCCTACAAACGTCTTTAAATGACTGACAAACTACCCAGGTTGCAAAAAATGAGACGGTTCTGCTTAAGCCAGTTGATGCATTGGCATCCGGCATATCAATTGGCTCTGTCCGACAAGACTGTGCAGAAACTTTTAGTGGCCCAGGATGGCTCTGTATCGTGACGCATCTTTTAAAGCCATCCAACTGGCGGAGGGGCCGCTGAGCCTCTCGAGATCAAGCATATGCAAACAGAAATAACCCATAGCTATATGGTTTTACTTCGTTGTGTGTCTGTGGACTTCCTGATATATTCGTACATTGTTGCAATCCCTGCAGAGGTCCAAGCAGTTCTTGTGAAGTCAACTCGGTAACTCGATAATTCCCTGTCTCACCTATCACCAGTGATAGCTCTGCACCTATGCTTATTCCGCAAGTGACGATATTGTGATGCATAGATCGGCTCATCCCAGCATATGAAGGACCGCGTCTATTAAGTACGGATGGATTACAGAGGCATTTTGTATGATGCGGCCTCTCAAGGAAATGTCCTACATTGCCCCACAAAACTACGCAACAAGCTCATGATCCAAGAGCATGAATTCATTGTATATTCCTTGCAGTATCTGCTAGGATGCAGCCAGCAGAAATCCCTGGAGTACACAGCTGCGGGCGAGACTGTTCTGGGTGCTCTGACCACCATACACAAAGATGGGAAAATCGACCAGGGAACCTTTGCCAATGCAACAAAGGCCTTCAATCCCTGTCACGAAGCCCAGTATACACGACTACTCACAAGGGACACACGGGCGCGCCAATCAAGTATTAGAGACGCTTCGATTATAGACAAATTTGTCGAGATGGAGTTCGTTCGGACTTTCGAATGTTGGCTGCCTTCAACTCTCGCATTTAATCGACGTCCGTTCCTGCTTAAGGGGGTTTCAATAATCCTTTAGGAACATATGGATATTCTGGCTTCTTTACGCAATACCCCCCACAGAACCGTACAATCTAGTGCGACATCTAGGGGCACGCTAGGCCTCTTTAAAATCTCTTGGAGGGGCATGAATGCAGCGTGGTCATTGCGACAAAACAGGACTGTGAAGCTCTCGCCACAGTGCTGCAACCCAGTCTGTGACAGAATGACCTACGTTCTTTCTTAGTTATCCGAGGCCGATAAAAGTGATGATTTAGGAAAGCTTTACTCAGCCATCCGTGCAATATCCGTGGTAGATATGTACAGTGGCCTAAGAACCTTCCAGACACAGACACTATTCGAACAGGTGGAGCACGTTTTAAGAAATGACATTGACATTCCCGCCGTTGCATTACTTGTTTGTAAAGGAGCGTCAAGATACACAGTGGCCTACAACGTGTGTGGACGACTGGAGCTCCAGCTCTTATACAACACACCAACTAGGGTGGAAATGCTCGGTTTCTTTTATGACATGTTGAAAAAAAAAAAAAAAAAAAAAGAAAAAGAAAAAAGAAAAAAGAAAAAAGAAAAAAACCAACAATATTGCTTTGAAAGCCACGAAACAGGTAAGCGGTTAAATACCCAGCAGATTGTGCCAATGAAGTAAAATGCTAGTTAACAGGCTTTAGAAGTAGCACTTCCAGAGTGGAAAAGTGACCGAAAAAATTGACGATTGTCGACTCATTGATATCTACAATAATGATTGAGTGTGACAGCTCAAGACTCTAAATACGGCTTAGTATGCTATAAACAAATTCTCGCAATGAGTATGATGCTTCAAAACAAATCATATATTGCCAAGTTGACGCAACGTTTGTCACCCGATGATGGTGCTCCTGCCCGTTTAACCTGATATTTGCTCAGGTCCAACGGCAAACGGAGCTCCTCAGCTTTCTGGACAACAAGAAATGCCCGCAAGACCAACGCAGCTTGGCCTCTCTAGGGAAAGGATGAAATAGATAGAGAGCAGTATGGAATCACCAAACATATGACCGGGTCAGACATTAATGAACGCATCGGACGAACTCAGGAGTCTTAGCAATTGCGTTAAGACAAAACTGCTGTGGTTCAGAAGGCTGAGGAGCTCCAGGCAGGACACCGGAGGGCGATGAAAGATCATGGAGAAAGAGAAACTAAAATCCAGACCATCAAATACAAACGAAAGGGAGGTTCAGGACACAAAAGCGAAGCTAAGGCACATCAAACGAAGCTCCGATGAGCAACTATCCATGTAGGAAGCCATTTCCTCTCCTTGTTCTCATTCCTTCGTTAACGATAACTAGAAGAGGCCGGCCTTCGACCACCTCACCATCGCCAATGATGGTATTCTTTCCCTGGGGGATCTGACCAGCAAATAGAGCATTTGGCCTTCTTGATAAAGTGAAGCAGAAAGCACAGTGCTTACAAGCTGCCATAAATGAGAAGAGCAAAAGACCAGGGAGCGATGGCGAAGGTAGAGAAGGCATGGGAGAAGGAGATCAAAGCAATTAAACAGAAGATTGGGGATAATGAAAACAAGATCCAGAAAATAAAGCAAAAGCCGAACAACGTCTACCTGGGTCGATTTTTTTTAATTTGATTGTCTTTCGCGGATTATACAGAGGCGAGACGAGACCCCTCTCAAGCCCGTTTTCTTTGGTACAGTGCACCAAGCAGGCTCAGATGACCCAGGAATGACGGTTTACTTCAAAACACAAGAAACCGAAGATTCTCCATTGCCGCAAAGATATTCAGGAGGAATTGGAGAGCATGAAGAATGTTCCGTGCCACTGCTCTCGACAAATGGTCAGAACGACCGCCGGATGTACCGAAATGATCAAATGAGAATCTTCCCTGATATCCTTGTGTTTTGCAGTCGTTGTTTTATTTGACTTGTGTTTTTTTTTTTTTTTTTTTTTTTTTTTTTTTTTTTTTTGGTCCCGGTCTCTTTTGTTTCAATCTCTTCTTTTCCGTTGCTTCTTGTCTCAGATTTGTTCCTCATTTTCGTTTTCTTTTGCGAAATAGTGATCTATTGTTATATTATCCGAGTAATATTCGGAGTCTGTGGCTTACTGGTTGGACTTCTCTCTGTTTCAGCTAATTATCATGGAAATATTAAGGCTGACATTATAATGCAAATTGAGACTACCAGAGGTCGAATTCGAACGGATACATCGTATGAAAACGAGTGCTTGAGACACTCTTCGAACGTAGCCAAGATTAACCTGAATGCGATTCTTTTCTCTCCCAGGAGTGTAATAATAGCAAATTCCTCAAACGCCTAAGGATATCATGAAACGTGAAACATTAACACAGCAAGTATAGTACTCAACCAAGCCACTAGTCGCTGTCACTACCACTACCACTGTCACTGTCACTGCCACTGCCGCTCTCACTCTCACTCTCACTCTCACTGGAAGAAGAGCCCGACGAGCTCGAACCAGAAGTAGAGTGAGAGCCTTGTCCAGCACGCTCCACTTTATGGTGTATCTTCTCGGACTTCTTCTCAGAAGTCTTCTCAGACCTCTTCTCGGACTTCTTCTCGGACTTCTTGTCGTTCTTCTTCTTGTCATGCTTCTTGCGCCTGCACGGAGAGAACAACGTCAGCACCCAGCATCCCTCGACAGAACCAAAACGGGGAAACTTACAACTTGCTGACCAAACCCATTCCGGCAGCACCAGTCAACGCACCCCCGGTCGCTCCCAAAAATCCTCCGCCCAACTTCTTACCCAAGAAACCACCGGCCGCACCACCAGTTAGCTTCGATCCCAGACCCCTCTCGCCTTCCTGCGCCTGTCCCTGTTCGGGGGTGCCCGTTGGCTGCTGTCCGGCCTGGGGGGACTTCTCGTTTGCTGGAGGGCCGTAGTAGGAGGCGTTCGAGCCTTGCTGAGGCTGGTTCATTTGCGAGTTCTGGGTGTAGTCGGGAACTCCTCCGTAGGGTGCACCGTATGGATGCGACTGTCCGTACTGATCGTGAGAGGGAGGAGCGGAGTAAGACTGCTAGCAATGGAGTCAGTAGTGAAACTAGAATCGGAGCTTCAGAAAGACTTACGGCAGGTGGATAATATCCCTGCTGCGAGTCCTGCTGTGGAGGTGGGTAGTAACCCTGTCCGCCGTACTGAGGGCTGTTCCCCGCATTGTGCTGGTAATGATAAGAGTCCGACATGATGAGTTCTTTGAAGGTAGATATCGACGAGAGAAGAAATTGAATATGGAGGAAGTGCGATATTCTGTTTGGAGGGAAAGATGTTTTAAGTCAGAAAAAAAGAGGCTGTGTTTATCTGTCACGACATAGTCACAGGGGCCAGAACTGTCATACGGCAAGAGCAGATTGCGATTGCCATCAAAGTACGCCGTACATACGAATTAAGCCTTTCACTCAGTCACAATTCAACTGCGCCGCTTCATTTTCGGATGATTGATAGACGAGAACAATTTAAGAGAACTAATATCATTGGCTTTGTAGTTATCTAGCCAAGAAAGGATCAAATGACACCAAGTCGCGTATTCGCGGATCACATCCGCTGCAAGTAGGTGATCTGCAAAGCTCGGGGCCCAAGGCGCACAGCTCAGGCTGACTCGACTATCCAGGTTGACAAGCGATTTGATATGCTTTTTTCCTTTGTGTTTTTGATTTTTGCACTCCGTAGTAGCCGAATATCCTCAATATTCCATCACGCAGCATTCTCGAGAAGACCTTGTTTTGCCGGAGTTGATTCTGTCGAGTATGAGCAACCACGTCGACTTGACTTTTTTGAGCGCAGTTTTCTGGCGTCGATCACGTTACAGACGGGCCTCTGTGCATGAATCATTTTGTCAACCCCGTGAATAAGAAATTGTCTGGGAAATTCTCACCTTCGAAATCGACCGTTGTGAAGGAAATCCCACTGAACACAGTCGCGTAATGCGATGGTTGCGAATAATAACCGTGTCAAGGAAACGATCATGCTTGTCCACCTGCCCAACAGTATATCCAGATTGACAAATGCGAGAAACCTCTCATGCTCCTCAGTAGTGCGATCCCATTCTTCGCGAAAGCAAGCGCAGTCACGGGCTGGGTCGCCCAATTCCAGCATTGGAGGTTTGTCACTGGTTGAGGGGGAAACGAGGGAACGGGTGAAAGGGGTGTTGGTGAAGGCGTTGTTAAATTACCGTAGATATCGAGAGCGTGGTTCATGGCGGTTGTCGACAAGAACCGATTAGCGTCGAGTTGGGTTACCGACTGGTCGATGCAAATGATGGCCGTATTGTCGAAGTGGCTCGTCATGGGGGTTGCCGACAAGGACCGGGTAGCGTCTAGGCGAGGTAACCGTTGGTGGTTGTGAATGGAGATCGTATTTTCGAGGAACCTATGATTTCGAGTTAGATGAGAATGAGTGTTTCCACTCTGGTTGGTGCGCTCTATGGCATTGAACTGGACTCCAGTTAACCACACATGCTGCAAGCTGCATCATCACCAACGATTCAATCGCCTTGTGATTTGCGCTCTTCCAACAGTTTGATAGTTCTGCATCTGGGATTCCAGTGCTTACAAATTCTGTACAGGCAGCATCCCCGAGGCTTCCCTGGTTCATGCCTAAACATATTTTCACCCTCAGGTGCACTTAGCCCGTCCCCACACGAGACATTAGGCCCATATCATCGCTGAATTGCTGCACGTAACCAGTACGGACGCTCAGGGTCATCTTGCGTGAAGAAGCCGGGAATATTTTAGTACTCCAGAGTCACCTCCGGGCAAACCTAACAAATATCCCGTTCACGAGAGCGAATGGGAGCTACACACAAATCCCATCTCGACAGACTGTCGATAGTGGGAGATCTCTGAGAAGGCACATTGCCATCCTGGAGTGCAGACGCCATAATCCATGTCTCTCGACAGGAAAGCGCCGAGAACCATGTCTTCTTGATAAAAGCACTTGGCCTCTTACAGCCGAGAGCGCAAACAATTGACACCCTACTTAGCGAAAACATATGCATATATAGACTTCGCCTAGCTACTGACATTCTGCAAGAAGGATAATACGCACAAGCATCAAGCTTATCGTCAACCTAGATGCAGGGAGTTTAACATCTGGCCCGGTACCAACCTTGCTAACGATGTCTTTCAATCAGGACTAGAGACCTTAGTCACCGGCTTCCCTTCGACTCGGGTTTAACGCACCATGGCAGTTTCCTCATCGTCGGATGGCAGGAGTATTGCTAGCAGTGCTCAAGCTTTGCCTGAAGCTCTAATCCACACCGCAGATCGCGATCCTTAACCACCTTGCTCCTCGAGTTCATCTTTCACGGATGCAACCTCTTCAGAGTAGACGTTGGAGCGCATCGCCAACTGATGCCTCTTTCAGAGAAGCTAGAGCAGCTTTCTGATATTTTCAAACTTTCCTTCGATAAGCGTGTGTCGTGTCAACTGGGTTCGAGTTCCTCACCTCTTGACGCAAGGGTTCAAATACAGCTCCATGAGGTGGAGATAAAAAAGTTGCAAATACAACATGGAATAAAACTTGTGAAGGCACAGGCCTGTTTCTCTGCAAATTATTCTGCGAAGACGGTCGGGCGTCAGCATTTCGGTTTCGTGGAGGATTACCTGTGCACTCATTTACGTTAGTTATTTGGCTATCAATCTTTGACTGCAAGTACTCACCTTGACGGTTGGATAGTGGCGTCGTCGATTGTTGCTTGTTCCGGGGGCTCTCGATGGTCATCTACACGCAGTCAGCTCAGGTCTAGTCCACGAGTAGGGGAGGCGCGAAAGTTCTTGTTTTGTTGCTTCCCGTGAGGTATAGGAGGTGCCAGGCGATGCCATCTTGAAAAAGGAATAAGTAAAAACGATGGCTTGTCGAAAATAAGAGAGGAAATCGATAAAGGAAGATGGCAGGTAGATGGAAAAGGTGGGTGGAAGAAGATGGGAGGATGAAACTGGTGTGCCCTAGTGTCATGTGATAGGACAATAGTTCAGCAACCATGTACAGGATTGTCAGATATTCACTTGCACACGTCAAGTTGGCCGTCGCTGTAGTAGTAAGTAAACGGTAGTTCGAATTCATAGATAAACCAAAAAAAAAAAAAAATAGTGAGTTTTTCTAGCAATGCTCTGTAGTCTCTAAGATCGCTTCCAAAAGCCACGATATTCAAGTAAAGCACCAAATAATCTCTACCTGACAAAATAAGGAGCTTTCTTCCAAACAAGGATACCGCTTGAATCATATGCCAGGGCTGCTATGTAAGCTTATATATTATTGTCGATCCACCGGCATAGTTACATTGCTCCGGTTTAACTCGAGCACATAATGAACTATTCCTGAAAGACATCTCCTAGATGAAAAATGGAAGCTTTTGATGATATAAAGTGGAAAATATAATATGAGATAGTTCTATCATGGCACAAGCCAAGCAAGTCAAGCCTTTGGGCATATTGCTTGGCGATCTTGGACCTCGTGCAGCCCGGGACGAGGATCAACTTAACCACTTGAGTTTATGAGAACCAAAACACCGCACCTTCACATATTATCTATGCTCCTACAGAAATTCTCATTCCCATGATAATACTGGCCTCCCAGCCAGATCCAGTTTTTTATACGAGAGCACTTCCCCCGCATTCCGCGTTCCGCGCCGAGACCCGGGGATTGGCTTTTTCGAAAGATAGAGTTCAGGCTCAATAATCTCCGCGGACAGTATGTAACCTATTTTTCCTTTCTTGACTCGCTTACCCATCTTGTCAGCCAGCCAACCAGTTGCAATCCCAAACTCTTTGACCACCGGATCCAGCCGCAGCGGGATATCCTCCTCTCCTTTGCGCCTCGTTTAGACCTTTCCAATATTACGGAAACGCGGAGGGTTAACTGTAACTCGTCGGAATAGGAAAGGTGGTGACAGATGGAACCAGGGAAGGAAATTTCGCCGACCATGGATGACCTGGATCGAGCCAATCTCACGACGGAGGATATCGATGATACGACGATAGACAGCCATGCTGACCACCATTGCTTGCTTGAATGTTTTGCTTCGGCGGGGTGAATCGCTTATTTTTTCTTCGTCGAGAGGATAGAGACATGCCGGTTCAGCTGCTCTTTTTTCTTTTCAGCTGCTTTTCTCCTGCCCTCCCTTGCATTCCATCTCCTCCATCCGTCTTCTGCTTTCTCCCTCTTCCTCCGTTGACCACCTCTTAGCAATCAGTGGGCCATGGCAGACTACGACGGAAAAGAAGCGCCTACTGAGCCGGTCTCAGGCCAGGAGCAATATGGACAAGATGGATACATGAAAAAAATGCTACGGTATTCTATCACCAGATTGCCCACATTAATCCCGCCGATGAATCCAGCGCCCAATCCGTTCAAGGCGCTGGCTCTTCTCAATAAACAGCAATGGCTTTTCTTCGGAGTAAGTGGCGGCATTTGGACAGATACATTGCCGCACCCATACTAACGGATGTATAGGTTGCGTTCTTCGGCTGGACGTGGGATTCATTCGATTTCTTTACCGTATCGCTAACTACCAGCGAACTGGCAGTAGAATTCGACAAGTCCGTCACCGAAATTACCTGGGGCATAACCCTCGTCCTCATGCTGCGATCCGTGGGCGCTGTTATTTTCGGAATCGCATCAGACAGATGGGGCCGCAAATGGCCCTTCATCGTCAACAATATTCTGTTTATCGTCCTCGAGCTGGGTACCGGTTTCTGCCAGACCTACAAGCAGTTCCTGGCCTGTCGAGCTCTCTTCGGTATTGCCATGGGTGGCATATACGGCAATGCCGCAGCTACCGCCCTTGAAGATTGTCCCTTGGAGGCCCGTGGGATTGTCTCTGGCATTCTCCAGCAGGGATATGCGTTTGGATATTTGCTGGCGACGGCGTTTTCGCGTGCCCTGGTTAATACAACCTCGCATGGATGGAGACCGTTTTATTGGTTTGCGGCTGCCGTTCCGGTGTTGATTATTTTGTACCGTCTGTTTCTTCCCGAGACGGAGGCGTTCAGACGGCGACAAGAAACTCGAGCTGAGATGGGAGGAGTGACCTCGACGTTCTTCGAAGAGGGAAAGGTGGCTATCAAGCGGCATTGGCTTATCCTGGCTTACCTTGTGTTGTTGCTGGCTGGATTCAATTTCATGGTACACTCCTCCTCCCTGTGGGTTTTCATTCATCGACGCTAACATTCCCAGTCTCACGGATCCCAAGACCTCTACCCGACCATGCTCGAGAAACAATACAACTTCTCCCAAGACGCCGTCACCGTAACCCAAGTCGTCGCCAACCTTGGCGCCCTCTTTGGAGGCACGCTCTGCGGTTGGGCGAGTCAGATCTTTGGCCGTCGCTTCACAATCATCGTGATGAGCATCGTAGGCGGCGCGCTCCTCTACCCTTACACCTTCGTCAAGTCCGAGCGCATCATGGCAGCGGCCTTCTTCGAGCAGTTTTGCGTCCAAGGTGCTTGGGGCACTATACCGATTCACATGATGGAACTATCCCCCGACTCTATCCGTACGTTTGCGGTGGGTTGCGCGTATCAACTGGGAAATCTTGCTTCGTCTGCTAGTTCGACGATCGAGTCTACTATTGGAGAACGATTTCCGCTGCCGCCAGTTGAGGGGGCGTCGGATCGGTACGAATATGGGAAGGTGATTTGCATTTTCATGGGGTGTGTATATGGATATGTGATCATGATGACCCTGGTGGGGCCGGAGAAACTAGGGCGACCGTTTGATGTCGAGCTTGATGTAGATATGGCTGAGGTGACGGCTCATCGGGATGCAAAGGCTAAGGGGGATCCTGAAAAGGACATTTTTCAACAGCAGCCAGACTAGCTCCGTGCCGTCCCTTGAGCAGTTAACCCTGCCAAGAAGTTTGTTAGAACTATATCAGATCCAACTAATCCAAACCACATGGCAAAAGAACGATAATATCAGAGTCTGCTTAATAGACTTGCTCATGGATACTCTTGAGAGCATCAGTCACAGTATATAGAGTAAATTTTCCTCATTTATTTTGATATGCGCACGGTAGTACGAGAGAAGCGACCCACCTGTAGTAGCGTAGTAGTGTGAACTGTGAAGTGTACGAGCATAGTTCTGCAGTGGGAAAGTTGTGTTTATATATGTCCAGCACCAAGAACCCTGCATGGCTGCTGCATAATTGTACTTCCCTGTCATATATCAAACTGTTGAGTATACAGACGCTCGTAGTACTATTCCGTAGTTGTGTAGAGTCTCATCACTGCGTAATCCGTGCCAAGACCCATTCCGTTTTCGGTAATGCTCGACTTCACTTCACCTCCAGATACAGAGTAGAGAGAAGGAGAGATACACCATAAACAGACAGAGAGCAGACAGCATTGCGACGGTGTGCTCTGAATTGGGTTACTTGTCTGGCGTTCGTTCATTTCTCTGTCTGTTACTCCATAGGCCGACTGTGTCGCCTCATCGTCCCGTGTCTTCGGTTGGTTCCGTTCCATTACCCTTCTCTCTTAAGCAGGAGATTAAAAAAAAAATAGAGAAAAAGAAAAAAAGACGGATACATCGTGGTCCTGCTCCAGTCACTCGCTCATCTGAAGCTCTTACATAGTCACTGTACAGTTGTCAATTTCAACCCTCCGACTTCTATCGCAATCCCCCTTGCCGCCTCTTCACGGAGCCTCTCCTGCGATACCGTCCGGACCTCTCTCTCTTTCCTCCTCCGCCTTCCCTCTCGGTGATCCCTCGTGCGCCCTCGCTGCCAGGTCTCAATCGGTCCGTATACCCTGCGTGCTGGATGAGTACTCGCATCGTCGCCTCTTCAAATGCACAGACACTCGTCTGGCTCCCCGTGCGAGGACGACGCTGAGGACTCGTTAATCTCGCGAACTCCTATCACACCCATCGAGGAATATGGTCATGGCCCCAATGCTTTTGAGACGCCCGAGAATTCGCGATCGCAGGTAGCAAGAAGAGGGACCAGCTTCGATCTTCGTCGAGATAACGGTTCTTCTACACCCCGTTCCAGGAATTCGACTATGTGGAGGACTCTGTCGTCCTCATCTTCAACGTTTAACACGCAACCGTTTCACGAGACATCCGCTCCACGACCGCCCATAATGATACCATTGGCGTCCTCTTCATCCTCTCAACGTCTCCCGATGGGACAATCGTCGCCAGAGGGCTCTCCGCGATTCCGAAATGCCCGTCTGCGCAGTCCCTGGTCGTGCTCGATTTTGACCACCATCATGACCTTTTTCGCATCGATATTCATAGTGTCCATACTTCGTTCGTTCGCGGCTCGTCAGGTGGGCGGTAATGGTTGTGGGATTCCCGTTATGAGTCCGACGTTTATTCGCATGGTGGGATTCGACACGGAACATACGCGCTTCGCAAGCAAATACAATCTATACCTTTATCGGGAGGAGGGTGTCGACGCATACAACCAGGAAGACGTTGGCGTGAGTTTGGTAACTTCTTCATCCAAAGGATTCTTGCTGACTCTGTAGTTGAACGGCGCTCCTGTTCTCTTTCTACCCGGAAACGCTGGCAGCTATCGTCAAGTCCGTTCCCTTGCCGCGGAAGCTTCGCGACACTATCACGATGTTGTTCGTCACGATCAGGATCGCCTTAAGACAGGTACCCGGAGCCTCGATTTCTTTATGATTGATTTCAACGAGGATATGGCCGCGTTTCATGGACAAACCTTACTAGACCAAGCGGAGTATGTGAACGAGGCCGTGGCATACATCCTCTCCCTCTACCACGATCCCCGACGCTCCCGCAGAGACCCCGAGCTTCCCGATCCCAGTTCCGTGATCCTTATCGGCCACTCCATGGGTGGAATCGTCGCGCGCACAACGCTCACCATGGCGAATTACCAAGCCAATTCGGTCAACACCATCGTCACCATGTCCGCGCCCCACGCCAAACCACCCGTGTCGTTCGAATCGGACGTCGTCCAGACCTACAAGCAAATCAACGATTACTGGCGCGAAGCATACTCGCAAACCTGGGCCAATAACAACCCATTGTGGCATGTGACTCTCATCTCGATTGCCGGAGGTTCTCGCGATACTGTCGTTCCTTCGGATTACGCCAGTATCTCGTCGCTCGTTCCTGAAACGCACGGTTTCACGGTGTTCACGTCTACAATGCCGGATGTTTGGATCGGAATGGACCACTTGTCTATTACATGGTGTGACCAATTCCGCAAGGCTATCACTAAGTCCTTGTTCGAAGTGGTGGATGTGCGTCGCGCAAGTCAAACGAAGCCGCGCGCGGAGCGGATGCGCATTTTCAAGAAGTGGTATTTGACCGGGTTGGAGCCTATAGCTGAGAGGACTCTTCCGCAAAAAGGTTGGTTTGGTATCTAGAAGAAAACACAGTGTGACTGGCTAATCCGAACCGCACCTACAGAACCGAATACCCTCTTGACGCTCGAAGATAACTCGAATACGATCCTGCCACAAGGCGAGCGACTGATTCTGCGCGAATTCGGCCACCGCAAGGGCCCGGACGTCCGTCTATTACCCATTCCGCCTCAAGGTGTCGCAGGGAAGAAATTTACTCTTCTGACCGACCATCACTTTGACAAAACTGGCGACAATGGAAACCTGGAAGTTCTGTTCTGCAGCGTGTTCCCGCTCCAGAATGGAAAGCTCACATCCGTGTTTTCCATGAATATGGACTTCTCTGGGGGCAATGTTGGCGCAACTCGTCTGGCTTGTAAAAACGCCGCCGATGATGGAATCCACCTTCCTGCTTCAACTCACTCGTCCAAGAACCCCTACGACCGCGTGCAACCGTTCTCATATCTTCAATATGACTTAGAAGATCTGGCGGAGCACCAGTTCGTTGCTATTGTTGACAAGGCTAGTGCACCTGCTAAGGGCTTCCTGGTGGCCGAATTCTCTGATAGTTCGGATGCTTTCATCCGAGCTCGTGTGGGCTTGGGTGGCTTGATCAGTGCTGGTCTGAAGATGAGGCTTCCAGCCAACCGTCCGATGCTCACTGAGGTGAAGGTCCCGGCAATGTATTCGAGTCTACTGAACTACAAACTCAAGATAGTCCAACACGACCACGGAAAGAAACAGAAGGAACTCTTCTCTCCGCTATTGCGCCAGTCGGTCCCGGATCCCCACGAGTCCAAGTTCTTCGTCAACGTGGACGAGGTCAATGTCAATCTTCATGGCATGGCGCCTTTTATGCCGCCGCCGCTTCGCGAACAGTCCCTGATGGGTGGCGTGTCGTTTCAACTCTGGACAGACCCGAGCTACGGCTCTACGGTGGATGTTTCACTCAAGGTGGACATTACTAGTAGTCTGGGTGAGCTCGTGATGCGGTATCGTACCGTGTTTGCGGCATTCCCACTTCTGGTCGTGGCTCTCGTTCTCCGCAAGCAATTCAAAGTGTACGATGAAACCGGCTCTTTCATTACCTTCGCGGAAGGCTTGGACAGTGCCGTACGGTCATCTCTGCCAATTCTGCTGCTTGCCATGTCGCTTCTGGCATCTTCTCTGGCTACCTCGACTACGCTCTCATCAAGCGATGATCCGTTTCACTGGCGCACGAATTCCACTGAGAGCCCGATTGATTTCACCAAGAATGACTTGCTTCTGGGCTCACAGGATGCCTTCTTCTGGTTCTTGGTCCCTGTGTTTGGTCTGATCAGTGTTGGGGTCTGCGTTATTGTCAACTACGTGGCCCTCCTGCTTCTATCGATCATCTCCTTCGTGTATGGTCTTGTGAACAGCAAGTTTGGCTATATCAGACGCGATGACAAGGGGTGAGTCTCATCCATCTACATGGATAAAAGCTGTTGCTAATTTACTTTCAGGAATGTGTCGGTTTTCGCTGCGTCGACTCCCAGAAGACGCTTGATCAACACTGCCATCCTTCTGGTCCTGGTCTCTACAGTCATTCCATACCAGTTCGCTTATATGGTTGCTTGCATTGTTCAGCTTGCCACCTGCGTGCGAGCTCAGTGGCATGCCAGGGAAACTGTACGTTTGTCTACAATCTTTGGATGGTATTTTAGCTAACGTGTATAGCGATTCACCGCACACTTCAATTTCTCCAACTACGCTCACTCGATTCTCATCCTTATGCTGTGGATTCTGCCAATCAACGCACTGGTTCTTCTGGTCTGGGCTCACAACCTTGTCGTCCACTGGTTGATGCCGTTCTCATCACATCATAATGTCCTATCCATCATGCCGTTTATCCTTCTAGTCGAGACGCTGACCAGTGGGGCCATGATCCCTCGTGTGACGAATCGGTGTGTATGCCTCCCTATTAGCGTGTTGCTCTATCTAACAATGTCAGATTCAAACACATCACATCCATCATCCTCTTCTCTATCGCCATCTATTCGGCCGTCTACGGTGTTTCTTACGCCTACCTCCTTCATCATCTCGCGAACATCTTTTCCGCATGGCTGATTGGTATCTACCTCTTCAGCAGTGGCTTCTCCGTTCGACGACTATGGCGTATGCTGGAAGGAGAAGAACTTTCTTCCGGTATGTCTGAGGTAGGAGGAAGCCACGTCAAGAAAAAGCCATAACAATTGACTTCCTTTTCATTTAAATCTTCATTTCTTCCCATCTGATTTTACTCTATCCTATTTAACTGTACGCTTCTCGTGTCTATTTTCATCCACCGGTGCCGCGTCACCATTGCTTATACGGAGTTTGTTTCGGGAGCGGTGTTGATATCCTTCCCTGTCTGTCATCGGTCTGTACAGGATACGGATCACTTTGTTTCTCTTACGAGTGGGCGTTTAGCATTGCAACCGCTTGCTGTGCCTGTTTGTAGTTTCGCTTTCCTTTCTTGTTTTATCCGGAGTCTCTTTCTGTTCCCTGGTAATATATCTGTATATAAGGTTGTTTTCTCCTTCACTGCGTTTCTGCGTGTGGTCCGTTGGATTTGGACATAGATTTCATGCCATGTACGGATCTGATAGAGTGATACATAATATGCACTTTTCCTCTGCTTTCTAAAGTGTTCTTTCAATGCTTCATTGGTATCGTACTTTCTCGTCATATATAATACAGTAAAGGTGCCCCATGCCCTCAAGTAACGACCGGTCCAACTCTAACATCCCCAACCCCCATCCCCGTCCTCCTCATCTCCCTAACTTCCTTCACCTTCTCTTCGTTCTTCAACCTTTGCTTCATCATCGCATTGAACCTCTTCTTCCCCCCAAACTTCAACTTGGTGATCATATCTGTCGCCTGCCCGCGCGTCATATGCTCCGATTGCAACCGTCTTCCGCTCTTCAGATTCGCGCGGTTGAGCATGTCAAGTTGAGATGGTGTAGCGGGTGCATTGCGCCACGGCTGGCGCGCGGAGATATAGCGTTTTGGGAATGTAGATGCGGCGAAGGTATCGGCTGAGTCGACGGCGTATTCGAGATTGGGTGCTTGGGCGATAAGGCGGGGGCGCGAGTAGTGGTGTTCGCCGGCGGCGCCTTGGAATTTGGTTACGTGGTGGACTGTGTATAACTCGTCTGATTCGGGAATTGAGGGAGTGGTCTTTGTATGTCGTGATTTTGGTCTACCTTCGGCATGGGTATCGGGATTTCCCTTTTCGATAGTTACCCAGCCATTTAAGCCTGAGAGGACGTAGCGGTCGTCGCCGGCGCGGACCCAGGCGTGCTGCGACAGAGAGCGGATGTGTTTATCGCTGCGCATGTCGCCGAGAAGATCTGTGATGCTGTCGTAGCGGGTGAATTTGATGTTGATGTCTTCGTTTAGGGAAGTTTCTTTTTCGCCCCCGAGGGGGGATTGAGTATCGTTTTCGCGTCGTTCTTCTTCTCGCGCTTCGCGGTCGATGCGTGCGAGTTGCTCTTCTTTGGTTTCGCGGAGTTGTTTTACAGTGGACTTTTCGAGGACTTCGTCTGGGTGTAGGCCGAAGAGGGTTGGGGTGGAGAGGACGCCTGTTTCGAGAGTGGCGACCATGTCGATTATATGGCAGTTTTCTTTCCCTGGAAAGAGACGTAGGCCGCGGCCTATCATCTGGATTAAGAGGTTTCTGGATCGGGTTGGTCTTGCTAGTAACACGCAGTCGATGTTGGGGATGTCTGTGCCTTCTGTGAAGAGGCCGCAGTTCACTAGGACGGGATATTCTTGGTTTCTAAATGCTCGGAGTTGTTCTGCCCGGACTTCTTTCGAGGTTCCGGAGGTGATATATCGCGCGTCGATGCCATATTGGCGAAACGTTTCGGTTAACGTCTTCGTATGATCTATGTCCACGCAGAACACGAGTGTCGACTTTCGGTCATGCGCGTTGGCCAACCACGCACGAACAGTGATGTTATTCGTGCTATCCGTATTAACTGCTTGAGAAAGCGACCCGAGCTGGAAATCCCCCGACTTGTCCCTTTTAACCCTCGACAGATTCGCGTCAGACCGAACAGTCGTGAAAACCGCATTGGCAAGCCACCGCTCATCAATCATATCCATATAATCCTTATGATAAACGATATGATCAATCGCAGCCCCCAACTTCAACCCATCCGGTCTTGAAAACGTCGCAGACACACCAACCAGCACAGGCGAATCCTCCGTCGGCTCATTAAGACCAAAATATCCCAGCACCTCGCGGTACGACTTCGCAACGATATGATGTGCCTCGTCGACAAGTATGAGCTTGAATCGGCCCGGGAAGAACTTCTCTATACGATCCCCAGACATCAGACTTCGGATTGAAGCTACACATATATCTGCGTGGCCTTTGTAATGACTGTTTCCCATTTCGACTTCGACGGTCTTGTCGGGGTATGCGAGGCGGCAGTGGTGGGCTGCTTGTTCGACGAGTTCGCGACGGTGGACGATGACGAGGGTTTTGTCGCCATATTCGTTGCGAGGGGGGATTCGGCCGATCAGTTGTGTGAAGATGACCTAGTCAAAAGTCATTATCAGTAACTGATCTCTTCTTGGAATGAAGTATGAGCTACCGTCTTCCCAGCACCCGTCGCAAGAGATATCCCCAACCGCTTATGCCCCTCATCCACATATCTCAAAACCGACTGTATACATTCTTCCTGGTAATCACGGAGGACTATACTTGGCTGTTCCGGCTCTGTAGATCTGTGCAAAGGAATGGCAAGCGTGGATTTCGGACGCCAGAGCTTTCGCTGAGGCGGAGCTCGTGCCCATAGTAACGGCGTTGATACGGGCATTCGCATCCTCATGGCGAGAATGCGCGAAATGGGGAAAGCCCTCAATCTATGTCGGATAACCTCCATCCAGGTGTCATACCGTGATTGCTCAAAGAAGGTAGGTGGTGGTTTTCAGAGTGTCTATGATCCTCAAAAACAAACAGTGCAAACATGCAGCCTTATCAGAAATATTCTTGCGATAAGTCAAACCGGTCACTTTCTCTACAAACACATTTCCAACAGTCCAATTGCATTTATGTGATGCACACTAGCTTCCAAATACTCCAGGAACAGTTGTGATGTCCTCAGTTACCCTCCAGGTCCCGCGCTGCCCGCATCACCCCCCACCAAACGATGAGCAGCTCCAGCAGTTACCACCCCGAGGAAAGCGAAGACGCCTCTGATTCCGAGTTCGAAACGAGACAATCAACCGCTACAAGATCCTCAGCAGCACCCTCTTCGCGATCGCATGGTACTGAGTACTCCGCGCGCGAACTTCGTCGAAATGCATCCAGATCCGAACGCCGGAAAGCTCGCAATAGGACGCGGGAGACGGCATACTGGGACTTGCGCCAACAGCTCCCCGGTGAATCGATGGGAGCTTATACGGAACTTCTCGAAGAGACAAATATCGATCTTCCTCCCGTTGAATCAGAATTTGGTGGCAGTGGGAATTATAACGTCACGCAAAACGGAATCGTGATATGGACCACCCAGGAAAAAGAGATCTTCTTCGATCTACTGGACAAGAAAGGCAAGAACGGGGTAAAGGATATTGCACAAGCCATCGGCACCAAATCAGAACTCGAGGTTCAGGAACATCTCAAACTTTTGCACAGGGGTCTGGAACGGCAGCATCTGAGGGATCGTCATGCGCGCACGGTTATTTTGGGCGATGTTCCGGCAGCTACAGAGGTTGGGGAGAAATGTGGGAGGGCACTTGACAAGTATTCGGAGCTTTTGTGCCTTGAGGAGCAGTATCTGGGGGATGTTGCTGGGAGGAAGAGGCACTACAATGCGTGGATTATTGATCGAGGGAAGGCAGAGGAGATAGATGAGCAAATTGACGAGGAGGAAGACGCTGACGAAGAGGGAGATGAGGAAGCAGACGCAACAGAACATGAGGAAAGCGAAGACGAAGAAAGCGAAGAAGAATGTGAAGAAGAGAGAGAACCCCTGACCGTCCCCACAAACTCCCCAGTCCACCTCTCTGCAAGCCTTTTTACCATGTCAAAATGGATCCGCCTCTCTGAACGCTTCTTCATGAATTCTAGCGGTTCCCGAATCCCAGACAACTGGACCAAGATCGCCTATCCAGGCGAAACCCCCTCAATAACCGCAGACGCGTTCACAGACCTTTACTCCATAGCCATAAGTCTTACACGACGACTAGTTCATTCATCACTGTTCTTCGCCATGTCACGAATACGCCAGATGAGGGATTCTGGCGGCCGTCAGAAGGCCAGATTAGTGAAGTCCCAGGATGTTAGGACCGCACTTGATGTACTCAACATGAAGCAGGATCGGTCTGACTACTGGATTGGGTTGGCGAGAAGATGTCATCTGGATGTAATGGATGCGAGACATCAGAAGGGGTGGAAGAATGTCCGAATGAGCCATAATGAAGTGGAGGACTATCTATCTGGGGATTTACCCAAGTCTTCTGATGAGAAAGACAAATCAAAACCAAGTCAGGAACACGCAGGCAACCCGACAGATAACGACGACAACGACTCCGTCCTCTCAGACGTCCACTCCTCCCCCGACCCGATACCAGAAGAACAACTATACTTAACTTTCGAAGACGAACACGCAGAAACAGTTGACCAAAAAGCAAGCAAAATAGAAGAACAACGCCTCTGGAGAGTCCTAAGCCATCCAGCACCAGTCGATCTCGATCCGGAAATAAAACCCGAAGGCGAAGACCTAGAAACATTACGAAAACCGATTGGAGAGCGCAAGACAAAGGAAGATCTTGTCGACTGGCGCGATAGGACTCTGTACCGCGGTGAATGGGAGGAATACGGAAACGATGTCTTTGATGTATATGAGGAGTTATCGGAAAACCGACGGAAAAGACGACGCATCGCCAAAGAACCCGTTATACCTGCTTCTTCTGTCGGAACTGTTTCTGATGATGACGCGGATGTTGAGATGGATGAAATGGATACCCGTGACGATGAGAAAATCGAAGAAATCAATACTCGCACTATCAAGCACGAGGGCGAGGACGGAAGCGAAGAAGAAGAGGAGGACCGTGATGAAGACATGGACGAGCATGAGGAATCCGTCCACTCCATTGGTGGTGAAGAAGTTGATCAGAAACCCATCATCCGAGATAACGAAGAGGAACCGCAAGACCAACACGCATCTCATGACTCGAACGAGTCCGAATACGAATCAGAAAACGATTTCAAACCGCCCCAGCAGGCCATCAAATACGATCCGTCAGGGGATGAAGACGAAGGCTCAGGATCAATGTCCGAGTTTTCCGGATCAGAATCTGAATCCGACGACGATCACCAGCCTCAGCAAAGCACGATGAAGCGGGAGGCGTCAGAGCACTCAGGCTCTGAATCAGAAAGCGCCGAAACCGAGCAGAATCCCAATATCCCTAGCGGATCTCAAGAGCACCACCAAAGAATCAAGCACGACCCCTCTGAATACTCCGGTTCAGGCTCAGAATCTGAATCCGACGGTGAAAGCACTGAAACAGAACACAAACCGAACATTACTGCTGCTGCGAATGCATCCGAGGATAACACCAGACTCAAAGAAGGTGATGAAAGTATAGAGGAAGGAAGCATGTCGTCTAACCAACGTGACCGTTCATCATCTGAAGAGCATGATAATGATACGCCCTATTATTACCAGCAGACGAGTCAGGAGCATGGTTTGGTTAAAAGGGAATAGATTTCGTCTTGGAGTTTTGGATTATTGCATATATCCCAGTTGGATTAGATTTACACTTGGTTCAGCCTGCTCATTTCATCCTAGACGATAATAGAATAAAATCGCATTGGTACGGGACAGAAGGTAATCAGAATAGTAGCATTATAAGATAGCTCGTAACTCCAAACAAACAAAACATTGCGCCTTTTCCTATGAAAAATGAAACGGAAATGAAGACAAATAAAATGAACCATCCCCAACCGAGTCATTCATACTCCCGTCTTATCTATCCAGGTCCAGTCCAGAAAGATCATTCTGACCTCTGCTCTCTTCGGGACATGGTATAGTACATGATATAATAAGAAACGAAGAAGATATCCCCTGTCGGTATAACGACGAAACCCGTTTCATACATGTCATTTTCTTATATTATCTGTGATAACAGGACGGTACCGTTTATAGATCAAATGCCTTGAAATCGGCACCTGCCTCAGCACTCCATGGCTGAACACCGGTTCTGAAATCGCCGCCAACGGGCTGGAAGTTGTACCGGTTACCCATACCAGCTGCTGCGGCATCAGCGATCATTGCGTTGGCGTCGTCACTGGGATCCTTGAGAGTGATGGACTGCAACGAGTCTTGGACATCCTTGACGCGCTTCTTCATGGCCATTCGGTCCAGGAAGAGCTGCTGGCGAGCTTGTTCGAGTTCCCGGCGTTCAGCCTCGATGATCTCTTCCATCTCGTTGAATTGCTGGAGCTTAATCTCGAATTTTTGGAGGGTGACGTTGACAGCGGCAGAGACGAGACGGGTCATTTCCCGTTCTTCGTGCGAGGCCAAGGCTCCAGCACGCGCTGCGGAGGCTGCGAGGGCAACGTTGGGGAGGGATGCCTTGGATGCTGTTTCAGTCTCTGCACGGGAGGTATCCACCTCCATGGAGTCTTCTGTCTTCGTAGCTTCGCCCTCCTTCTCCTTGCCCTTATCCTGGGCCTTCTCTTCACCCGAACCCTTCCCGAGCTGCTTCTTGAGTTCCTTCCGGATCTCTTCCACGGAGCGTCCTGCGGCTGCGGCAGCCACTGACGGCTCTGCCATTTGAGCGAGGAATGCGACAACGGACAAAACTGGGTTTTCGGCGTGGCTGATAGGATCCCGGCCATGAAGGTTGCGCAGGTCTGGCATGTCTTCAACGTACTTGTCTTCGATCTCAAGCTGCAAGAACTTCATCACGCATTCTTCCTTTGTCCTTGTGCCCACGTGGTTGGCAATTTGCTCCCAGTTGTCGTCAAAGTTCTCCAATCCTTCGAGGAGCAGGACAAGCTCCGAGTCGCTCCAAGGAGCTTCCTTATCTTGAGCAATCGAGTATTCGTTGTCCTCGAGCTTGACGAAATCCGAAGCGCTGTGGCTCGAAGGCATGCGTCCCTGCAAAAAGCAGTTGGGGCACAGGTCGTACTTCGAGTTCGGGGCGTTGTTTCCAGCGGCGGGTGCCGACTTGGCGTAATGGAACCGGAGACGAGTACAGTCAATTCCACAAGAGAAGCAGTGGGCCTTCTTTCTAGGTTCCCGAGCAGCGTTCTCCAGTGCCTTGGTGGGATCAGTACCATTAGCGCCTTCCCCGTTGGCCTGCTTGTCTTTGTCCTCTGTAGTCGGTGTGATCTCTTTGCCCTTGTCGTCGTAGATATTCCGGCGAAGTTCGAGGTTGAGGTCTGCCTTGGAAGCAGGAGTGGAGGAAGCGGCACGGTCAGTGGCCGGGTGAGGTTTACCCGGGGTAACTGTGTGGTTGGGACCGGGTTGGAAAGGCTGAAGGCCACGCGGGGTGTCGGCAACTACTCGGAAATGGCCAGTAAACGGAGGACCAATGTTGGAAGGACGCGTTTGGGGGTCCACCTGTTCGCGGTCAGCATTCACCAAGGTAGTGTCCATAATTCAGGGAAAGACGCACCTGGTAGTTAATCAACCCCCATTGCTCGAGGAAAGAGTGTACCCGCATAATAGCGCAGACATCTCCGGCGAGGTTACGGCGACAAGCCGTGACAGTGAGATATTCAATGGGATTCAGTCGATAAGTGTTGATCATGAAATCTCGGTAATCCTTGTAAACGGCGGGTGTCTTGCTGCGGTTCCGGCCATTGAAGAACTCTGCCAAAGCCTTCTTCTCGATGGGATGCACAGTGTGCATATCGAACCATGTGGAATAACTCGGGAGAATAATTGCATGTGTCTGCGAAACGAGATGTGAACGAGCAGAAGCCTCAAGCGACGCCTTGGCCTGCGCTGGGTCAGCAGCACCATCCACACCCAACGGAACTGAGCCCTCTCCGGTTTCATCGCCAGTATCGGGGTCTTTCTTCGCGTCTTCCATCCCGCCCATTTCTTCGTCTTCGCGCTCAGCGTCGGCGTTCTGGGGCTTGGGAGATGCAGGCGCATCTAGCGGGTTATCGGTTCCGGAAGCACTTTCGGCCTTTTTAACCGGCGATCCTTGATATGATTGCGATCCTGTACGAATGGCATAAATGTTGGTAACCTGCATGTCTTTTCGCGAGAGGTAGATGGATGGATGGGAAAAGGGTTACTTACCACTAGGCGCAACAACATCACCGGGGGCATCCTGAGCGACGGCATGAGCATCATCGGCAGCGCCCGAAAAAACTGGATTGTCTTCCATAATATGCGGGAGGTGATTGGTATCGAAACGCGAGTCGCAGACGGGTTGCTCAAGGCACTTTGCCTTGTCTTCAAGAGATCACTGTCGGATTCGTAGGGAAAGGACAGGGTGCAAAAGGCAGCGCTTGAACAGCTGCTGCAAAAGACAAAGCACAGTGACTCTATCTCCAGAGAGAACAAACAAAAAATCGAATAAACGGCGATGCTATCCAAAGGCCGACAGCAACGAGGGTTGAGGTTGGCTGGAGAAAGCAGCGCATTCGGTCGCGACACGCCCAAAAGTTCGCGCCAAGACCGAGTGGTGCGCTAGCCTGTTTGGGCTAGCTCCATATATTCTCGTCTTCCTTTCACAACGTCGCTTAATTTCTCTCTATTAATGGGGCTCATGGTCCTGTTCTGTCTACTACGGCTCTTGTATCGTTGACGAGAATGGCCTTGCGCTCCGGCTCTTGTCAAACAGCTGTATCCGAAACACCGACTCAGCTACGGAATACAGATACAGAACTCTACATTATTGTTGCAACATAATCAATCATCAACCATTACATATTTACATACACGATTGCGTTTCATAGCAGGATTCCAGAATATACAACACTATCCAATCCAAGACGCTTAGTGCTGAGCACTAGCAGCAGCTTTGTCCTGGAAAGTCTTAGTCACCGCGGGCCTAGCCTTGACCTTCTCCAACCAAGCATTCAGGTTAGGGAACTCCTTAGCCACGTCGACGGCACCAGCAAGGCGTGCCCCAATGGCAACATACCACGGCACGAACGCCGCATCAGCATAACTGTACCTGCCCCCAACGAGATACTCCTTACCCTCCAACTCCTTGTTCAACACACCCGACACCCTCCGGATCTCATTCAGATACCGGTCGATGGCACTCTGAACCTTCTCCTGGTGGAAAACACTGAACCAAACGGCCTGTCCGAAGTACGGACCCTGTCCGGACATCTGGTAGTGCAGCCACTGCTTTGCCTGGAAGTACTCGGGGGAACCAGCGGCGAAGCTAATGGTGTTTTGCTTATCGTATGTTTCGACGAGGTATTCGACGATAGCGCCGGATTCCCAGAGGGAGATACCGGTGTTGGGGTCTTCGATGGCGGGGACACGACCGTTGGGGTTGAGTTTCTCGAAGGGGTCTTGTTTCATTTCGGGGAATTGGAGGAATTTGGTTTCGTAGGGGAGCTTAAGTTCTTCGAGGATGGCAGTCACCTTCCACGGGTTGGGACCGGTGTGACTGTAGAGAACAATTGGTTTGAGAGACATTGTGGTGTTTTTGGTTTAATTGGTTGCAATTGAGGGTAATGGTATATATTGGGGTATTATTCCGTGAGGACTTAGGGAGGAATGAATTGAGAAGGGGACAGTATGTCGTCTTTATATACTATCTCAACGAATATAGCATATGTAGTCGATGCCCCGCACTGCGATGGAGAAGCAAGAAGAACAACTCCGAAGTCAATAGTTATAAGCTCTGCTCTGTAATCACGGCTTCGTCTTCGGCACCAAACCCGCTATCATTCCGAGAGCTGACAAATTGCGGAGAATTGATCAAATGTGTTCGTTGAGTACCACTGGGACGCGGAAATGAGCGCACGGAGTAGAGAAGTAGACAATAGATTATGTTCGAATTGATGAATTATATACAAAATGCTTCCGAAACTAAGCCAACTCTTGTCTACCATGCCCGTATCACCAACACCAAGATACATATTCCCAGTGCCATACTTCCGCAACGACAATCAAGAGATTTTGCGTGAAAGTGGAACTCATATATATCTCTAGGTCAACAAGGTGCCACAACAGATTTAATGAAAACCATCCTTGACTTCAGAAAACACAAGAGGGGAACCCTTCTCTCCACCAACAACTTTGATCTGCTTCGAAACGCGCTCCGCTTCGTCGACCTTGGACAGAGACTCAATATCCTCAGCTGAATCTGTCCGAAGTCGAAACATAAGCAACGGCAGCACGGAATCTTTCCACAGCATCGTATTCAACCTGCGGCTTGTGGTCGCGGTAGCTATCAATAGCATGATCGAGAAAAGAATTGCAAGCGTCGGGAGAATGATCCAAGGCCACCTCACTTTTATGTATGTTTCGTGCCGAAAGGCTTTCCCAGGGATTGTGAAGCCTGTGGTCGTGTCTGAACGCATAATGTTGGTCATGCTGGTAGTCATTGCATCCATTGTTGCATCAGCGTTATCAATTCCGCCCATGATGGTGGCAGCCATCATATTTAGACCGAACATCAGAATATTATCCAATCTGAATAATCCATGCATGGCTGAGTCTATTTTGCTCCAGGTGTAGCTTTCGATGGAATAAGTGGAATTCGGGGATAGCTGCTCCATTTGGTCGGGTGGGACTAATGTGACCTGCGAAATATCAGGGTCACTCACGTTGACATTCGGTCCCAGTTGTTGTTCCTTGTAAAGCCGAAGGCGACCGTTACCTCCCGAGTAAACGTTGTTCTTGTACTGCTTTTCACACGCATAGATCGTACACATACTTATGTCTGGCTTCTTCTCGGGCGTCGTGTAATTGTCCCGTGTGTATACATTGATTTCATTTGCGTATCTTGATGAAATGAAGGACAAGACTGGCTGCTGTATTCCAAGAGCGGGGGCTCTTCCGTTTCCCCTGATAAAGGACATCCACTTCTGACGCTTGGTGCTGAGGACCGGTGTATTATGTAGCCCCATTTTCCACACGGTGTAGTTATAATTAACTTCCATCGTCTGAGCAAGAATCTCGTACCCATCTGGTAATGTATATGTGCAATTCTCTGGAACATGCAATATAAGATCTGACCATCCAAACTTTGATTGCACTTTCGATATTGAGGGATCGACCTTACAGGTTTGATTGGTCTGGCTGGTGATATCCTGGCATCGACTGCAAAAGCCCAATGTCACAAAGTCAGGATATTGGCAATTCCCTGACGAACACTGCGGATCGAGGGGTTCATTGGTCTGAGCAAGCCCGTTCAGGATAGCAGCGTTCATTGTGGGGCTCAGGTCATAATCCGAGCTGATGTTCTTTATTGTTTGCCATGCTGAATGTCCTTGTGCCTTCCCATATGTATGCGCGGCTTGGACAGACGCCGTTTCGTTGGAAGCCAGTACACTCCGCGAGGGGAAAGCCAGTATTTGCTGCGCAAATGGATCGATGGCCAGAGACAGTATCATAAGCAGCGCGCCCATAGTTGCTAGCCCCGGGGTTATCCTCCAAAGAATCTGAAAAGAACCCCAGGCCCCACGGCTGGCCTGATCATAAAGCTGCATATGATATAGCGGCGTCGGTTTCTGGTATTGGTTCCATTTCAACTGGCTAAGACACGACGGTACCAAGACGAGCATCGTTGCTTTTGCGGCGGTGACGATTACCGATATGACTGCGTTGGGGGAAACGCGGTATCCCCAGGCGGCATACGGCCTATCAAAAATGTATATCAGGAAGCCGATCAACATAGCGATGCAGACCGTACTGAATACGGCAGCTATAATCTCCGGTGCCCACGATCCAGTCCAGTTGAATGGTTCTTCCTTTTTGGGTGCATCGAGTGGCACTGACTCCTCGGGCTGCGATTTCGATTCGGAGGGGCTCGAGGGTTTGTCGAGTGCAAAGATTTTGTGTATCGCTTGCTTTGCCATTGGTGATGAATATCAATTGCGCAAGTGTATACCGGTAATAGCAGTGGACGACTGAGAAGAAAAGAAGTTGAGTGTAGCCATAGACAAAAGAAAAGAAAAGAAAAAAAAGAAAAAAGAAGAAGAAAAGAAGAAAGTCTCGAGAACATGGGAATATCACTCTAATATTTATGTTTCTTTCCCCAATTGAACCCCTCCGGGTCGACCCTCAGCCAGTCAGCCTTGTTCATCAAAAGCGGAAAGGTTTCGCAACTCGCATCGTGTTGGCTTTATTATTATGATTATTGGCACGGGGAACAGAAATGAGTGGGGTGCGATCTACATGAGCGCTTAGGGAAGAAGGTCGAAATTGATGCCCGAGTTGTTTCTATTTTCTGTTTTATATGTCGTTCATGGTTACAGCAAAACCTGGTTATAGCGAGATAAAGTGGTAAGGTCCAAAATCTCGTAATAGTGAGGATCTCGCAATGTCAAAATATATATATTTACACCCAAATAGTACCGTCCTAATACTGTAGCCAACTTCTGGCCATGTAACATATATTTACACATATCTAGCTTGCATGGGATGATAAAATACCCTTTTAGCATGCTATTATCTATAATATCTATTAAATAGAGCTGCACTGGGCCATGGGCATGGATATAGGCATATGGGCAGGAATACAGGTGAAATCCAGGGATTTCTAGGCCTACGGCCACTAGTATGGAGACTTCTGATTGGCCATATATGCGCCCACTGGCCGTCAATATAGCGAGGTTTCTCGTTAATTGTATGGAAATTTATTTCAGGAAATCAAAATTTCTCGTTAAACTGAGGATCTCGTTATTCGTTCTAACCAGGTTTTGCTGTAGTTATGTTTTTCACTTATGCCTATCTGACTAATGACATGCAGCCCTATCCGTGTTACTCGGATCATAGTCGTTATCTGATTTGTCTTATTTGATCCAAACAGCAAAAATGTGCAAGCAGGTGTTATATGAAATCTTTGCCGGCCATCAAATCACAGAGGGTATGCTTGATGAGGCTGCGAAACTCTTCAGTGAACACTACGGGATCTGGGGTGAGCATTCACACAACCCAGGTCAGTTCCCCGTCTTATTCTCTCTATTCTCGCTGCTGAAGCTCTCTATAGGAAAGCGCATCAAGTTCAGTACACGCCGGCTACGAGAATAAATCCTCCCTGGCCCCTCAAAAACCCACTATGTCAAAGTAACCGCCGATGGCAAATTCGCTGGGAATGTCTTCGCTTGTCGCTGGGAACATGACCACAAGATTATCTGTTGGGTTACTCAACTATTAGTACACAAAAACTATCGCCAGCGGGGACTAGCCACTGACATCCTAGCATGTCTCAAGTCCAATAAAATCAGCGATTCATATGGGATCATGAGTTCTCACCCAGCTTCTATTATGGCGACTGCATCATCTTTTGGATTCACCATTGATGGTATTGATCTTGATTTTGTCAGGATAAATGCCAAGGGTATCATCCGGGCGTTGCCAATACCCTCCGTTCGAGATGCAAAACTGCGCGGTCTCTTGTTCGAAGAATTTGACGCATCGACGGGACTAGTTTGTGGGGCGGGTACCAACTTCTTTGTTGATCACAAAGAGCCTGAAGAGACTTTAAATTCGATTCCTCGGACTAGAAAATGGTATTTTGGAAAGTTGCCAGAAGGTCATGAGTATTTGCTTATTCTAAAGGGCAGACCCCGTTGAATGAGAGATATACTCTCGATCCCAATGGTCTTTGACTCGTGTCATTTCTCTCATCAGTTTTCAAAAAGATTGGAAGATTCACATCAATCAGATGTCTTCTGTCCTCGATCTGATCATTAAGAACTCCTATCAGGTTTATTATGTGGTAAAGACCAACTGTTATATATGACTCAGTAGCTGTGAAACAAGACATTAAGATTATTCCACCTTGAATATGTACAATGTCTGTGTCATAGTCTAGAAAAGGTTTCATTACTTCAACGCCAAACTCGTCGCTATCGCTTCATGATGCACAACTTGCTCCGAAACATCCTCCTGGTTCCTATTTCCATGCTTTTCCCTACTTATGTCCTTGCAATCCCCATGCAGCTGGAACTCGGAGCCAACACACGTACTAGTTGACGCAATACTATGGTTGCGCTTCTGTATTTGGCTTTCCGGGGTCTTTTTGCGGTGGAGGTAGGTTAAGAGGTTGCGGAGGGGGTTGCGGTTGCGTGTTGATGTCGATGTAGACATGGCTGTAAATGTAGACGTTTCGGGCAATTTGAATGAGCCAATGGAGGCTATCGAGAATAGGGGGTTTGAATAAGAGGTATAAATTAGCCGGTAGATTTGTTGTTCGTAGATCTAATGAGTCGACATCGATTTCGCGGAGGTTTTGACGAAGTCGCACAACAGTAACGGCATAGTAGTAGCAGGAGGAGATTTAATGGACATTTAACTGAAAGATATGTAGATCGCAATTGCGTATTCAATGCAAGACAGATCACACTATTTATACTCGAAAATTCACCGACCATCCGCCCTGTGATTCACGCGAGGCGATCATGACTCTATTGTCAATAGATCAAAGCGCGCGCCTTATGATTGTCGGGAGATCCTTGGGCACTGGCCAATTGTCTATGCTAACACTATATGGCAATAAATTATTAACATGTTGTCATTAACTATATTCTAAATCGTAAGGCACCGTAGAGAGGCATGTGTTGTTAAAGCCCCGCTAGCAACTCGCCCATCGAAATCGGTTTCCGGACTGCGTTTGAGAATCCATCGTGATATGTCACCCATACCCTTCTCCCCGCTTTAGACGCTTCATTCTGCACGGGTTGACTGCCATCGCCGGAATCCGTCGATGCAGGGGCCCGTTCCTGAATCACTCTTCCGAAAAAGTCGCGCTTCACTCCGACGTCTTTCAGTGGGTCCTTGTTTTTCGAGTCTTCGTTCTCATCTGCTCCGTCGCCGGACTTGCGACTTGATTTCTTGTTTCTTGTGCTAACGGAGGACGTATTGAGTGCCTCGGATTGCTTGCGGAGGGTCTCTTTGTGGTATTCTTGGTCGAGTACTTGACGAACGGCGTACCGGACTGGTGCGGACCCGCTTGTGCAAGAAGTTGAGCTCCCTTTCATTTTGGAAAAAGTTACGAGGGTATCCAACGGTCTAGATTGTCTTTGTTAGTATATTTCCTTCGGGGTCCAAATAAGGTTAGATCGGTGATGACTCACGGCTCCATCCGATACGCCCATCCGCCATGGACACCACCCTCACTCTCCACTCGTATCTTCTCAAACGTGACTCCTAGACCCATCATAGCCCGCACAGCCGCTAGAACTAGTGCCCGCTCGCTTTCTTTGCGGACGCTAGCTACGCTCTTCGAATCCCCGCTTCCTCGGACGACGACCGGCTTCACGTCGGGTGATAATATCCGCATGAGATTCGGTAATAGGTCGACGACCACGCTCTCAGTTGATCGGAAGAGCCGTGTTAATGGTGGGGAGAGCGAACTTTGGAATCCTGTGAGGGTTGCGCGATTTTGTTTCTGGGCTTCGAAGGCGGAGAAATCCGCTCGAGGGCCCGAGAACGGGTGCTCTTCCTCTTCTTCATCGTTCTCCGGGTGACTGGATTTACCCCGGGCAGATGCAAATAGGTGGTGAAAGGCGGCCACGGAATGACTCAGATATGCACCGAGTTCCCAATCTTGGTTAGAGAACACCTTGGACGCCATAGTATCGTGAAAGTGGAGCCATTCGTATGCAGTATTGGGTTTGGACAGATAGGTGTCATCCTGGTATGACTGAATCGGATATGAAGCAAAGCATTCAGAGACGCAGCGGTCATGGTCACTGCTGGCGTCGACCATTTCGCATAATCGGCTAATCGCATGGCGTTTCTTGAGATCTGCAACGCCCATGGGAGCTTTGCTGGAATCCACAAAAGGATCATGGAATGAGTCACGACCGACAGGGGCATCGGAGAAGCCAGCTCCCTCTGTAAAAACGCGATCAACAATGTCGCGTACACCTCCGCGGTTCAACCCTTTGAAGAATGAACCGCCCTCGGTAGAACCACTGAGCACTCTCTGCTCGAGCCAGCTACGAGTTAGCTTTAGAGAGGATGCGCTCTCACTCCGGAGCTTGTAGGCAACCCATTCGCCAGCTACCAATACACTCCGTATGTCACCTTCGGCCGTCCCGGTGTTTCTCTTGCTGCCCTGCTTCTTGCCGGAAAGACCCCAAGATGCTTCACAAAGTCTTCTTACGCTATCATTCTCACATGGGATACCTTCTCTTGTGAAAATATTCTTCATGCGTGACACAACGTTCTCCAGAGGTGCTTGACGCACGTGGATCATCTCAGCAATAGACGATTGCCTTAACGGCCGCAAGCTGGGGTGATAGACATCGTTACAGACCAGAACCAGAGGACGGAGGAATCGAAAGTTATCGCCCTTCCTTTTCTTTCCATCGTTCCCATTCGATTGAGCTGACCGGTTCGAATTCTTCTGGTCGAGAAGGACAATGTCGATTAATGCCTTCATGAAACCTCCTTCGCCTCCACCTCCCGATCCGCTGACAACTCCGTCCACTTCGTCGACCACGACACAAACAGGTCGTCCAACCTTGCGGACCTTGCTTTCGCCAACTTCCACGTTCATGCCTTTGACGTTCTCGGTACCGAGTGCGTCTCTTATCCGCCCTTTCACAACGTCTTTACTTCGATCGTCACTGGCGTTGATTTCTAGTACTTCGTAGCCGGCTTGTCTCGCACAGACATGCGCTAGTGTCGTCTTTCCCAGACCGGGAGGCCCGGAAAGAAGCATTACTTTGCGGTGAGTCCGTTCCTCGTCATCATTGTAGTTCCCAGACCTTGGGGGCTTTTTCTGCTTCGCAAGGCCTGGAAAAACAATAGGATCCCATCCTTTGAACCATCGCAACACCGATCGATGTGTCCGCTCATCTCCAATGAGTTCCGTGAATTTGCGAGCCCGATATTTCTCAGTCCACATCGCATGTGCCAGTTTCTGCTTCTTCTGGTTCTCCATCGGGGGCTCGATAGAGGGCTGTACTGTTGGGGCAGACTGTCCCGAAGCCTTCGACTGCGCAGCTTCCTTGGCAGCTTCGTCCAGTAGTCTGTGGATTTCCACTCCGTAATAGCTCTTCTGAGCCCTTCCAGGGGCTGTTGTTGATCGTCCAGCGACAAGTTTCTCATAGCTAACTGGTGGTTTTGTTGTTCTTGTAGGGACGTTGTGTATCTTCCCTGAGCACGTCTTGATGTTGAATCTCTGGGGTGGTCTCCGCGAGGTAGTGACTATGCTTGTGCGTGCCTCAACATGCTGCGTAGTATTTGCCATTGGTGTGGTTGTAGGTGTAGGTGTAGATGGTGCAGGAGTCAGTGATGGTGGTTGTGCTGCTACTGGGATCTCCGGTAGCTTTGCAGGATGTTCCGGAAGGTCGAATTGCGAGGCCAAATGCGCATCACCAAAAGCCGCTAATCCCTCTTCGTCATCTTCATCTTCATCGTCGACGAATCCTCCCATAATTCTTTGCCGCTTAGGTTCTGTCTGCCGTGGAGTTTCATCGTGATCATTGTTCTTTCTCTTCTGCGCATCTGTCGGCGAGCTCGTGCGGAGCGGGGAGTCTATAAAAGGCATTTTTGCAAGAGGTGGGGAAGACGGAAACGAGAGAGGTAATCGATTAGAGTGTTGAGGCGTTTTATGAGATTTCGTTGGAGTATCTATTCACTTGTCAGGTCAACTCGTAGCATGACCACTCGTCCCAATGCACACATACCAGGTCTTATGTCCTCGTCACTCCGAAAAACATCAGACAGATTCCACGCACGATGCTGGATAACGACTTTATTGCGGACGTTTTCCTCGCGCACGAGTTGAAGCGCCTCGATATCGTCGGAGAAGGATTCGGAGGGGAGTTGCTGGTTAGGGAAATCTTCTTCGGAGTGAAGGTGTAGGGCCGGGTCAAATGAGGAGAGAGGTGCTGTTGGAGACGATGTAGTCATTAAAGCGTTGGGGTTTTGTTTTATAGGGACATCTCGTATAAGTGGATCTGAAGATTGATTGTTGCTATTGCAATTGAATTCGATGGCCCATGAGATCCGATAATGCGACGCGTTGAGACGCGCCGCGATAGGATACGCGCTATTCCCAATTTGGATTAAGACCCCGCGTGAGGTCAGGTGATAAGTATACGAAGTATGAAAATTGCTGTACAACTATTCCAGTTCAGTCAATGGCCATTGCGTTGCTTGTATAATGCCATGGTTTGCTCTGATGCGTTGCTGAGGTCGTAGGAATCTCAGGAGAGGTATATGCGGTATCATTCGTAGAATACCGCATCCAAGAAAAGCCTTGTAGGAAGCAGAGAACCAAACAAAATGATATAATCATGATACATAAGACTAAATATACTTAAAACTGATAGCTTATGCCTGGCTCTTCAGCTTCTCAGTCAACTCAGGGACCTTCTCGAAGAGGTCACCGACGAGGCCGACATCGGCCACCTGGAAGATAGGCGCATCAGGGTCCTTGTTAATAGCAGCAATGACCTTGCTGTCCTTCATACCAGCAAGGTGCTGAATAGCACCAGAAACACCAGCGCAGAGATACAACTGCGGTGCAACATTCTTTCCTGTCTGACCGACCTGGAGACTGTTGTCGGCGAATCCACTGTCAACAGCAGCACGGGAAGCACCAATGGCAGCACCCAGGGAGTCGGCCAATGGCACGATAACACGGTCAAACTCTTCCTTCGACTTCAGTCCACGGCCACCCGAGACGACGCGGGATGCGGTGCCCAGGTCGGGGCGCTCGGACTTGGTGAGCTCCTCGGAAACCCATTCGGTCAGGGCCGGGGCGTTAGGGTCAGTGCCGTCAACAATCTCAGCGGAGCCACCTTCGGTCTCGGTGCCCTGGAAGGAAGTGCCTCGAACAGTGATGACCTTGGTGGAGTCGGTCGACTGGACGGTCAGGATAGCGTTTCCGGCGTAGATAGGACGGACGAAAGCTGTGCCAACCGTCAATTACCCAAACAACTCAATTTGTAGTTCCAGCACCATTCCGAGTACATACTGTCTTCACTCTCAATCTTCGTGATATCCGAGATCTGCTGCACATCCAACAGAGCAGCCACACGAGGCAGAAGACTTTTCCCAAAGGCGGAGTGAGCGGCGAGGACGTGGGAAAAGCCGCCGGACTTGATGTTGTCGACGAGCAGAGGAGCGTAGTTCTCGGGCAATCCCTAGCCAAACACTCCGTCAGTCCACAGCCCTTTAAAGATCCATCATGGTAGCAAACATTCCCACCTTCTCATAAGCCTCATTATCCACAGCAACAACCTTCTCCAAGCCCTTGATCTTCGCCGCCTCAGCCGCGGCACTTCCCTTCACACCCTTTCCAGCAACAAAAGCCGTAACCGACCCTCCTAGCTTCTGCGCAGCCGCAACGGCAGAGAGGGAGGACTGTTGGAGCTTTCCATCCCGCTGTTCAAGGACGGCCAAGGTGGAGAGGAGACGAGCGAGCGCCGAGAGAGAGGGTTGGTTGCAGGCCCGGGACGGATAGATTTGTGAGCGGGCAGCCCGCAGAACGGAGCTTCTGGCAATTGGGAACATGGTGGACGGAATGCGATTCAGGTGAAGTTGACGTTGGGAAAATGTCGCCGGCCTTGCGAACGGATTGCGGATATGGGCGTGCGGCGGCGGGCGGTGGTGGTTATCATCGGAAACGCCAAGATCAGCCGATCCTCGGAGGTTCGGTTAAAGAGGCCCGCGGCATGAGACAACTACATGGTACAGAAGGATAGAAGGATAGAATAACCAAGGCAATGGAAATGCTAATAATGAAACGCTATTCTAGCTACAATTGCAATGGCAATAACTTTTGACTCTCCTCCAAGGGGTATAAACACGCCCTACTCTAACAAGAAAAAAAACTAAGGAAGTACAGAGAAATTGACACACGTGACATTCGGTACGCCGCCGTATATAACCCATACATACATAGATAGTGCTTGCAAATCGACGAATATAACCAGTAGAACACCTTGCGCAGGAAGGGGGAATTATTAAGTGGTCGACTTTTGCTTCTTTTTGCTGGCTTTTGTTGCGTTTCCAGTATTCTGGCTGATCGACGCCTTTCCATCCTCCAAAGCCTTCTCCTTCTGCTTCTGGAGCTTCTGTTTCCGTGCAGTCAACGATGCAGTCTCGTCATCGTCTTCAGTGGCCTTGGACTTCTTGGACTTCTTGCTGTCCTCCAACAGCTTCTCGTTGTCGCCTGTCGACTTGCGCTTCTTTCCACCCTCGATGGCCTTGGTCTCTTCGGCATTGTTCTCCAACACATCGTTCTCATCCACCCAGAGTTCACTTGCAAGCCAGATCGGCATCGCCATGGTGCTTGCGCCCTTGACATGGATAGCCTTGATGTTCCTCCAACCCTTCGTGATGAACTTTTCTGTCAGACCCTTGACCACGGCTTCGACATTTTGCGCCAGCTGCTCCGAGGTGAACTTGGACGATCCGATGCGAATAGAAGCTGTGGTAGCAGGGGCGAGCTGCACGGGGGCACAGCTCAAAGTCTTCTCAATCTCCTTGGCGACGATCAATGGCGACGCAAAGGCGCTAGACTTCTCATCTGAGGTGTTGTTGTTCTTCTGCTTCGGGTCCTTCTTGACCTTCTTGCCGTCCACCTTCTCGATCTCCGCAATGCGGACCGGAATGGGCCGCTTGCTGGACTTGTAGAAAATCTTCCCAAGGGTGTTCACCAAACGCATAATGATACGGTCATCGGCCAAGAAGACATCGTGCTCAGAGAGAAGTTGTCGCCGGCTCTCGAAGCTCTGGTATCTAGTCTTCAACTTCGAGAAGCCAATCACCCGGTCGATGCGGGACGTGAGATCTTGAGGGAAGGACGGATCGGTAACGATGTTCTTGACCGCGCGCTGCGGGTCTGCGGTAATGAGGCAAATGCTGAGAGAGGGCGAGGAATTGAGGGAGTGAGGAATGCTGATTTTTCCGGGCTTCAAACGATTCTTGTCCACGACGTGCTTCTTGGTGGTGAGAACGAGCCAGACGGCTTCGTTGTGAAGCGGTGCGTCTTCTTCATCCTCGTCGTTGTCTCCAATCAGGGTCTTCTTAGTCGCATTCTTTTCCTTTTCCTCTTGCTTCGATTTAATGTGTCGCAGAAGTGCAGACGAAGCTCTGGTAACCTATAGAGAAAAAGAAAAAAAAGTTAGAAATTGAAATGGCTGTTTGAAACATCCCAAAGTTGGAAAATTTTTACTACACACCTGGTTCTTGTCAAGCTGATAAGGCGATCCAGAAGTCACCTTGGTAGTGAGTTCAGTCGACGGCATTTTGAAAGAATGATTGCTGTTCAAGTCAAAAGCTCGACCGGCTCAATTTTTTGCGATAATAGAAATTCGAAAAAATCCACGGAAGGCGGTGGGCAGTTGTCCGGTCTTGGCGCCTCTTAGTCATTTTCTGTGCAGCGCTGCACTAACCCGATTCGGATATAGGAAACCTCAACGCGACGCGATACTACTGTAGAGGTAAAAATAGACATCATATACAATAAAATACCACTTATCGATCAATATGGTCCTTGGGACTAGTTGTTGGAGGAAGAGGCGGCGCCTCTAGTTGTCTGAGGAACTCCGCTGCTGACCTACTGTTGAGAGTCCAGGGGCCAATGTGAAAACTGCGACTAATTTTGGTCGACGCCTTTGTGGCCAGGCTGAAGAGAAAGATTGCGGGCGAATAGTAGCAATACGGTATTGATTTGCGCTTTGCGAGGGGATTTGAACTTAGCTGCGGTATATTACAACAGAAAAAAGCACAGTCAGGGAGGCGTTAGGATATGGGTCTCTGTAGGTTGAGAAGTCACCGCGCCAATAAGTACTGGTTCATATCGAAACATGTTGCCTAGTCATATTCCCTTCACATTCTTAACCAAGGTTTCTTTATCAACATTGCTCCATTGATTGAGGGGAGGTACCCATTGACCATTGACTTTGAACTTTCCAACATCAGCACGAGTTTCATTAGTTCAACCATTCCATTAGACCTTACCTATATAAATGGGAAGTGACGGATGCAGGCCATTCTTGTCCAACACGCCAAAAACATGAATTCTGTCGGCAGCTCAGCGAACGTGACAGATAAGTTTCTTGGACCCCCCTGCTGTGGGTTGTTCGCAAATATATCTATTACTATACCTTGTCCCAACGGGAGGAAGTCGATATCGATCCGCTTCAGGGTCGCAAATGGAATATAGGTTGCCCGGATGAAGTACATAGATGGGTCTTTCAACCGGGTGAGTTTAGACTCTATCAAATAACCTGAATTGATCCAACAGTCAACTGGTGGGAATGGCAGTTTGTGGAAATATGGTTCGGGTCCTCGATTGGATGGGATGATGGCCCGGCATTTTAGGGACTATGATAAGATATCAAAAGAATTTCAATGAAAATAGGGAACTCAGTGGATGCGTACATCTCGAACAATCCGGAAGCCAGAATATTTTGAGTCTCTAATATTGGATATTTCCTTGGTGAAGGGATGGGACGAGTTGTGCAAAACCCAGTTTGGTTCACCATCCTGCTGTTGTTCAATGCAATGTCAACAACCCCAACACCATCGCCTTTGACTGCAAAGTACTTGCTTCCACAAAGATTGAAACATTTCATGTTATCGCAAGTACCACTGCTCTCAACCGGATTTGAGAGATTGCTGATATACGAGCGTCCTCCTATGCTGATGAGGTGGATTTATACCATGGAACTTGTTAAATCCAATACGTCGATAGCGAACCTCAGGCTTGGTGATGGTTCTGTTGACTGAATTTTAAGCTTTGCAAGCTGAGATGCTGTTTTCATGACAAAAAACAGGCGGCCAATGTCGTATTGAAGGATCGAGTCCCAAATATCGACCGGTAATGACGGTGGCTCAGGTAATGATGACAGCTCACCTTGGGCGTGATTCTCTCTAGGGCTGACGCATCGGTAAGAGCACACATGACCTCCCAGAGACACGAAAGTAATGGTTTCATGTGGGAGGCAGCAGGTACTGGCATGGGATCCTCCACAGGGTCTTCCACGGTGTCTTCCACAGAGTTTTCTTTGCAAATAGGCTGAGCATAGAATGCACCATGCTTAGTCCTCGGGGGGTTTGGTGCTGAGAGAATAGCCGGCTCTACCAGATCTAGCAGATGATATAGTTTTGGCAGTGGTAGATGATTGACAAAACTGATGCATCTCATATGCAAGAGCCATACTTTCTTCGTCCAATCTAAATCCGGATACATTGATCTCCATCCTCTCCAGATACCACCCATTGTGATTGTTTCGCGTTCATCACAGACTGGCGTTTCGTTGAAAAGGGCAACTTTCTCGCAATTCAGGGGTAAAACCCGGTAAGAGTCTGTTTGCGACACATCGACATCTTGCAGACACAGGGGGCATGTAAAATAGTAAAGGTGTTCACGCATTGTAAAGGCAACGTCGACTCCAAATCCCAAGGAAGAAATGGGTGTTGAAAGGACACGAGATACTTCGGCCTCCGAGGACATTTATGCCGGTCGTACAGCGGCTACTCGAGGTGATGGATAATTTAAAATAAGATTCCAAAGATTAGATTTGATTGACAGATATGATAGGCGGATGATATTGAGCTAGGATGAACAGTGAGTGGTTGGTTGTAATGGTCACGATGTAAACAAAGATAATCAAACAAGATGCAGATAGCGTGATTCTTTGTGAATGATCTAAATTTCCAATCATCAACTATCAGAGTTCAAGAACGGTTATTTCTCCATGCATGGAAGAATATGAAGGGCTGGAATAAGATGGCTTGATAAATAAGAAGTCTATCGTCGCCATCCGTCCAAAAACCATTAATACCAACCCGATCAAATGAAATGCCGAGCTTGCAAGTTCAACAAACTCCTACCATCGTTCTACGGCATCAGTGACCTGGCATGCTGCTGCTGCTACGACTATGACTACTACTTTGACACTCATTTACCATGTCGTGTAGAGCATGAACTATTAAGCTGTCGATAAAAGATTATTTATGTAGTTACTCCATACTCCGTATGATTTTATGTAATTAATAATGGAATTCTTTCTAAATTGTTGTTCCATCATTGGTGACTGAATCCCATGACGGGCTGGTGTGGCAGTAGTTGCTCAATGCCATACCTGGAACAACCCTCCTTAATCTGGTTCTCGATAGCGTTCTCTTTCTTTTCGTAACTGAGCTGGGTTGCCGCGTCTTGGATTTTTCCATCGGGATAGACGTTCCAGAAACCAATAATGCAAATCCGCTCACTGAGTATATGAGTATACTCTACTCCAGTCCAAATTACAACGCTGCGTCTCGAATTGAGATACGTGTCATGGTACCGTTATAGCCGAAATTCGTAGATACTTTTTGTGTTGACGCATTAGAAGGCACGTCTGAAGGATTGTTGGTTGGCCATGAAACATCATTGCCGCTATGTATAACTTCGGTTGGATTTGTTTGGGAGTATGTATGTCGTTGATTCGCTATGCTGGGAGAAGGAACGTGGGTGTGTTATACTTCTTCCCTAGAATGGAAGAATAAATAAAATAATATAAGATAGGTTGCCCAGTGGTGTAACTATGTGCGTCGATATATCCAAGGATTGTCAAACTCTGGGCATAATGCAACAACCACACAAGAATCCTATTCGCCATAGACAGGAATAAGACCTGCTAGATGACTGAATTGTCTATTTTTGCAACAACATCGCACCTTCTCATACAAAGCAGAGACACAACACGATAAGTCGAATCCAGTCACATGTAGTCAAAAAAGGAAGGGCAAGCGGTATATACCGGCAGAATCAACCGTGGTTAGCGAGACATGGTAAGATGGGGCTCGGTAAAGCAATGAAGAGCTGAACCATGGTCCTTGTGGCGACTCTTCTATTTTTGCACGAGAATGGATTTTCTACGGTTCGTTGGTTGGTTCGCGGAGTATACGGAAGTTCTTTGTATCGAGTATTTCAGCAGCATACAGGCGCTGAGCGAGTTCTGTATTAGCCACAGTGGTTCATGACTTCATCCTCGCTCCACGCGACCGTTGCCATACATACAAATTAATAACGGATGCCAGGATAATAATAGCAGCAGTGGTGTCAGTTTAGGCCGTCAAGACCGTCTGTGCATGCACACAAGCATTGAATTGTCTTTCTCCCCGGACTATCGTTAATAGCGAGACTCTGGAATGTTGAATTTGGAGGTCGGAGAATATGCCAGGAATAGCAGTACTAGTGGCACTGCCAGGGCGTCGTCATCAGATTGTCCCCGGAGGCCACTAGTTTTGACGGTTATTTGTCCATCCCAACTCCGTGCCAAGCTAACTAGTAATAGCGTGACTATCTAAGGAGTACGGGGTAGGTCACTTACTCTAAACTGTCTACAATAGTATTTCGTATAAATGGAACACTTGCACACTTGCGGAGACCGCTAGGCAGAGAAATAAGGGAGTATTCGTACGGGGTTTGAGCTGACTACGTAGAATGGACTCAATTCCCTATCACGGCTATCCCGGAGAACTAACAGCGTGTGCTTGCGTGGCTTATCGACTTACGCAGTCAACGCGAAGGTTCGATGGAGATAAGGCACCAATTTGAGATGTAGTCGAATTCCCGTTTGAATTGCCTGTTCTATACTCTGTACGGAGTACTCCGTACAGATACAAGAGGATTTGTATTTGTAAATACAGGTTATTTCAAACCAATCCTTCACCATGAGGCGATCACGTGAAACGCGGGGCCTAGAGCCTTCTTGCATCCTTCTCTGACCCTTGGCGATGGGACTAACCTTTGACAAGTGACACTAGTATGGCTTCGCGCAGTCTAGGCTCTGGCCCAAGCAATCGGTGATATCTCTTTGGTTTCTTCGCATACACCGCGCAAAGCATCGAGAAACGTGGTTCAGTGTTCCTGGCAGGGTGCTGGTTGTCCGGACAAACCAAAATAAAGCACTGCATGTGCAATAATGCGACCTACCTTGCACACCGCTTGATGCCCAGGGGATGGCTGGATTTCCTGCAGAACTGAGGCGGTCGTACTGGGCCTCCTGTCGTGTACAAAGTACCTGTACTCCGAGGACTTACTTGTATTATACAGAAAGCTCTGCAGTAGATGTATCTCAGCTCAGAATTCCGATAGTCATAGAAGACTGATCGAATATTGCGATGACCAGGACAAACGGCCTACTCTAACCATGTACTCCGCAACGGCTTCCAGAGTGGGAGAAGAGTACCAGTGATAGACCAAGTGGCCCCTTAAAGCGGGAGAGGTGCAGATCCTTGGATATTCACTCATATTCTGCATGACTGGGTAAAGATACTTTGTTATTTGCGCCGAAAGAGTTTTTATCCAACGAGCCACGGTAGGACGGTGTATACGTCCACAGCTTCTCTTTTGTACTCGTAGAATACTACCACATAGGCAACTATTATTGTGGCATGACCTAGTTGATGGTTCAAAACCTAATACCGCAGGATACATAATACTGGTACGGATTATTACAGAGCGGTAACGTGGAAAGTTACCCGGTCATGAGAGACACCCAGAACATTGGAGACTCAACCCGACAGTGGGGGCATGCAGGCTGTGATTGGTGTACCTGATCGGACCGGCCATGTGTGGGGGATGTGATTGGCTAGTCCCTGAAGGATTTAATTTCGGAAATGCTAAGATTTTCTTCAGGAATAGGAAAGAGGAAATTAAATATATTACTATCAGGAGTGTACCTCTTGGGAGTACATACTATGTACTCCGTACATAGTAGTGTAGATATGGCGAATACCTATCAATCAGAGAGTATAGAATTCTATCCTTCACTGAGTCTATGTACTTATAGGATTGAGTCCCACCGTGTGGGTTGACCAGTCTCTTTTTCCCACGGCCAACCACCACCGCCATTGGACAATGGCAATATCGTAATTTATGCCCGTATTTTGGTACAGGAACAAAAAAGACATCCCCGGCCAATGGAGGACCAGGAGTGGAGTAGCTATTATTACAGCTCTGTCGTTGTCTTCCCCCCCCTGGGGCTCTGCCGAACGCCCGGGTTGACTTTAATCTTGCCTTTTCTTCCTCGATCTCCCTCTCTTTTTCTTTTCTCTTTTTCCTTCGATCTTCTTCTTCGGTCTCCCACTTACTCACATTCTCTTGAGATTTCCTATCCGACCAGAGGGACACTTGTTTCTCTCACCCACGCTCTTTCGGGAAACCTCTTTTGATTGATCTTCTCGCTCTCTTTCACTGCCAATTTCTGATATCCACACTGCGCGCGACAGATTTGCGGTGATGTATGCCATACCCACCCTGCGGATTCCCTTTCCCCCATGAATCTCGCATTCCAATCGCCCAGGAATGTTAGATGAGAGAGTTTTGAAACCAATTCTTTCCTCTTATCGATTGGACAGCAGCACGTGCAATTGTTTGGCCTCCTTTTCATAGGGCTCGGCCGCATCTGCCTCGCGTGTTGCCATCAATTCAAGAGAGACAGGATGCTAATTTTCTACATCCAGATCCACAGTCTTCCATCATCACAATGAAGTTGAACTCGATTGCCCTCACCCTTGCCACGGCCGGCCTGGTCGCGGCCCAGCCTCACGCCCACGGTCACCGTCACCCCCAGAGACGTACTGTCGACACCTCAGGGACCGTCGTCGAGTACGAGCTGAACGGTCAGCGCATCAACGCCGACGACGTCTGCAAGGGTATCGCCGACGGTACTCTCCTGTGGGCTGCTGGTGTCGCCCCTCCCGACGCTTGCCAGAGCTCCAGCAGCAGCGCCACTCCTTCGTCCACTCCCACTCCCACTTCCACTCCCACTTCCACTCCCACTTCCACTCCCACTCCCTCTGTCGCCCCGGCCGAGTTCATCCAAACGTCTTCGTCCTCCACTCCTACTCCCTCCAGCTCCTCTACCCAGGCTGCTGCCTCGACTCCCGCTGCTAGCAGCTCTTCTTCCTCTGCCACCGGTATTGATATTGACTTCCCCGATGGCGAGATCGACTGCAGTACTTTCCCCTCGGACTATGGCGCTGTTGAGCTCGATTACCACGGCCTTGGCGGTTGGACCGGTGTCCAGTACGGCTCGATCGTGGGAGAAGTGATTCAGAAAATTAGTACCGCCATCAGCGGTAAGGATGAATGCAGCGAAGATTTACTCGGTAATCCAGGCTTTTGCTCGTACGCCTGCCCCGCTGGCTACCAGAAGTCTCAATGGCCCAAGCAGCAGGGATCCACAGGCGAGTCCGTTGGTGGTCTTAAGTGCCACAAGGGCAAGCTGTACCTTACCAACCCCAGCCTTTCCAAGAAGCTGTGCATTGAAGGTGTTGGTGGTATTTACGTTCAGAACAAGGTCGGTGAGCAGGTTGCTGTCTGCCGTACTGACTACCCTGGTAAGTTTGAATAGGATTCCTCTGCAAACGACAATTCTGACGCAATGATCGAATAGGCACTGAAGCTGAAACCGTCCCTCTGGCGCTTACCGACGACTCCGTTCAACCCCTGACCTGCCCTAACGGTGCGACGTACTACGAGTGGACGGGCAAGGACACCTCTGCTCAGTACTACGTTAACCCCAAGGGTACCTCCATCGAGGAGGGATGCAAGTGGGGCGACAAGAGCAAGCCTGTTGGTAACTTCGCTCCCATGAACATGGGCACTAACGAGAACAACGGCAAGTGGCTCTCGCTCTTCCAGAACACCCCGACCACCGACGTCAAGCTTGACTTCTGTGCCGAAATCAAGGGTGACCACCTCAGTGGCTCGTGCAGGTACGAGAAAGGTTCCTACATTTCCGAGTCTGGCACCAATGACTCTGGATGCACTGTACGTTTTTCTCTCTTGTCCCCTGTCTTCAAGATAGCTTGCTTACCTCTTCACAGGTCGAGGTCATGTCCGGTGATGCCACCGTCGTGTTCACCGCCTGTTAAACTTCTAATCATACACCATTCCTTGCAAAGGAGAAACCTTTTAGCGCGCCTGCCCTCGCCATTCATTCCAGCTCTCAGTTATCACGACCCGTTTAGTGTGCATTGATTTCTGTATCTTGATATCTACTTTCCCACATTGTGATCCGGGAAATTTTTCCATTTATCCTAGTTACACTTCTCTGTATAGTGTCCTCTGTCCGCTATGGCGGGGGTAAGTAAAGTGTGCTGGAGATTGAGTAACTTTGATCTCATTTTCTTTTTTTCTCGTGTGATTTCCTGGAATCTTTTCTTTGTCCTGTCGTGTCTAGAGTTTGGCTGTTTCCGCAAAATTCTTTTGGGCAGGGTGGCGCGTGTATTCCTTTCTGGTGTTCTGTGTATAATTTTATTGAATATAGTATTTTATTCTCTTTATCCTCACATCGTGACTTCATTGAATATGTACTCCGTAGATACCATACCACGGCCCGCGCGGTCCGGATATCATGACCTCATTACCTGCCACCAAACGTGAGGACTCCAAATCTTTAAACACCGTCACCAGACAATAATGAAGAGTGGTGTATACATAGCATTTTTGAATTGGTGGAGTAGTCATCACACCGCGTTACAACCCCAGTGGGCCAGACGTGACGTGCCAGTTCTCCGTACGGTGGAGCGCCTGACTCCGTCAGTAACTTGATACACAGTGATCCCCCAGGAATAGGATAGGGGTCTCGATTAATACTCGCGTCTAGTCCATGGGGGTTATAAGTAAAACGAAGTACTGTAAATGACAGCGTCCCGTCCAACATGTCCTCGTCCGACATGTACGCTAAAGTTAGCACTACGGTGTACGGCGTATTGCTGTCCTCTACCACAACAACCGGCATCTTCACGTCTATACCGATAAAAGCAAGGATCCTAGAACCATCCACAGCATGTAGGAATGTACTTGTACCCTGTAGAATATGCTGGCTCACCTCGCCGTGTCGTCCAATCAGCGCGGCTATCTGCCGCGGCGCACATGGGCCCCCTTCCGCTTCTGGTCTAGCGGCGTATAGACCGAGGCTAAAAGGTCACGTGAAATATGCGGCGTCGAACCAGAAAACGCGACACACGTGACTTTGTCGCGGACGCGCCTTGTATACAAGAACAGAGCTATACTACGTACAAGCTACAGGGGATACAAGTGCACCAATTGACGTGGTGATTCATCGCAATTCGAGATCTTTTTTGGGCTATAAAGTACACCTGCATATTTTCCAGGGCTTTTCTAAGGGAGTCTGCGCGAGGTGGAGGCTGCAGGCGCCTATAACGCGTCTCGGGTTGTAGACGTGCATTTCCGCGCTGGAGGACGAGACGCTTCTCGCTTTTCTCACTCTCTCGCTATTTTATTTTCGCTCTGCATTCATTCCTCTCTCTCCACCACACACGTCAATTCTTTTTCGCCTTTTTCTTTTTCTTTTTTCTATTTTCCAATCAATTGTCTTTCTCTTTTCCGCTGAGTGCTTCGTGTTCTCACGCCCAGCCTCCGCTGGGAAGCATTTTTCGTCTCTTAACAGGAACGGAACTCCCCCCTCCCTTCGTCTCTTCCCCTGCTATTGTCACCTTTCCTCTCCATAGGGGTTGTGATTTGTCTTCTTTTTCTGTTCGGTCTGAAAGGGTAATTTGTGACATCTATCTTTCTTGGTTAGACTTAGAGAGACCCTTTGACGTGACACGACCTTACGCGGTTCAATTGGCTATCTTTACCTAAAGCCACCAATTGAACAGACATATTTATCCTGAAAGACAATGGAGTCGTCATCTCCTCTCCAGAGGAGCGCCTCGATGGCCGGTATGAAGCGCCCGGCGTCCCTGTTGCCAGCTTTCGAGCCATTGAGCTCGTCTCCCTCCCTGCCACGACCCCAGAAGCGTGTAGCTCGTGAGAATCATGGCATTGTGTCAAAGTATCCTACTCCTCTACCGACATCGTCCACTCATATCCTGTCGTCGTCACCCCCTCGAACGACCATGCCTCGTCCTGCCTACCGACGCACCTTTTCCTCGTTGACGTCCTCCGAACGAACCCCTCTGTCCACCGTCCCGACCCTGATGCTGCCAGAGAATGGCGAGCCTATTCTCATGGGCCGGTCGAGTGCCTCCTGCCATCACCAGCTGGCTGCTAATCGGATGATCTCGCGAGTACACGTTAAAGCTACATATAAACCGGCCCCTAGTCCCTTCGACCACGACCGTGTTGAGATTATGTGTGTTGGGTGGAATGGAATCAAGTTGCACTGCCAAGGGAAGACATATGAGTTGGCCAAGGGGAAAACGTTCACGTCGGATATTAAGGATGCGGATATCATGATCGATGTCCATGAGGCTCGCGCTTTGGTCCAATGGCCACGTGAAGGGAAAAAGGACAACTACGCGTCGACAGACTCGGAGCAGACGGTCGAAGAGACCACACCACGACGGAATGGGAAACCACGTCGGAGCCTGCATGAGAGTCCGCTGGCAGAGCGTCAACGTCTGGTCTCACCTGTTTCTCCTTCCCCTGCTGTGCAGTCCTTGGTGCCTCCGTCGTCGCCTCTGTACACGCCTACCCGATCCCGGAATGCTGTGGTTGTGTACGAAGACGAAGCGTCTCCTGTCCGCCGCACCAGTGCTGAGGAAGATGCTGACGCGACCCAACGCGTTCAGGAGTCTTCTCAACGCGTGGAGGACATCCTTCACAGCTCGTCTAGCGACCTCAGTGACTTGAGCAAGCATGACGAGTTGTCTGATCACGATGAGGAGAACGACCCTATTGTTCACTCCTTTGGACCCTTTGGGGAGAACATCGTGCCCTGCATGGCCTCGTTTTCGGCAGCCGAATCACCAGTCCGCTCTGCGCGTCCTCAGCCTCTCCAACCTACCCAGTCGGAACGACAGCCCAAGGTCGCGGCCGAGAGAGAGCAGAGAGAAGCTGAGGAAAAGCTCGACCTGAATGACGAATGCTATGCACGCATCCAGAACCACGCCTCCAACCAGCTGGCTTTCTCCCGTCTATCCTCCACACCATTTTCGACTATTGTGAATAACCTCCCTGCTTCCCACTGGAAGCGCGAGGACACCTCCAAGCCCGGCCCGACCCGTGACGACATCCGCAGAGTGATCGATTCGACCAAGTGTATTGGCAAGGTCGCTCGCGAAGGAAAGGACGCTGCAGGAAAGCCTCTCGAAAGTGAATACTATTACATTCCTGACTTTGACGATGATGAGATGCGTCGTGAGGCCGTGGTGCACGATCTTCGCAAGCCTGGTCTCCGTAACTGTCGGAAGCAGCACAAGGTATGTTGTCCCATTTGGTTCTCTGACATGACGTATGTTGACGGAATAACAGCAATACTTCTGGCGCAAACCCAAATAAACTCAACAAAAAGATAAGTAATTGGAGAAAAGCAAAAGTTTGTCGACATGTTTCTTATATTACCCCTGTATACCGTTATTTATCTTCTCTTTGTTTTGGATTCCCGTTCCTATTCTCAGTACATAGTTTCGTTCTATTGACTCGCATAGCGTGGCGTGGGCATACCCTGTTTGATATTGATATTGATCTTGTGTTATTATGTTGTCTGCATGAAGGTTGTACGATGTACGGTGGTTGTTTATCTTTTTCTTTTCTTCTTTTTTTCCGTCTCCCTAGTTCCTGCCCTGATGCCCTCGCTGGTTTTATCTATTTTACTCTACCCAACGCGAACCCAACCAAGCCCTTTTAAACCCGAATGGCCAAGGCCATGATTGTTATATGTGTTTCCTTTCCTCTTTTCTTGTTGTTGCTACTGCTGTTGTCGCTTGCCAGTAGTTGTTACTGTATTCTGCCTGTCTATTGACACTTACGACCTATATGTTATATCGATGAATTTACTCCTTATAGATTCCTTATATTTATCCCTACTCATAGGTGGAAGTGGCCAGAGGCAAGACATGACCCGTGAAGACGTCAAGCACGCCACGGTAGTTCTTAGTATACTACACTCCTACACTACGTTGATCTGGCATCCGTTCTCTTGAACAAATTGTTGAGTTGAAGGTTTCCAGTCAACATCACCAACTCATCCGGTTCATACACCTAACCAATTCCTCCCATCCCAACAACCTCCATCTAACCACCACCAACCAATCAATCCTGAATACTTTCAACAAAAGAAAGAAAAAAATGACAACAATCCCAACAGGCCACACAGGCCCCTTCTCCGAATCCAACTCCTACGGCGAACCCCCATCACCTCCCTCCAACTCCCAAGACCACAACCACAACCACGCCCCCCAAGACGCAATCCAATCCCATACGCTCCTCCTCCCCACCGGCCAAACAGTCATAAACAGCCGACGAGACCCCGAAACCACCTCATCCACAACCCCATCCACAGCTGTGTCTACATCTACAATCCCATCTAAATCCACATCTACAGATTCCACTAATACTAACGGAGAAGCTAGACCAAGAACCAGTGGTAGTGTGTCGAGTCACCAGGAATGGAGCGAGCAGGATCGCGAGAAGGAGGTTTATAGGCAGTTGTTGACGGTGGAGAGGGAGAGGGATCGGGCTAGAGGACGGGGGAGTGGGAGGATGGGGGCTATGGAGTTTACGGAGGTTTTGCAGGGGAGGTAGACTGTTTGCGGAGTGGAGCAGATATACGGGGATTCGGGGTTGTGTTGTATGGGTATGACCTTGATATAAATATGATGAGATGTGAAAAAACTTCAATTTATTGTCATTCTATTCTGTCCGTGGACGGAGTACTGGTAGTACATGTAGGCAGTTGGGCAGGTTTAGGGCCAGGATGAGCTCCCTGGTAACTTTAGGCAGGGTAGGGCCTGCTGAATTGACATGCTGCCAGCGTTGGGCTGAGTGTCAGACAACCCTTCCGGCGATAGACCAGGGATGCTTCTGTCTTCGATAGTATTAGCAATCTAGTATAGATGCCATGGAAGGGGATCAACATACGATGATCAATAGAACTCTGTGTAGAGTACTGTGCCCTATACGTGCCTGTCGCCCTGAAGAGGGTAATATTCGCCCTGTTGTTCGGGTGCTGCGGTAGGCTGTTCCTCTTAAGGAATATGCACAGATGTTGTACGAGTCGGCTCAATCCCATTACCAGTTGACATCACTCAGTTGGAGCTTTCGCGAGCGAAAAGCAGAGCGGTTGGCAGCGGACTTGTCGATCCTGGTGTCTCGGGGAGGTGTACGCTTCTCGACAACTAGGTTTGTTAGATTTTCCATGATGACGGATTTTCGACACTCTTACCCTCAGTATTCTCGGGCTCATTTGACATCTCGTAGTTGAGGACCAGGTTCTTGATCCGCTGCTGTTCCTCCCGATCCGCCTGTTGCTGGCTCTTCATGGCAAGGGCAAAGCTGGAATCAGATGGCAGGTCGATAGTGCGGGTCTAAATTGTCAATAATCGTACTTTTTTTCCAGAATGAAGAGATGACATACCTGCTGCTTGTTTCCTTTTTTCGTCATCAAGGAAAAGGCCATAGTATTCGCCTGGTCCTGAGAGCTTTCAGTGTGCTCCGCACCACTGGCTTCCCGCGCAGCACGTTTCATCGGCAACGGAACGTCGAAAACAGCCTTCCGCTCAAACCTGCGCGAGTCAACGCTATCCGCCATCATCTTCTCAAGCTCCCTGTCGAATTCAGCCTCCACTTCAGGATCCCGTTCCTCTTCCTGACGTCCAACAAAAGCCTCGTCATCGGATTCGCTGTCGTCGTTTTGCTCTGCATTCGGACCGGACGCTTCAGCCTCAGCTTCGTCACTGGATTCTTGTTCATCTTCCACTTCCGGCATAGCATCTTCCTCTAGACCCTCGTCGGATGAACTGGTTTCCACATCCTCTTCCTCAGGCTCAGGTTCCATGTGCTTTCCGGCATCTTGCGTCTTGTAGTTCTGGGCAACTGCTTCACTGAATATGATCGTTGCTTCTTGCAGATCGCCAGCAAGTTTCCACTGAGGACGGGTCGCGGAGTAGGTATCATGAATGAGGAAATCGACATCCATTGGTAGTGGCTCTTTCGTGAAGATGTAGTACTGGAAGAAAGTGAGGAAAAAGTCCAACTTCTTCTTCGCAGATCCACGGTCAAAGCAGTGACCGCAAGTATCCAGTATAGTGCAGACCAAACGGATACGGAAGAAGTCGTCCGGCAAATCAAGGGGGTTGATCTTTCCAGGAATGGGAGTGCCGCCCTCTATATTATTGATTAGCAGAGAGAAAAATTATCTAGAATCAGACGACTAACCATGACCATAAGTTACGATCCGATACAAGGTATCGAATACCACAGGCGAATCGATCATCTTGTAGTTGTACAGCTCTCCCAGATACTTGACCTCAGCAATGCGCTTCTGGTTGAACTTGAATTCATTCTGCTCGAGTCCCAAAGTGATATACTCCAGGGTATTGTCCACGATGCCGATGACAAAGTCCTGGTGATATCTATACAAAGCGCTGACGAGGATTGCCAGAAGGTGGATGTTGCCGTATCTGACCTTGACCGGTTTACTGAAGATGCGTTCCAGAATATTGACAACCTACCGGAAATTAGCATCAAAATAAGTGACAAATGTGGAAGAAATGAAGAATTTACATCTTGTTCTTCCCAGTGAAGCTTGCGAATCGACTTCAAGATCCTGGTGTAATTGCGCTTGTTCATATCCATATAGATTAATCGTCGAATGTACGACTCGATAGGCGTGCGCTCCTTCTGCTGAATGGCAGGTCGCTCCGGAGGATCAACGTAGTAAATAGCATTTTCAATGATCATCCGCTCTTGTTGCCCCAGATGCTGAACGGTCTTCTTTCTAGAAAGCGTCTCCAGAAAAGAAGCCATCCGCGGAGAAGTCTCAGGATTCCGAAGCAGGTAGCGACCGCAATTCTCCAACAAGTGTCCTATGATTTCGATGTTCATGCGCGAGAAGTCATCCAGGGAAACCTTGAAACAATGGAAGATGATGTGCTCAGGGACAACGCCAAACTTCGTCAATTCCGCAAGGTACCGGATGTTACTCATTCGAACTTGACCAAGGAACTCCTTCGACTTTCGGCGCTGGAGACTCCGGAATTCTTCATCCAGATAGGTAATGAGACCTTGGGGGATGTCATGAAGATGTTGACCAAGCGTGGCAACCAAGCGTGCGTACAAAGCCATAAGGTCAACCCGACCCTTAGGGATGTCAGACACAGCCTTAATCAACCGGTTCCTCGAAGCCTTGGAATTGAGAAAGCAGAAATCCAACGCCATTTGGTCGACTTGGTCCTTGTTCTGCAGGTCAGGGAGTTTGGCCAAGAGGGCGTCCACCTGAGCTCCGACAGTCTTGCTAACCATGGCCGCAGACTGATCGTCTGCCTCTGAGGGTGGCTTTTCTTCCGATGGAGATTGTGCTTGTCCGGTCGACTCACCCTTGGTTTCTGCTGATGGATCTGTCTCGCCATCCACCTTCTTTTTGGCGGATTCATCGTCGGCCTTCTTTTTCTTTCCATCCTCAAGCAGAACCGCGGGAACTTTGCCTTTGAGATCAACCAGGTTTTCGTAGAAACGCCGCTCTTCCTCGTCTTCCCAGATTCCTGCTCCTTCACCCTGGCCGCGCAAATACTCCGCGGTTCTCACTAGGCCTATACCGCCACTCGATGCTTGATCAGCAGTTTCCTGCTCAGTCAAGGACGGCATTTCGACACCAAGAGCCTCACAGAGAACCTGCGTGTTGGAGACCAGCTTTTCCAGATTCTTAGACTGTTTGTCGAAAGTGGCTTGGCGATCCTCAAAAATCTCACCACTCTTTACATAGGCTTCAGCATTCCGGCGACTCTGCGTAGCCAATGCTCTTTGGTCACGGACAACGTGGGCTTTGACGTCCTCCAAATAGCGGTTGAGGATAGCCTTGAAGCGGTTCTGTGTTTTCTCCGGAGTAAGCGGAAGGTCGTTTTCATTAGCGCTCGCATCTGTGCCATTCTGATTGGACTCTGTGGCCTCCACTGTCGTAGCCCCATCTGCCTCAACCGTCTTTCTACCTTCTTCGACACCCTTCACACCCAGAATGTCCCAGCCAAAGCTCTTGACAAAGAGGACTGCAAGAGGCAAATTCGCATGTTGACGGTCATGGCCCAGGAGATCCTTCAACACTTCGAGCGGGAAAGGATCAGCTTCTTTGTCCGCTGACGGCTTTCCTCGGGCCACGGTGTCAGGTGTCTTGCCAACCACGCCATCTTTACCCTTGGCCCCCAGATCCTCCGGCCGTTCGATGTCATCCAAAGTCCGTAGCACACCCACAAGCCAAAGTTCAGTGACGACACGCAGTAAAATGCGGTGCCGGGACAGCCGCTCCTTCTCTTCCTTCTCGCGTAGCTCTGGAGCGAGTGCTTTCAACTGAGACTTGTCCGGTGTGCTCAATCCTCGACCCAATAGCCATCCGATTTGTCTGGTGAACTCAGCCGGTCCGAATCGCTGATGTAGTGCGCTTGCGATCTCGACGCCAACGGCGATCTCGCCGGGAGACTTGAGTTTGCAGAGACCCTCGTAGCAAGCGGAAATGATTTCGGAAAGGTATTTATGCAGCGACAGCGTGCGGATATCGGCGAGGAAGGTTTTCTGGGTGGAAGCACTGATACCGGTACGAAGACGTTTGATAAAAGCGGTGTTTTTCTTCAATGCCGAATCGAGCGATTTGCTAACTGAGAAGATATCTTTGGATTGTTAGCACTAGCGAGAGGTATAATGAAAGTACTGCTTAGCAAACGAAATAATACGTACCACTCTCCCCAGCCCAAGCTCGTTCATTCAAGCTGCGAAGCTCTCCTATAATCCCAAGGGTCAGCAAGCGAAACGGAAGGGTTGAGTATCTCTCCTAACGTACGCTTTCGTTGACGTTCCATTTTGGAAAAATAACGGATGCAAACGTTCCTATCCGTCTAGCGATAAATTCTCAATCGTCGTGGAATCCCTTCACAGAGGTTGAAAGGAAAGCGCATAGATAGTGACTTGAACGCCACATTGGGGAGCGTGCCAGGCGGGCAGAAACGCGCAACGGGATCGACCAGCTGCTGCGATGCCTGTGCAGGGCGTTCAAGTAACCAGTCGTATAGCAGTAGAGGGATATATACTGGGTAAAAGGGAGAGAAATGAATTGTCGGGGTGGAAAAGAAGAGAAGTGGTGATACAAGGAAGATTTTCTGGACCGAGTGGGAGGAAGTCAGCCGTTTCTGCGGGCGGAGTTTAGGGCGGAGTTTATTCAGGCACCGAGGCAGAAATATGTCTGTGGCGGTGGAGGCTCATGCGGCGGGGTGGTTCCGCCTTCCTTTCCAGGTGAATGCAATTGAGCCCTACTCTGTATTCATCTTAAGTAGGATCGATCCATCATCTCAGAGCCCGGTATTCATCTTGAAGAGCTACACTCTCTGTGGGATATCACACCTCTGGATGCATATGGTGAGGTTCAACGCATTTAAAGCTTGCAATGGTTCCAGCTATTTCGCTATGGCCTGGAAATTGGAATATTGTTCAGGTGAGGAAGATAGCCCCTGGCCATCGAGGAACTCCTTTTAGCTTTCGAACCGACTTGGTATCCTCCATTCTCGGATACTCCTGAATTGAACTGACAATCGCTCAGTCTAATCTTGCGGGGTTATAGATCATGAGCCCGACGAGAAAAAACACATAAGCAATTCTTGCAATCTCAAGACGCGTCTTAGCACGCTAAACCAGTTTTAACATACTTCACCCCTACCTCGTGGCTGATTTGCAACAAAAGGAAATATTAATCGCCGCCAAATTCTCTTTTAATCTCGAACACTTCCCCGTTGACAAGCAACCACATGGTCGTCAGTCAGACGGGTATGGTGCCTCTTTTACTCCAAGCCTCAAGACATCAAGAAACTGGAGGCAATAAGTAACGGATCAGACGTCATTGTCTACAGGCACGTTCGAGTAGACCGGAAAGTTTGAGTATGTCCAGTATCCTCGATGTATGTGATTCAAGAATCCCAAGAAAATAGTGAGTCTGGCACTCTAATTCCTAACTTGAGGGCAATTGATACACATTGGAACCAGGGGAAATCCCTTGTTCGCCTCTTCCTTGGGAACGAATAATTTCTACTTCTAACTGCAAGCCGAGATTCATTCTACAAAAGCCGCCATGAGGGCGAAAGGAACGAGACGACCCACGGAGGCATATTAGAAGCTAACGTATGGACCATTTGCATATTAGATTCTGAAACTGGAAGAAAGGATCCAAATAGAAATACGGCGTTGCACATCCATTTGTGGATGAGACTTTGAGGAAATGCCAATCTCAAACAAGCTAGCAATTTCTCGCATCCCACAAACAAAATGGGATGCTTGTCGAGTCTCTAACTCACCCTGTCAGTGGGCCGGGGCTATAGTTAAGAAGTCGAACGGTCGCAGAGCGTCGAAACGGAATCAGAAAAAAAGGGTCCGGTGGAACTCAGAAAGCAAGAGAATCAGAAAGATTCTATCCGAAAACGACCAGGGATCAATTCGTCACACTTGGAATCTAGTGAACAGAATTGATCAATCCAACAACGACAATTGGGCTGCTACAGTCTGTTTTCTGTGGTATGCTTGGCTCCTCCCAAAACCGAGACAATATGTATAAGCTCGCTTGATTATGGGGTATCTTAAAGGTCTATGAATACCGAGATGTCATGGCCTTGCACCCCTGCCCTTACGCAGCTTAAGCCAAGCTGGCTTGCAAATCAAAGGGTTGTCGGAGAGGTCACCCGCAGTGGTCAATAGTTGTGGCGTTGTGGCGTGACTTCTCGGTCTACCTATCACACCTTTCAACTGCCACAGCCATGATCACCCATCTTCTAAAAAAATCCGATGAAGAAAGATTAGCAATATGAATTACGGGGGAATCACGCTTAGACCAAAGACCATGGGGAAAGCCATAAGGGATGGACATCGTGACAAAAGCAATGAATGCCGACCTAGAAACGTCTCCCCCGGCCTGAACGAATATCTCATTTCTCCGCGTGTTGTCGACATGTTAGTGGGAAGGCTTCCGCACGAGCTTCGTATAGTGACACGACTGAGTTTGCCAACGGTTCAGTTGGCAAATGTGCATTTATATATCGACAAAGATCTGGTGAAGAAATCGCGAGCCTGGGTGGCAATCCGAATCTCCGACGCGAAGTCGGTATATAATATTGCTAAGTCGCGCAAGTATGCATGCATCATGGTTGTGCTGAATGAGCTAGAGAAAACCGCTACAGCTGTCACCGCCCCGTATTCTTTGGTTTAGCGTCCTACCATTAGCATGCCTTGACGATCTAAGGGACCTCAAGCTGAAAATCAAGTCAAACGTCACATACCAACGCAACAGTTGCTCTGACAAGCTCCTCCGTGCTAGCGGTCCGAGAAAACGGAAGGCCAGCCAGGATAGATGCGCTAATATAGAGCGAGTTTCGGCGTAGAAACCGCCTTTATATCCAAGGCTGCGCAATCTCAATGAGACTTACTACCCGTGGACGCAGGCTCAAAGATCCCATAGAACTTGAGAATACAAAGATATGAAGTTTCTGCTATCCTATAGACGTCGATATGGTATATGTTGACAGGAGCAAAGGAGGTGGGCTACTGGGTCTTAAAACATATTCAAGGGGATCCAATAGTGTGCATGTGAAAGGAGATCATGATCATAATAGCTACTGCTGTGGTTCATTTATGCTGTTCTCAAGTAAAGAGAGATGGTTTCAATTCTATTCTCAATGCCAGAGTAGATAATACATAATACAGTAGTTACATTGCTAGAAAAGAACAGCAACAAACAAAATGAAACATGGTAGATAGACATAGACAGTGATACACATGTAGAAGAAAATGAAACCAAAAAGGAGAGCTCAAAAAGGCTCATTTCTTGGTTATTTTCCAAAGAGAAAGATGCTTTCCGCTTTTCTTCCCTCCCTTCTCTTCCTCGTTCCAGTTCATCATAATTTGGAGATACCACATACACGGCACGATTCCCTTCCCTCATATTCAGCCTGCGATATCACCGGCAAGAAAGCGGGATATGAATCTCTTCCTTCCACTTTATGAGGGCCTTCATCTATTCATTTCTCCAATTTCTGAGCCTTGGACTCCGTGTTCTTGCTTTCTGTGTCGTGCCATGCCTTGGGGATCAACTCGTCGCTCTCAGCCTGCTCGCCCTCCTTTGCTGCGGCGCTGGCAACCTGAGTCTTGACATCCTTTGCGCGGGCATGCTTCTCATCGGGATGCGAGGCGGAATCGGCCTTGACGGCGGCGGAAACCTCCTCCTTCGAGGGAGCGGCGGGGTTCTCAGCGGGAGCATCGTCGTCCTCTAGCTCGGCGCCGTAAACGTCGGGGTGCGCACGGAAGCAATCCTGCATGCCCCTGTTGAGTCATAGTCAGCAAAAACCCATGAATAACCATAAAAAAAAAAAAACCAGGGAAAACGAACTTGAACTTCTCAATACAATCAATCCCCTTCGGCTCATCATTCGAATACACAAAGCAGCTGAACGCCGCCTTGAACTCCTCCCCGCAAGGACCATGAGCCATTCCGCCCAGACACGGGCAGTCCCAGTTAATCTCGCCAGTCTCCGGGTTGAACGCAGCCTCCTGACCAGCTTCCTCCTCTAGCTGCTCGGGCGATTTCCCAGCGGCGGCGGCGCGCGCAGCTTGTTCCCTCTGTCGTTCTTGTTCGCGTTCTTTGCGGATCTTCGGCTCGATGGAGTTGAGTGTAGGGAGGGATTTCTCGTCGACGGGCTCGTAGCCATAGACTTGGTTTCGCAGGGAGACTGTCGTCGTACATATTAGCAAATTATCATGGGTTGTGTCGGGGATGGAAGCGGGCAAAAAAGTTTGACGTACACGACTGCTGGCCCGCGAAAAGATCACTCGTATTATAATAGTAAACCGCACCAGCGGCCAATCCAACCCTCACAACAGTACTCTTCCAACTCCTGGACTTGGGCGTCCCCGAGGAGGAAGCGGTGCTTACCAATCGCCTGCTAGCCGGGCCACGGACTGCGACGAACGGCGTCGACGGGGCGCGGAGGAGAGCTCTGGGGGCTGGACGGAACATGGTGGATTATGCGCGGGGGTAAATGAGGTGGAGGGGTGAGGAAGAGAAAAGAGAGAGAGGGACGGGGTCAATGGAAGAGAGAGATAGACATCGACCGGTGGAATTGGGGAAGAAGCCGGTTCGAACTGGAGCGGATGAAGTCAAGAGAGCGAGGTGTGGATTTGTAGCCTGAGGCATAAACATACTCAACAACCAATCAGAGGCCGGGTTTACTTCAGACGACAGTCTCTAAAACTTCGCGCGAGAAACAGACATGCTTGGCCTCTCTTGACCCTACGGCAATCATGAACGTAAACAAAGAACAGAGTTACTGGCACAGGTTCTTCCATTGGACGATCGTTGTCCTCAATGCGCCGGAGCTTACCCAGGTATGTTTAATTCCTGATAGATAACTACGCACCATGCACTGGTTCTAATATCCGGGACTACCAGGTAGTATCTCATAAGCAGCAACGGGAATACCCAGTTTAAAGCGCTTCTGATGCTGTCTTTCATTCAAAATGCTTTTTCAATATCACGTGCTGGTAGGGTGATCAAGCTATTCCTTATGTGGTCAATCTAGTACATGACTCGAGATATCAGCATCTGATTGGTTAATCTAAGTCGATGTACTGAATTGCAGGGTTCCCCTCACTCTTTATCTCTGTCGACTAAACTCCAACCTCACTACAAGTACTGCCACTCCTTGGCCGACACAGTACCAGACAGATAACCCCGTTAATTAATATGCTTCATAACTTGGTTAGCTTTTCCCGGAGGGACTTGAAGCCCTATGTCGCCGAGTTCCTTGGAACAGCCCTCCTGATTGTCATTGGAGACGGAGTGGTCGCTCAATGCCTCCTCTCTGATTATCGTTACGGCACCTGGCTATCAATCAACATTGCCTGGGCGGCAGCTGTTTGTCTTTCCGGCTATCTCTCCGATCCCAGTCCTACCATCAACCCCGCCGTCACCATCTGCCTGGCCCTCGTTCGTCCTACCCCGGGACAGTGGCGGAAGGTACCAGGCAAGCTGTTCGCCCAGTTCCTAGGCGGCTTTGTCGGTGCCGCCATCGTCTACATCAATTACTGGTCCGCCATCAAGGACTGGGACCCCGAGTACACCATCCCCGGTGGTTCGATTCTGAGTCCCCAGGGGCACCATTCAGCAGGCATCTTCGCGACTTATCCTGCCGACTTCTTTTTTACGAACTGGCAGGGCGCATTTTCCGAATGGCTTGGGTCCACGGTGCTCATGTTTGGGGCTCTCAGTATCGCAGACCCGGCGAATGCACTTCGCTTCCACTCTTCTCAGCTTTCCATGTTTCTGCTGCTTCTTGCCATTGGTGCCTCTTTGGGCTGGCAGACTGGATATGTACGCCTCTTTGACCAGACCAGACCGTTGTGACCTAAACTGATTATCTATAGGCCATTAACCCCGCGAGAGACTTTGGTCCGAGATTATTCTCTGCGATCGTCTATGGTAGAGAGGTGTTCACCTCGGACGATTACTATTTCGTCGTCCCTATAATCGCTCCAGTTATCGGCTGCATCACGGGAGCTACGGTTTACGACTCCTTCCTCTATGAGGGAGACGGGTCTCGCGTCACAGATGCAGTGAACAAATTGGAGGATCGAGATGGAGCTCTTCGACTGGATTGAGTAGATGAATGATGGATGGCTTGTTTCAAAATGTCCCAGGATTTTCCACACAATTTTATATGCGGGAAATACACCAAGCGATATCTATCAGATTGGTCAACAGAAGTGTTACTTGGATTATTGCGATATGTGACTAAATGCGAAATTATGCCGGAACAAGGATGGCCTGGAATTCTCGCTACCCTGATCTGCTTCGATTCCAGAGATACTCCACCATATGCATATGATTGTACAGAGTAGAAATCTTATTTGTTATTGTTTGCATTGTAGCCACCGCCGATCGTGATGAATGATCTGCAGCAGCCAATGGCGCGACCTCTAGAAAAGAACCCCACGGTTTTATAGAGAAGAGTACTATGTATCTGAGTTACTTTCTAGTAAAGGTATGTCTTGGATACCTCAAATAACTCAGTCCTTATGTATCCCAGGGCAACATGGTACCTACATACCCTCCTAGAGTAAAATCCCTAGAGCAAAAGTTGTACATGCGATCACAGGGTTTCCTGAGAAACTGAAAGGGGAGAACTTTAAAAATATGATTTTCAGCCTGTCCTTGATTCTTCCAAATTTTCCACGCATACACGCGCACACGCACACACACACACACAAAATGAAACTCCCAGCACTATACACAACCCTCCTCCTAACAACCACCCTCGTCACCGCAAAGGAAAAAATCAGCCTCCAATGGGCCCTCTGCGACCCCAACCCACAGTCAGCCCTCCAGAAACTGGGCCTCGACACGAACACCCCTCCCTACAAAACCAACCCTATAACCTACTACGACACCCACCCGCCGACCTACATCTCCGACAGCCTGATGTTCCGCACAAAAACAAACAAGGGCGAGCACCTCTCCACCGTGAAAGCAGGCTTCCACGATGAAAAAGAAACACTCGACGTACCCGATTTCGTCGAATGTGCTTGGGTGCGCTACGGCGATCAGCGCAGTTATACCTGTGAAAAACGCTGTCCGTTAGTGGATGAGTCGACTATCTGGTGCGACGAGCAGGTGCTGTTTGCGGGGCGGTATGAGGATGTTGATTGGGAGGGGATGATTGGGTACGGGCCGTATCAGAATGCGAAGTGGAAGGTGGGGATTGAGGGGTATAAGGCCAAGTTTGATGATGTTGTGGCTGGGTCGCTGCATCTTATGGAGATTGAGGCCAAGGTGCCGATTGCTAAAGGCGAGGAAGCATATGACGTCATTACGCAGTCTCTGAGGGACCAGGGGGTTGCGCTGTGCGATAAGCAGGAGGGGAAAACTAAGAGGCTGTTTCGGGCTATGGGTTATGTTGGCGACGAAAGAATTGAACTATAAGAATGGATTCAAGTTAGTCGAGCGGTCGGAAAAGGGATATCTCTGAGCAGTTTCAATCACTCATGTTGAGATAGATTACGAACATACAAAATGAATCAGTTCTCCAATGTCTACTCTTTGCAACTGTAAGCTTCGTCGTGTGCGGTTCAAGTTTAGAGACTAACCAATGCAGCATGCAAAACCACGGGCTTCTGCAGTGACCGGTGCCATATCCAGGCCATTAAAGCACATAATCGGACTGACTGCCCGAGTCCAAGTCTCTTGCTATGAAGCCGCGCTGTCCATCTGCAACTCAGGACCAAGGCACCCTTGAAGATTCGTTGCTCCCACCTGACCGACATTATTGACCCGCATAACCGCACCACCTTTCGCATGAAGCTCAGCTCCACCGTCAACACCATCATTCTATCTTCATTAGACTCGGGCATCCAATTCGCAACCATGGACAGCGCCCCGTCGAGCAGACCAGAACATTAAGACTGCATTTCCTTCAACCCTAGCGGCCTCGCAATCGCGGTCTTCGTCACGCGCGGGAAGGACGTTCTGGTCTGTCATCGACAAGCGTGTGCATTTTCGCAGGACGGGGACCGGTCAGCAGGCCGTATGCCCCATAACATGACCAGGTGAGCTATTCCGCGCCTGACGCAGATATACTGACCCTCCTGAGCTTTCCACGACCGGAGAGTAGTCAATGATATTCGGCGCGTGGGGTTTCCAATAATGGAAGTACAAGTCTCGTTTTCTTTGACTAGATGAAGATCACAGACGGTCCATGAAATGCACGGTGCCCCTTTCAGTCATAGCCATATAGGAAAAATTGGCCATTTCCAGAATCAACAAAGGCAAGAGGTCAGTGATCTGGAAAGTAGATGGGTCAGGAAACGTGGCCGGGTTAGAGTCAATTCCCTCATGCCTGGATCCCCAAACGCCGAGGCAATGGCCCATTTCGCCATCCAGGCAGCACGACAAGATGAAGAGCTTGATCCATTTGGATTGGTTGGACCAGTGGGATGGGGAGAGCGGGGCGAGGCAAACAAATTGTGCGTTGTTAGGAAAACACTGCTGCGTACCGCGCAGGGCAGCTTCCGGGTAGTCGAGTGCGTTCGTCGGACGCGCTCTTCGTTGGTAGGACTAGACAGCGTCGGCTATGCATGGAAATGCTAAATCTGCTATTTTCTTTTGCCTACGTCTCGAAATGCTTGCTCTGCCTTTGCCCATGTTTCCACCAGGGCTCGTCGTTGCCGGACTTCGTAGTCTGTGTCATGGTCTGGGATGTTGGCATCCTCCCGGGAAACCCAAGTTTCCTGTATATCCAGATGTTGAGATATATGTATTACTTGAAAGCGATCTGGGGGGAACCACTTACAGAGACAAACAGCAACCAGCCTTTAGCCGTTTCGTTGGCCTCCTCGGGTGCGATGTCCCCGTTGGCGTCAGGCTTCACTTCCGGTGGGATGCCGCCGGGCCAGTGGAAGGGACGAGACGGGCTAACAGCCATGGAATGAGATTGGAATCAGGATGTACTTCTGCTCCGGGAGTTGGACTTTGGAGCATATTTATACAAAATAGTTACTAGATAGGGAACCGGAGTGCCGGGTCTACAGTTAATCCGGACTTGACACCCTTGTAAAAACCAAGCAATAGATAGAGACCGATCTTACATCGCAATTAATATAGTCGCAATCTGTTATGAAATCTTGTCCAAAGCACCATAGTGACCATTCCAGTCATACCAAGCTTGAATTAGGTGGCACAGCAAGTCCACAAAATCCACGCCAATCTGCGGTGGGGCAGATTTACAGTAGAGACTAGAGCTGATGATATCAATACCCGATCGGGAAAACTCATCTTAATCCCACGACCACCATATCCCAGCCCCAACCACAATCAACATATGCATACAAGTATACCAAACTGTCCCTAACCCATTTAATCTAATTCCGCAAAATGGACTGGGACCCAACCCAATTCTTCCGCACCGACGCACATAACCCCCCCTCACCATATGCTCTCCTCGTCCTCAACCAGCCGATCAACGAGAAAGCCTTCAAGGTGTTACGGGAACATGGTACCCCCCCCCCCCCCCCCCCCGGGTCCCCTTCAACATTACCTATGTAATATAAAGTATAAACATGCTGACAAGAAAAAAAAAGCAAACTACACAATCTGCGCCGACGGCGGCGCAAACCGTTTCTACGATCTTATGCGAAAAAACGGCCTTGAATCTACCATTGTAACTCACTCATCCTCCTCATGCATAAACGAATGATCAAGAACATACTGATAGCAAAAGATAGCTCCCTGATTGTATAATCGGTGACCTAGACTCCATCCACGCCTCAGTCCACACACACTACTCATCCCTAGGCGTAACCATAATCCAAGACCCAGATCAGTACTCGACGGATTTCACTAAGAGTCTTAAATATCTGCGCACACATACCCCAGATATCACCTCCCCATCCCCCTCTTCCCATTCATCATACCCCCAAACAGCGGGAAACGGGCGCCTGGAAATCCTCATCCTAGGCGGTCTCGGCGGCCGCGTCGACCAAGCCTTCTCGCAAATCCACCATCTCTACCTTATGACGAGGAGTTACTCGTCTGACCAGGCAGCGGGGAATTTGTATCTTGTGTCAGAGGAGAGTTTGACGTTTATTCTGCAGCCGGGGAGGAATGTCATCCGCACTCCCAAAACAAACAGACCCATTCCCGGGTCAGCCGCCGATTCTACTGATTCTACTGGCTGTGGAGGCGACGGTGAAAGTGAAACGCATCTTCTCGAAGAGAATGTCGGGATAATTCCGATTTCTGGTCCGGCAAGGATTACCACGAAAGGATTCCAGTGGGATGTTGAGGATTGGCCGACGGAGATTGGGGGCCAACTTAGTACGAGTAATCATATACGGGCTGATGTGGTGGAGGTTACGGCTGAGGTGCCGATTTTGTTTACGGTGGAGTTGGCGAAGAGGTTTAAGAGGGTTCGGTGAGCTGTGGATCAGGGATCGATGGATTTGAAAAATGTTGGAGGGATACCTACAGTGGATAACAAGTCATACAATTTATTCAATTGAGAAAACTAACCAAGTGCTCTAAGCACGAATCAATAGCACTAAACCATAGCCGCATATATACCAACACCCTACACCCAAAATCATGAAACTAGCATACCAGCACTAACACCAATCCACCAACACCAACTAATCCAATACCATCAAAAAACAAATCACTTCTGAAGAATCGCCTCGTACAACGTCCCAACAAGCCCAATAGCAGTACCAGTCAACATCCCACTCCACTCACCAGGAACCGAAGCATTGACCTTCTCAATCGTGAAGCCGCTGTACAGATCCCAGAAACTGAAATGCTTAGCGTAGACCAGATACGCGATCAATGCACGAGCGATGTTGAAACTCAATGGGTCGAAGTTGGTTCTCTGCGAATTACTGTTGCGGGTAGTGTCTGTGCTTGTCGCCTTGATATTGAAAAAGTAGGCAGTGCCAAGCGGCAGAAAGACACTGGTCAACAGCCACAGCGAGAACGGAGCCCAGAAAGCCCCGTCAAGAAGAATGAAGAAATCGGGAACGTTGAGCGCGAACTCCGGAGTGTTAATTGCCTTAATAGCAGGAACGGTAGTGAGGTATCGCAACGGCCAGATCTGCCGGATGATGCCGGATCCTTCGAGGAGCAAGACCAGAGTCTCAATGGCCTTGACGCTGCTCAGCAATGTGCGCAGCGCATTCGAACGCTCGATGACTCCCGACGAAGTCCAAGTCTCATTGATGCTCTTGCCCCATGCAGCAGTCTGGCGATCAATCGCATCCGTAACCACAGCTGGAGAGGGAGGCAGTTCCACAGTGGTCGGGACCTTCGGAGTCGGAACCTTCGGAGTCTCTGGCGGGATAGCAGTATTGTCCTGGAGAGTAGCAGCTTCAGAAACATCACTAGAAGAAATCAGTAACCATCATACCCAGTAAAGGCAAGAACATACGTAGCCGCCACACTCCGCTCCGACTTGGTCTCCTCCTGCTCCTGCTCCTGTCCACTCTCACTCTCCTTCTCCTCCTTCTTCACAACCGGCTGCGGCTGAACAGCCCTCTGCCGGCGCGACGACCTAGTCAAAACCTCCGCCGGTGATGACGACGGCACCTCAACCCTCTTCGCTCTCTTCGCAGGCGTCGCAAACCTCGCCGGCTGCGCCAACCGCTTGTAATAATCCGCAAGCCGGCCATTACCAACGAAAGTAGAGCGATTGGCGACGAGATGGATATCCAGCGCGACGATTAGGTCTGACTTGTTGTAGTCTTCGTAGCTACATCACCACGACGTTAGTTTCCTGCGTGGTGGAGATAGGTACAAGAAGGAGGGGTAATTGGGCACACACCCATTGAGACCAGTGATTTCGGCGAAATCAACAAGATCGCTCTTGCGCAGTTTATTCAGGTAGGGCAGTGCGGCTGACATGGTGATACGATGGACGCAATGTGATGTGCGGAAGAAGGGATGATCCAATGGCGGGGAGTATGTATGCGATAACAGTGAGGTTATGTTATCAGGGCGGGTAACTAGTTAGGAGTGGGTGGTATATATATGTGCGTAACTCCTCGAGAGGGTTAAGACGCAAATAAACAAACTTGGTCAAACGCGATGCAAATAAAAGGAAAAGAAAACAGAAAGTGCAAGAAGGGAAAATGTGAAAGAAAGAAAGAAAGAAAGAAGTGACGGATCCGGGGGATGCGCACCGTCGTCCGGTGGGGCGGCGTTGGGCTTTGTTTACATGGCGCCGTGTGTTGGTTTCCTGTTTGGGAACGCCAAGACGTCACTAAGTACATACATACTCAGTTCACTAACATAAAAGAGTAAGTACAGTCTATGTATATATTCATCTCTAGTCTATGATACAGCCATAACTATCCCAACCCATCTCTCCCAAGTCTAGTATGCAATCCATCCAGCATCCTATCCAGACAAGGCCCGAAGATGCCGCCATCCCATACCGCTCAGAAAAGTAAGCAAAATGTGAACAAAAGAAGAGAAAAGTAGATAAAATACAAAGATCCACCAAGAGGGAGGAAATTTCATGTCACAATCACAATCATGCCGGAACGCCCTTCCAATGTATATGCTCCGGTTACATATTGAGCTATATCATCCATCATTCATCTGCTGGTTTTTTGTTGGGTCCGTCCATCGTAGTCTCGTTGGAGGGACTCCATTAGTTTTTGGTTTGTTTTACAGAGGGTTCGCCGCCTCATCGGAGCCCTGCCAAGCCTCGAACTGCTTCAACAGGTACTGGTACGTCACCAGCATAGTACCGGTCTGGATACTAGTCCACACACCACGGGGTCCCACGCCGCGGAACCAGCCTGCGAGGCCTTCAGACTGGTAGATCATCCTCAATCCCGTGAAGAATGACGAGGTATCAAGGCGAGCAGTACCAGGCGGTGGTGCTCCATGCGACGGCGGCGGCATCGACCCCGACGATGGTGATGTCGAAATCGACCGCGCTTGTGCGCGGAGACTCTGTTGACTGGCATTTTGTCGGGGTGCTTGCTCCGTGGGTTTGGGGGAGCTGCTCTCGGGGTTCTGCTGGGTCTGGACTCGGGTCTTGACCACATCCATGGGGCAGGTAATCACACCAGCCATACCACCTGCGGTGGCGGCAGTCAGAATCTCCAATCCTAAACCAATGTCCCGGGTACCCATCCAGTCAATTGCCATCTTATGGTATTTCTCGTAAAAAGCGAACTGCAAAGCGGAGAACGGAAGGTCTCGGAAGATCGTCGCCTTGTATCCGTAGAAAAGCGCAGAGAAGCCCTCTTGGCGAACGATAGTGCGCAAGGCGTCGGTGGTAGAACGGTAGTTGTATCCGGAATAAAAGTGAGGGTTGTTGTATCGTCCCTGGAGCTGGAGTCGTGTCTTCAACACCTCCGAGGGCACATAGACAATCGAAGCGGCAAAATCGGCCATAAACCCTATCGTCAAATCAACATGACAAAAATCGAACGGCACAATCCACGAAAATCTTACCTCCGGTCAAATATCCAATACTCGGATTAATCCCCGCATCAATTATCCGCCTCTTGGTGAATTCATAAACACCAAAGAAGATCACCGTACCGGGGAACGAACCCCAAAAAGCCGGCGTAACACCCCCATAAAGTCCACGGAAGAACCCTTCTTGACGGAAAATAGTCGCATACGAGGAACCCATCGATGTATACTTGGGAGGGAAGTGCGGGTCGCCTTGCTGCCGAGTCTTGACCGTATCGAGCGAGTGCATAAGCATATCACCGCATGTTCCACCGATACCTCCAGCCAGCATCGCCTGGATTCATGACATGACAATTAGCCTCGACGATTCACGGAACAGCGAAGGGTACGTATGCGCATACATTTAGGTACGGTGGACGAGGTTCGTCTTCCTCGGGCATTGTGGTCGGTTGATTCAAGTCAATTACCGATGTACTCGACGCTGTGAAGCCATTGTTGCTGACGGAACCGACATTCGGGGCGGAGGAAGGGGAGGATGAAGCCAACGACGCAGAATCCGAGTTCAATGTCTCTGTCGTCGTAAACAGGCCGAAGATGCGCGAGGTCAGGCTCATTGCAAGAACACCGCAACCCACCAGATCGTGGTGCGGGCCAGACCACGGAGTTGGGATGCGGCGGCGAGGTGAGGGCGGAAATGCGCCACCACAAAGATGACGTAGAAATAAAAAAGGAAATAGACGTTCAGACAAAGAAGAGGAATCGATTTACCGCAGGAAATACCGGGGGGAGGTGATCACAGAGAGCATCGCACCTCGTCTGCGAGTTTGAAAAAAATTGTGGTCGTTGAAATTCATCCCAAAAGAGCCCGAAATTTCGGTCGGGTGTCCGCTTTCTCCGCCGCCTTTAATAATCCCGCACTACGACTGGCTCTCTCTATTCTCGCAGCACCGAGGTACTCCGTACTCTGCATACAATTCTGATTGTCCGCAATCTCATTTTATTCTTATCAGAAAGCAATCAAGTGAGTTGGCCGAGAATCAAAGTACATATATTAAGAGCAGGATATAAATAGCAGTCGCCCGTCTTCCGACGTCATACCTCATGAGGCTTAACTGCAAATTCAATTTGAACGGCAACAGTAATAACAATAGAGGGACTCGCCGGAAAGCAACAAAACACAGTGAAACGAATCCAAAGAATAATCGCATGCCATGTCATTGCACATGAATCTTCACGCCCGCTGCCGACAGCCACACACCTTTTTTCACTCTTCTATACGATCGCCTGAATGGCCCGTCCCGCATCGTTTAGCTTTTTGAGGTTCATTATACTTTCGTAAGACAGCGACAACTGCCGATGCCTATGAGAATGGACGTTTGTGCTGAATTCACCCTATGACATTCACCCAATGCGCGGTTCTCATTTGGCTGCATTCACTGAGGCTTCTTCGCACCTGCGGCGGCACGGTTGAGATCAGTGGCCTGGTAACCCTGGCGAACAAGACCCTTGAACGTCTCCCATCCCTGACGCACAGCGGGAGGAGTGGTCTGGTGAGAAACCGACGAGTCCACACGCGCCACAATGTGACGAACAGCCTGCTGAACGAAGGCACTCTGAGCATACCGCGCACGGAAGAAGGACAAGTAGATCGCCCAGAGGAGGAAGTTTCCCTTGGAGAAGGTGAGGATCGCGAGGGTCAGACGGATCAAGAGAGCCATTTCCAATCCAGCGACGAGACCCATGCTGGCGTCGTAGTATTGCTTGATGAATCGGCCGATCGTCTCCGCCAGAGGAGGCTGCTTGGGACCGTTCGAGCCAGCGGGCGCGGGAGGCTGAATGGTGGGGATCAGGTAGGAGCGAGAGTAGGTCGCAACGTGGAAGATGGAGTAGACGCTGAACGGCAGGAGGGCCAAGGGAACCTGGCGCGAGTACAGCCACAACAAGGCCATACCTAAAACGTGTCAGCTCAGAGATGGCCTCTTCCATGAAGATAAACCGATACATACCAAGGTACTGGACATTTTCATCGGTGATGAGCTTCAAGGCAATGCTGGGAGGAGTGCCCTGCAAACGACCACGTGCGATGTGTCCCTTGTAGACCACAATTCCATATGTTGCCGCAGCCGAGATGAACGCGAAACGATAGGAGACCTGTGCAGCGGAGGAAGAGTAGTTGAAGGTGAAGTAAGACAGGAAGTACCGGGCGACGGAAAGCAGCAGGGTCAGGTGGCTGCAGGTCGGTCAGCACTGGTTTTGCGGAAGCGCAACCAAAAGCCACGGTGTCAAGATATATCTAAACTTACCCAACAAACCAACCGAACCTGTAGTAATAGCAGCAATGTTAGTAGTTGAACGGAAGCGCCATTGTGAGAAGGAAGGTATGAAGGGGACGGGCTTACTGTAGAGTCTGAGCCAGGGTCTTCAGCCTCTCAGCCAGAGGCAAGTTCGACGACGGAGGAGGAGCCATGGGAACGAACGTGTCTCGAATGTCGAATTTCGTTTGGTCTTGAGATAGAAATTATCGGATTGATAGCTCGAAGCTGGTTATTTGGAGGGATGACGGATGACAGTCACGGACGGTTCTTCAGTAGAACCCACGAGTCAGTCCAGAGTCCGGGTAAGTCAACAAAACGAGTGAATCCGAGACAATTCACAGCAGCTAGAGAACAAGCGCACTTACAATAAAACGGACTGCGACAGGGAGGCTGGGAGAGACGGCGGGGAGAAGCGTGGAAGAAGACAAGCTGCCGTTCGTGGTTTTGCTGTGCGGGAAGAGGGCCTGGGCAGAACCACTTCTGATTGGCCGCGATGACGTCGGAGCCTCGGGATGATGCAACCGGCAGTTCTAGAGTATTTTTACTACTTATGGAGTCAAAAGAAACAAGTCATATATTATTAGAAGCAATCGACTATCAACCCTCACAAAGGAAGCTGAGACACAGCTATAAGAAACAAGTACAACCTAAACAGCATGGTAAATATGATAGCCAGGGGATGAGAATAACGATGCCTCTCCATTTTCGCAAGACTCGGCTTTACCCAGCGCTGCCAAACCCGCAACTCCCAGTGCTAGTTTCTCTGCCTGGAGCGTACTCTTCTCGTCAATCAGTGTTTGCTGCTGGGCTTCGAGTTCTTCGATTCTGTTTCTCGGCTGGTTGAGCTCTTCGGGGTCGACGATGATGGTTGCCTCGTGCGATTCGAAGACTGTCTTGCTTGGTTCGTCCACCGGTTTCATCGCCTCCATGATCTTTTGGGCTGTACCTTGCTCATGGTCTTCGATTGTGATGTTGAGAATTTTACTGAACCGCATGTTGATGTTTTCTTCAGAGCGTTCCGGATGGTTTATAGTTGGCTCGATAACGATCTCAGTGGTGGCAGAGGTAAGAAGTGAGAAGCATCCTAAAAGAAGAATACCTTTTATCCTCATTCTTGTAGGCATTACATCGGAGCCTGGATAGACGCCTGTACCGAATTCTGCCCAGGTACGTGCTGTAGGCCTGGCTATGACTACTAAGTTAGAGAATTTATACAAGTACATAAGCAAAACCATTCATTTTCAGTAGCAAGTCCGAGCAGTATAGGGCAACTTCTACATCCGAAACATAGCACCTAGCATAAGCACGCAGATCATTATAATCATAGTAGTCATGATAAAAAAGAAACCAACAACGAGCCCAAAATCAAATTCCCATCCGCACTCCCATCCGTGAGCGTTGGCTTGCTTTTGCAATTGCTGGTTTTCTTTTTGCAAGCACCAGCTATCATCTTTTAGGAGCTTGATTCTCTACCTCCAAACACTGCCTATCTTCTTGCAATTTTTGGTTTTTTGTTTCTCAAGTGCCGGTTCTCAATCTGGAAAAAACTTCAACTCATGCTGTAATAACATTGTAGTCTTTGACTCCCGTGGCTTTCTGATATTTTCTTTATCTTCTCGGGGTCCATGGAGTTACCACCTTTGGGAATGTCTTCGTTTGCTCGCTCATTGATCCCTTGAGTTGAGACTTCGACATTTGACTCGCGCTTCATGTTTGTCTGATGTTGGTTATAGTGGAAATCATTAGCGTGTCAATGGCTAATTCGAGTAGAAGAAGTAGATGGGCGGTTTATTTCTCTTTCTGCCTAATACTGTAGGCGTCATCTGTACATCGCAATCGAATTTGGTGCATGTAGGCAGCCGGAATTGGTACAAGGATATACGGGGATCTACAAAAGACCCAAGGTAAAACATATTAAGGGTAGTCATAGTCAATCACCGTATACTTTTAAATACCGAAACAAGACTGATGACAATGACCCATACGGTGCATCCCCCATATAAACGAGTAGACTCCATACCCCACAGCCCATATCCAAAGCATAGGACCCAACCATCCAGTTATTCTTTCTTCTCTCAACGCCTTTACTCGCCGTTGCAAGTCCATGTTTTCTGTTTGCAGCCGTGGATTCCGTTCTTGTAGATATTGCTACTGGGATGCGCGTCGTGCGATGTTGGATGACAGTTGGTCGAGCTTTTCGGTGTCGACGATGGTGGTTTCGCCTTGCATTGTTTCGAGGGAGGAGTGGCTTGGCGTATTCATGGTTTCTGTTTCTTTTTTTGGGGGCTGTTCTAGAGGGTAATATGGATGGGTTTGACGATCTTGTCTGTGTAATGATAGTAGTAGCGGATAGCAGTGGCAGGTGAAAGCAGGGGTTTGTAATTAAAATTGAAAAATATACTGTTTCCCCCTTTCCCTCATTTGACAGCGTAGGCGTCACATCTTGAATTGGCGTATCATACTGCACTCTCATTGTTGTGTCTTACGGTTCAGGTACGTAGACAGAGACGCAAACTATACGTCTTCAAATGTGTGGTTTGTTGCTTTGTAACTCATGCTGATGTCTAAGGATAGATCACGATTGGATCAGCAGTTCATTTGAGAGACCAAAGAGAAATTAAAATTATGATCGAGAAGGAAGCATGGCCATAGAGGCGTCATATTGTCGTACCGCTTAGGTAGTCATCTAATGTATAACAACGAGAAGGATATAAAAGCAAAGAAACCAGATAACATTTCCAGAAGCAAAATCTCAAACAATATAAGCCAAACGCTATGAACCGAGTATATCACTATAAGCCATTCTTACTTAAAACTGAGCAAGGTTCGAAATGCGAAATAAAACCCAGAACACTCTGCCGTGTTGCACTCAGTTCACTTTCACAAGCTTGGTCTCTTCACGTAGTCTCTGCTTCGCTTCTTCCCAGTACTGGTTCGATAGAGTCTCTGCATGATTATATTCGACCTTTTCTCCAAGCTCACTTTGCAACTCAAGCTTCCCATCCTGGATCATGAGCCGCCTGTCCTGGATTGATTGTAACTCGTCCTGAAATGCTTGCATATCGGATTTGAGGGTCTTGATACATTCTCTCAACTCTTCAGGCGTCATCTGTTTTGAGACGTTGGTCTGCGATTGTTCTGATACTTCACGCTTCATGTTGTTGGACTTCGAGTATTTTTAGTATTGTCAAGGTGGATCGTTGGTACAAGACAACGGTTAGTGATAGCAGATTAAGATAGCGGGGGAATTTTCGTAGGTGTGTAGCGTCATGTTTCATCGTACACTTCAATGAACTTGTTTACATGAGGTCATACAACCACGAAGGATGGGGACTCTTCTACAATAACCCACGAGAATATCTACGGGGATAGATCTACAGCAGCAAGAACAATGTAGAACAGACCAAACTGATATCCCTTATAAAGCAAGACATTATCAGTACTCCACAAAGACAAACCAAGCCCTAAAGATAAACCAACCCCCTAATGAACCAATAAGTCCCAAACGCGACAGCATAAGCCACAAGGATCCGATCCCTCATCCAAATGCGATCAAACCTCAGCTCTTCCATACGAGAATCAGCGCGCTTCTGCAAGCGCTGATCCTCCTTCTGCAGCCGTTGATTCTCAGTCTGGAATGTCTGATGCTTGTCCTGCATAAATTGGAGCTTGGAAGTGAGGTCTTCGAGCTTCTCGGTCAACCAGTTTAGTTTGTCGGTGGTGGAAGTGGTGCTTTCGTTGTCGCTGTCTGAGCACTCGGATATTGTCTGGCTTGATTCATCTGAGCATGAGGACTCGCTCATGTCCTCAGTGGAGGCTCGAGCCTTTTCTTCTTTGGGCCTCATGTTGTTGGGACCTGATTTCGTCGATGGTCAGAGGGTAATCGGAGCAGATTCGATGGTCAGTAGGGACTGGTAGGAGAAAAAACAGCAGCTAGGAAAAGAGTTCTAAACGGGGCGAGCGTCATCCGTACATCGTACACTTCAGGTCTGTACCCTATAACGCGTCTCGCTTACGTTACGATACTCCGTTCTTCTTGTGCGAAGTATTTATTTAATTAGTTTGATTCACATAGCATGCCAAGATACACTAATAACACGGTTGGATTCGGAAGAATTTACATTCGTAACTTATTACCTGAGACTACAGTACGGGAAAATCACACAATCAATATCTCCGTAAACTACTTGTACCTACACCGACCCTAAATGCCGCTTTCTATTCTATTCCAACTACCACCGCCCGAAATATCATCAGTAACCTTTCTTGCCTTCACCATTAGTTTGGAGAACATGACTGAAGAAGTGGTAGCCGTCACACTTCGATTGTCTCAATCTAAAAGGATGCCATACGTACAAGAAGGAATAGCTAAAGAGAGAAGAAAAAGAAGGTACATGAACAAGGGGATGGTTGAATGTTTATATGGTTCGTCCATACCTTCCCCTTGCATTCCACGCAGGCCGTAGTGCCAAAATTATATCCTGAGGGATCGTACGGGATCGTAGGACAACCTCATAACAATCAACCTGGCTGACAATCCAATCAGCCACCTAAAAATGAAGCATATAGCCGTTCACTATCATGCCATTTGGGAACATATAGGCAATAGAGAGATATGCCTTGAGCATTTACCAACAGAAAAGATGATAGCTGGTGCTCTGATGAAGGCCACCCATGACAATGCCCATATGCGATTCCTTGGTAGTGTGGGCATGGATCGATTGGAGCATGAAAGGAGAAGATTCAACACATATGGAAGTTGAAGTGCGCGTCCAACCACCACTTATCAAATTGCCAATTGTTAATTGCTTTCTTGTTTGATATAGATAGATTGATATTCGCGGCGATTGTACAAAGAGGAGTGATGAAAGTCAAAATGGATTAATACGCAGGCCAGATAGTAAAGGTAACTACCCACCGATTGTCCACTACGGGGGGGTTACAACCCATTTGGTTTACAAGATGTTTACAAGGTAAGCCGTTGGTCCCCTTATTCACCAGTAAATTATTATTGTGACCGTTGAGAATACGATCAACCTATATTCATATTCTCGACATGCTATACCGAGTCGCTCCATCCTGCTCGACTTGCACCACTCTGGTTAATGACCCCATTGACCTTGCAGTAGTCTTCGTAGAGTGCAACCATCTGTTTCATCTTCTCCGGCATCTCTACTGCAAGATTCTTTGTCTCGCCAGGGTCCTCCAACAAGTTGAACAATTGCCATTGCTCAGGCCCATATGGTTTAGGGATAAACAGCCCTTTCCAAGGACCTTGTCGAATTGCTCGGCGTCCAAACAGCTCCCAGCCAGTAACATGTTCGGCGGAGTGTATTGCTGCAGCCTCTCCTCTGAGATAGGGTAGCCACGTTGCTCCCGTCATGGGTTCGATTTCACGTCCCTGATAGGTGGCGCCTGGATGCTTGACGTTGCAGATATCCAAAATTGTCGGCATGATGTCCATGACCGTCGAAAATGAATGATCAATAGCACCAGCGGGGAAGACTTTTGGATAGCGCACGACAAAAGGCACTCTGATACCACCCTCGGACGTAAACATTTTGTAAAGAAGCCCTGGTGCAGTGCTGGCACTTGCCCATCGCGCCCCATACCAAACAAAGCTATCATAGCGACCCATGTTCTCCAGGCTGTTGTCATGGTACTCCTTGCAGTAACTGTCCATATCTCCCCCAGATGTGAGGGGAGCATACTCATACTGTGCACCCTCGGCACCGTTATCGCTCATGAACATGATAACCGTGTTGTCGTATTGGCCGGTGCTCTTCAAGTATTCGACCACTCGCCCGACGTTCTGGTCAATCCGGTCGACCATGCCAGCGTAGACCTCCATCTTCCGAGAAAAACTCTTCTTCTCCCCAGACGTAAGCTCGTCCCAATTCTTGGTATCGCGCCCGTCCTCGCCCTTACTTATGACAGGTGCAGGAACTGCATGCTCGGAAACAAGTCCCACCCGCTTCAGCTTCTCGAGCCGCTTCAGCCGCAGCACGTCCCAGCCGTCGTCATACATCCCATGATACTTGTCCACGACCCTGGCCGGTGCTTGTAAGGGCCAATGTGGTGCAGTGAAAGAGAGGAATCCAAAGAAAGACCGCGACTCATTGCGCGCTTTACGGTCCTGCAGGTAATCCAATAGATTGTCGGTGAAACTATCGGTACTGTAGAACCCCTCAGGAAGCTGGTTGGGGCCCATCGAGGACCCATCTCGATCATACATGCGGCCCAATAGCGCGGCAAGTTTAGGGACCGTCGTGGGGTCTTCGAAATAGGGTTCCCACCCATAGTGGTTGTGGCAGCCACCAAGCATGGAAAAAGATCTCTCAAAGCCGCGTGCATGAGGGGTCCGATTGGGGGTCATTCCAAGGTGCCATTTGCCTGACATGAGTGTTTCGTAGTCTTTGCACGAGATATACCGTTAGTTCAGACAAAATGAGATGAATGATATACGCAGATTCCAGGTATTCGCCTACCTCCATCACGCATGACTTCTTGAAATGAGACCACACGATCGTTCAGATAGCCTTCATATCCTGGTTTTCCTTTCATTTCGCTTGAGATCCGCTCTGCCATAGTCCCAATACCGGCGATGTGGTGATCGGTTCCTATTGATAATGATGTGAGCTAAGTGGCTGTCAAGTGCCTCGGGCGATCATGTACCACTCAGGAGCATAGATCGTGTGGGGGAGCAAGCTGATGCAACATGAAAGTCCGCGAGCCGCATGCCTTCCTGGGCGATTTGATCTAGGTATGGTGTCTCGATTTCGCCGCCATAGCACCCGAGATCTGAGAACCCCAGATCATCGGCAAGAATGATGAGGACATTGGGTCGTTGGGCCGTCATTTCCAAAGCTCGTGAGAAAAAAAAAAAATAAATCTCGAGTCAATTGTGAAAAGATTTTGGTGGGCGACTCAACCTTTAAGAACCTTGGCCTTTACCTCAACCTATAAGACTTCGGGAGTCGGGCTCTTTGGATGTTGCAAGTGACTCGACTGATCCGAGACATGGGGTCCCCAAGGTACATACTTGTAGCAACCGGTTTGAAATAAACAGACCGTGTCTTCGGCGCAATCAGACCGTGAATGTGGTACAGTAGCCCTGCCGACATCTCGGATGTCGGACTCGTCGCTCATTGGCCCCAAGCTTGACTATAGAGCCGTAAGGTTAAATTCACGTATAATCCAAAGTTTGCAGTTGCTCATAAGAAAAGACAGGATCACAGAATTTTATTCAACAGTTCTTTTACTACATCTGAGAACAACTACTTAGGCACAATCTTTTCACTAGACCCTGTCATTCACACGAGGGAGAATGGTAAGTCCCACAAAAGACCATCACTTGCTTCTGCGTACAGACATTCCACGTCCAAGGTCGGCATTTCCCCAGTGCCAACATCCAGCATAGCATTTAAGTCTGCGCCAAGCATCCAGTCGCCAGACATACTCAACGCCACATCGGCGGACTGTCCTCCCAGTGGATCGCACCAACCCACTTGCGACTGAGATGCCGGAACAGAATTTGCGGTGGCTTGGCTCCCTTGTCGAAAAGCAGCGTGCCTCGGGAAGCGTGCGTTTTCGGCCCGTCGAGCTTCAGTCAAGACACTCTCAGACGTCAAGTTTCTTTTGGCGGTCCCGAGGATAGGGTGCTCGACTATATCTGCGTAAGGAGATCGTGAGATAAAGTATATCATTTCGTCGCGCTTAAATTCGTTAGCAATGTGGACTGTATATGCAGGCAAGGTAGGAGGCTTACCCAGGATGCTACGAATTGGCTAATTTCGGATAATGGACCAAGGATATCGAAATTCAGTGCCAAAGCAGACTTAATCAAGTCCTGGGCCTGATGATCGGACGATAGCTCTGCACAATGGAGTAAAGCCTTAGTGACCTCCATTGTGCATGAAGCAATACCCCAGTCGGTGACGAAAAATTTGCGCAATGGAGTCTGTAAATCTGCCATTGTTTTCAAGAACTGAGTCAAGCGAAGTGCTTGTCGCATCAACTGCTCAGCGCAGGAATGTGCAAAGCTGGGGATCTGTGGCTCTTGAGGACCAATGCGTATAGAGTGTTCAGCAATGCTCGCTTCACGAAGCAACTCACACCATGATACTCGAAGCCATCCCTGAACCATGATGTAGACATCGCTCTCGGCGGTATTGGCTCGTATGTATAGAGCACGTCCTGAATCTTGCATGTCAGGCGGAAGATTGTTGGCAAAGGCCGCGAGTTCATCCTGATACTGGCTGAAGAGCGGGTCATTTGCCCAAGACACAGAGTTTACAGCAGAGCTCTCTCGTTTCCCGTCGATAAATGTCCTGATCTGATCTCGTAGATCCAGCACTCGGATCAGGTACGCTGTGATGCCAAGGTTTGATGAATTCGAGTACTCTGCCAGCGAATGGGCAACTTCTTTCAAGGTGGGATTTTTGCCCTCGAATTCAAGCTCAAAGCTTCGAGAGTCACATGGCAACTGAATTTGCATAGTCTCCCGAGGACAAAGAGTTGGATAGGTTGTTCCAGTTGAGAACTTGTCCATTATATAGGTACACCACATCAGACGACGGCGGCATTCCTGATTGGTGAATGGTATTATGTCGATGGGATGGTTCAACTGCAACCCGAAGGCATTTCGAGATGCCAGTGCAGTGAGGTGCCATACGGCAGATAAATCGCCCGACATGGTCCGATCATAAATAAGAAGTAACAGAATCTGCAGTTTGGGAATTGTGGTGTGTCGAATGTCTTGCAAAACAATCCGTTCGGCCTCGTCCATCGCATTTGATGGGAACCCTGCGCTTTCACAATCTTGACGAGTGGTATCAAGGTTGATAAACCTGGACGCCACACCAACAACAGCACATAGTAGACTCTTGGCCATTTTGCCGTTGTGCCAAGTGCGTAGAAATGAACCTCGGTGTATGAAGTTGAAAGGCCCGACAACGTAGACATACTGGAAGAAAGCGTCGATATGTTGCTGTACTACGAGCTTTGAAGCGTCCAGACCCATAACTTGAGTAGTATGTGGTTTCCCTGTAGCTGGTGCTTGAGTCGTGTCAGATGTGCCATCTCCAACGACATGCGTCTTGCAAGATGTTTCCGTGCTCTCTGATGCAATTGTCGCTCGACCTACTCTTTGGCTAGGGGCTCTTCTGTGGCGGTAGATACATCCCAGTCCTTTTAAATGGCATCTCTCGCACTGAGGTACTGTTCCGCTGCACCGTAGCTTGTTAGTTTTACAAAACTCACAGGCCTGGCGAACACGTCTCCGGGTAGATAGTATATCTAGAGATGCTACCAGAGAGATCAGGATTTACTTTCCAGAGAGATGGAAAATTGACGGAGTGACAAAACTCGGGGGGGGGGGGTGTTTACACACATTCATTGCTAGGATTAGACAAGCTGCATTTGAAACTCAAGCGTTCGCAATTCAGACATCCACTTTCTCTTCCGTCACATTTAACCTGCAACGCAAATTAGTGAGGAATCTATCAGTCAAAACTTCCTAGTAGAGTAGGCGGATACCTTGCGATGCCGGCAAACTGTACATCCATTGCGGTCCTTCAGTGCCCTTCTCTTAACAGCGGCATGAGCTGTGTCTTCCATGATCGGATTTCTTATCGGTAGAGGGCCTGTTCAATATGAGAACTCGCATGAGGTTGAGAAGATTAGGCCCGGGTTGGGTGCTCGTCTCTTTCGGGTGTCGCAACATGATATGATTGGTGAGAGGCGGATGAGTATCGGATATTCATGCATCCATAAGTGGGCCTTCGCCTGGCAAATGTGGCGCTTGATGGCTGATGGGAGAATAACGCGGCAGTCAGTGGCCGCTTGCTCGACAATCATGAAGTATTCTCGCCCGGAGAAATTTGTTTTAGATATAGGAAGGGCATATCCTTGATGGATATTAATATTATATTCAAATACGCTGTGGTTGTTGAGCAAATCCATGTGAAAATGCCGCGAGCAAAAAACAAAAACATACAACAGCTGGGACTCGCTGATCCACTCAACTACTACTAATTGGGAGTCACCTACGATAAGACTACATTGTAATGCTACAAGTTTAGATGCATTTTACCGGCATGAGTGAACCAGGGAGGACCCAAATAGACCATCGTTGGAGCTTTAAGCTCCCTAAGGCTCGCCGTGTCACCGTGTATGCCTTTTGAGGTGGTTGTTGGTCCTAAGAGCAGGAATAACACATTATCCAGCTCCGACTGCCCCACGAATATGCCATGGATGTTATGACTACTCCAGCTCTTACACTCCAATTAACAATGCTCAACAGCCTCCTTACCAGCAGTTACCTACAATACAAGTCGGACACTAACACAGTCGCCTCCTGGCTGGCGAGCACAGCCAGAAAATGTGGATACGCAGCAGATCTCTTGACAAAAGGCAAACAAAAACAACAGGGTAGTGGTAGACTGAAAGGGAAAGCGAGAAAGCTGGCCCGAAATGCTCCCACGAAACCTACGCCTTCGACTCCTCCGGCTCAGACGTATATCATTGCTATCAAGGATTTTATTGGGTTGGCGGAGTACATTGCGGGCTACAAGGGAACCCGCGTGGAGGTTCCAGAGGGCTTTGCTTCTTCGCTTCACCGTGCGATTGCTGTGAGACGATCGCATGGTACTGATGTTTCTGAGGCTCCGAGGAAGACGACGGAAAGCCAGGCTTCGGATGACCGGCACTCGTATTTCATTGGGGTTCTGGAGCATGTACGGGACACTCTGCGTCCTTTGATGCCCGAAAGTCTCAAGAACATGGAGTCAGAGACAAAGCCGGCGGATGCGGAGAAGTTGTCCAATTTATTCGACAAGTTGGAGCTTTTCGAGCCGTCTGAGGACTTCCTCAATGCCCCTGATGCTACCCCCTCAGCGCCAGGCGAGCCGCCTTCTGCCGCTCGCTACGAGGCTGAAAGACTTCAAGGCTTTGAAGAGGCCCTTCTCCTGTTCCAGCTTCTTGTGCAGGATATGGGCAAGATTCGGGCGGTCATTCTGGAAGCATGGTCAGGGTACAAAATGGGAATGTTCGACCTGGTATCCGCGTCTGTGACGACCAATACTGCGGTGGACATTGCTCGGCGCATGGAGGAAGACGCGCAGCCTATACTTGACAAGCACGGTGGATCCGAGAAACTTCTGAAATTGCTGCATCTTGGCTACTGCATTGAACGCGAAGAGGAACCTACCTACAAGGAAAGACCAGATGACTTCCTCAATCTACGAGTATACGACCTTGCAGAGAAGGCTTTCTGGCCTACCTATCTTCTCTTGGAGGGATTCTGCGCCATTGCTAAAGGTAGAAAAAACATTCCACAATACAAGCCCGGTCACTACGGAACGTACAATCCGTTGAACGATCGCTCCAAGATGACAGACCGCGAAAAGTCCTACGAAGACAGAGCCCTCCTGATGGAGATGCTATCGGAAATCAATTTTTTGTGCAAGGCTAGTCCGACGCCGATGTCTTGGGAAGACGAGTTGACCAGTGGCTTGCGGAAGACGCTGTGTGAAACTGGCAAGATTCCGCTATGGCTCACATTTGCCGCCCACCTTTGGTTGGACACTCACCACACGCTCAGAAACGAGGTGTCACGAGCATATGACGATCTATATGAAGCAGCTGTGAAAATGGGAGGCTCGATCAAGGAGATCCTCGACTTCCATCGCTCACTCAGAGTTGACAACTGGCCGCGATCAAATGACATGGCGTTTATGATCTTGCTCGAGCGCATCGAATGGGTGGTCGAAGAAGACACACTGCAGGACGCTAGGCGAAGGGCTGGCCGGCCGGTTGGACAACCTTTCGACTGGCTCAAACAACATCCCATCTACGCTGGTCTCTACCTCTATCATATCAAGGCCATGTTCCAGGAAATGGGGATTACATTTGTTGGCGCTTGGGGCTCGGTCATGTACGCCGGACACTTATACAACGCCGTGCGTCAGGAAAAGCTTCTCAACACTCGATGGGATGATATGGAACTCCTCTTCGTGCTACACGAGAATTTCTTCGTGGGAGGTAGACCCAAAACACCAGACGATTACCTGAAGAGATTTGTTCTGAGCCTGGGAGCATCCGCATCAACATTCGCCAAAAACAAGCGCAATCAACAAATGGAAGAATCCAAAAGGGGCCCCAGGAGTCTTACAGAACTCGCACCGGTTGCGCGAATGTTCCATCAACGCTACTGCGAAACGGGCGCCAGAACCGATCTAGCCCCCGAAGACCTTGAAACAATCCTATCAAAAGGCATGTGGGAAGAAAACGAAGAAGAAAGTGCCGAAATGTCCGCAGCAGATGGCCAAGACCTCCGCGTCTTCGCCCGAAGCGAACAACCCTCAAAGGAACAACGCCATCGCCGCCGCCGCTTCACCCCCCCGCAACTCCTCCGAGCCCTCCGCAACTCCCTCGGCGCTGAAGCCCTCGAGTTCTCCTTCGACTACCTCAAAATGCACAAGATCTGCTGGACGCTCCTGCGCGCTGTGGAGCGACAGTGTCGTCCGCACTTGACACAGATGTTCGGACCGATGTACATTGAGCATGAGAACCAGCTGCCGTATGTTGTCAGCTATGTGTTTATGGCTGCTACCAAGACTGATCGGATTAATGCGGTTATTGCGAAGAAGAAGGAGAAAGTTGTTACTAGTGCGCTGTTGGTGGAGGCAGCGGGTGTGCTGGGTGAGCATATTCGGGATGGTGTTGGGGCGGCTGTGAGTCGGGAGATGGGGTTTCCGTATGAGATTAATATACATTAGACATTCCTAGATGACTGCCCAGGATTTGTTTACTAGCAATGAGCCCAACACAAAATTTCATCCATACCATGGAACACACAGGTATTCGCTACATAATAGTCCTTAGATAAAAGTCTGTCGGTGGTTTTTGAAGTACGATATCGTAGATAAGGGATCAGGCAACCAACCACTTTTGCTCATCACTCTCACAACCATCCTTCACACACCTACCAGTCGCCTATCATTCCACCATGGTACCTGCCCAAGATCCGCCCCGCCAAGGCACTAACGATCTCGACAACCAAATGCAAACGGCAGTTGAATCATTCCGCTCAAAGATGTACACTTCCAACCGGAAATTCCTAAACGACCACATCGACGAAATCAACGCCTTCGACCTCCCTGAACCCAATAAGCTCAATACCATGGCCCTCTTCTGTACAAATCTACAAGATAGCCACACCCGGGAAGGCCCTAAGCCATGACTCCAGCGTATATATACGAGCAAAGGGCACGAGAAGACCAAGCGACCAACTTGGAGCAGGTGCGCAAGTTGGCCCACTACCACATGGATGGGCATTGAAGGACTCGGTTTGTGGTCTGCGGGCCGACGTCGCGTGTTCCCTGAAGAAATGGAGAGGGTATGTAATGAGCAGTTTAGGCCTGGTGGTGTGATCCCCTGAGCTGGAGAGCTTCATCAAGTTTGCTCTATAGCCTCGAACTTCCAATCTTTCCCGGCAAGCTGTGACACAACTTGATGGCTCTTCGCAGAGGCCCACTCACTTATACGATTTGCATACGTTGACCGATAAAGCATGAAAGAGTTCATGGGGTCTAGTAACCTTGCCGCTCATCTTGGAGATTTGGTGACGAGTCTCAGTTGGCTAACGCACCCAGTCCTCCGTGTTTCGTATTGATATGTGCGTCAGGTGATTGGTGAGCTCACACAAAGGGGAAGTCAGTTCTGGTAGTTTTGTCTTGGCCGCATGCCGAAACCAATGTCTCTCGCTACCCTTTGTCTAATGGTGTCTTGATTCCAGGATTGCCGGACCTTGGAAGGTGTGTGATTCACGATATGGATACAGCGCTGTGGGGAGTCACTTCCAGACTAGGACCTATGAGGTATAGTCTTCGTCGACATTTGCTTTCTCTAATTGGTTAGAAAGGCCCTGCCATGGTTATGAAGTGAGTATCCCCTCTGTATTATCATTTGAAATAGTGTAGCTGGCTAATGTTAGCAGACGGGCGGAACATGACCTGTTATGACTGCCCTATTCTCAAAATTTCCGCCAAGGTAGAAACAAATTTGGCGCAGAAATATGTATGCTAGATCCCAACGGATACGGGGAAGCCAGACAGCGAACTCATCGTGCGCATATTCCTTATTCAAATCGTCATTTTGCCAGCGATCGATAGGTCTAAAGTGAAACCTCTTTCCTTCCACCGTGATATTGAACCCTACCTGCCATGAAAAAGGTGATATCCAAAACAGTGGGATTAAACTTGGAAGGGACAATATAAGTTTTTGTCAAAAGGCTTTTTCAAGCGAACTGAATTCGTCAGTACGCACCGGATATGGTTGTCGTGAGAGGTAATTTCTAAATAACTGGGTATTCACGGATGCCCATCACCGTCCGAGAATTGGATGGTGGCACCGTGCTGGAGCAGGAAATTCACTTGCGTACCTGGGCCCCATTGACGGAAGTTGTCTTCCAGCAAACTGTTGATCCGGTGAAGTCGCCGCGCCGTCACCGGTAGCTTCTTTCTTCACAACTATAGGTGTTAATAATGTTGATTATGATCCGAATGTATATGATTTATGGACTACCATGCGTGATATTTACAGGAGTTTTCAACAATCCTATCCATCAACAGGCTTCATAACTCTTTTATAATACTACCCCAGCCCCTCACCACCCCACCTCCACGTAGCAACAGCAACATGCGCATCTGCCATATCTCTAATGTCTACGTCGTCCATAAATGCCAACCTTGGTAGGACCTGACCATTCAACCCCACAAACACACTCGAAGCTAAACAACCCGTCCGCTTATTCCCATCTATTTACGCATGATTCTTGATAGTTTTCTCTGTAAGATTGCCGGCAAGCTGGAATATATCGTTTTGTTTTGTGTAGTGTTAGAGATTCACGGGAGAGTGGGCTGCGGATTCGAGCATAGATGGTTGGGTTAGGATGCCGGCGCGGTTAATGTATCAAGCATGGAGGCGTTGGATTAAGCGGGGTGTTAGAAAGAGGATATGTTTCGAGCTTATTCTAGAGACATGACTGGATAGGGGAGGACTGGAATATTGAGGTTATTAATTAGTATGGTTTTCAATCATACGATTCGTATGTTGCTATGGCAGTATAGCTCACCTCTCGCGGACTAAAATGCTGTAATAACCAGGAACGAAGACGGAGCAACTCCAGAGACGGAAGATGAAGCCGAGTCGCTCAGTGAATATTGCCTTCCTGCGTCATAATTATGCACCATTTGCCTTAGAAGTATATATACAACATGCTTAGGACAGTTTAATCTCAATAACCAAATAACCAAAATCAATCATGTCCTTCCAAGACAGTGCCTGCAATATCTACCTCGACTCCGACCCCGGTGACACGGACAGAAAGACCTCCCTATCAGCAACCTGCAACAATGACCAAGGAACCGGCATGACCAGTCAGCTTAAGCTTGACGAGGCTCTGGGAAATCAGGACGGTACGTCAATCCAAGTTACAGGATAGTTACGGAGAAGTAACGATGGTTGTTGCGATAGGTCGATTCAGCTGGGATGGCCAAAATTTCAGTAATACCGCTCGCAATGTTAGATTGGGCATGGAACAACGGGAACCGGTGCTTCATGCGGAGCTCAAGAATGAGTCAGGGGAGTATACGGGGAGTGATACTCAGTTGGGTGAGCATGTTGGGAATGTAGATGGGCAGCTGCGGTGGAATAGTTGATACGCCAGTTCTGCTATACAGGCCTACCTTTTATTGTGAAGAGGAGGATGTCAACGATACTGTTCGATGAATCCAATTGAGACTGTTCTTGCATAAAAGTCTGCATCTAGCATCTAATCATAATCTGAAAACTCTACATGTGGAACCTCTTCTCAAGGCCATGCACAACCTTCGAACCCAGATGTGTTCTCTGAACCGCCACATTCTTGTAATAGTATTCTCGCGCAGCATCCATAATAGCCTTGACCCTCTCTGATGGGATCTTCTCCTTCCGATGGATCGAGTACAGACCATTAACCTCTTGCTCAATATCGCAGCTACAAAGCGTTAGCATATGTCCATCACAGACGGAAAGAAAGGGACATACATCTGAGTATACACAAGACCATGCGAATTGCCTCCCTTTACAATCGCCATGACCAATTTCTCGAACCGGTATAAGAAATCATTCGGATCAGACGCGGTAGTATAACCCCAGTCTCTCTCAGAAGCAGCAGGGGAGTTCTTCGAAGGGGCGATATTCACGCCACCAAACTCGGAGCAGATCACCGGTGCACCGGGTTGGTGCTTGGTGCCTGGGTCGGATCCGAAAGGCGGGACGAACATATCGTGCCCGCCCTTTTGGCCAAGGATTCCGGTGCCCATGTTTGAGCATGTTACGGAGAGTTCGGTGGAGTCGCTGTAATCGTGGTAGGTGGTGAGATCTGTCAGGACGTGTTCCCAGCCACAGTTGTCGTTGATTGGGCGGGTAGGATCGATAGTTCTATCATTATGTTAGCGCAGCAAGCGTGGACCATGGAGATGGACATACTTGGTCTGGTAATACACAGAACGGAGATGGTTTCGCTGCTCAATATTGTCCTTCAGCGAAGTATAGCCCCAACTCTCATTCGCAGGAGTCCAAGTAACAATGGAAGGATGATTGATGTCTCTTTTGACAGACGCTATCCACTCGCTGTTGACGCGTTCGACAAAGTCATTGCCAAATGCATAGGCATTGGCCATCTCACCCCAGACGAGGAAGCCTAATCGATCAGCCCAGTAATAAAAAATAGGGTCCTCGACCTTTTGGTGTTTGCGACAACCACTGAACCCCATTTTCTTCGTCAACTCAATGTCGATCTTCAAGGCTTCTGGCGAAGGAGGTGTGAGACCAGTCTCGTCCCAATAGCCTTGATCCAAGACCATAGTCTGGAAGAAAGGTTTGTCGTTAATTCGGAATGTGCCGTCGCCGTTCTGCCATGAAAGATGACGCATTCCGGTTGTCGTCTGGACTTCATCCACCTCTTTACCAGACGAGTCGTAAAGACGCAGCACCAAGTCATAGAGAATCGGATGGTCGGGGTGCCAGAGTGCCACACCATTGTGCCAGCAACCCTCCACGTTAAACGGTGTCTTATGCTTCAAGTCTGCTGCGTTTGATACCTTCATGCTCAGATCGATATTGACAAACTCTCGATCCTTCGGGAGATCACCCCTGGCCTTATTAACGGGTTGTCCAGCAAGGTGAGATTCAATCTCAATGCTGCATTGGGAGCCAATCGGTCGACCAGTGACAACAACGCAAGCATGAAGTAGGCCCCGCTTGATATCATCCGAACGGAGCACTGTGCCGCCACTACCACAGGAAAGCCGCATTGGGGGCACACTCTCTAACCACACCGTCTGCCAAATTCCGCTCGTAGGTGTGTAGAAGATACTCTCCGGAACGGGACCCCAGTACTGCTTCCCACGGGGTTGGGCAAGATCAGTCGCAGAGTCACGGACTTGCAACGTCAAACGGGCCTCTGTTGTTTTCTTCGCAGCGTCGGGACGAGAGAAGGCATCCGAAATATCCAGGTCAAAAGGTACATGGCCTCCCTGATGATATCCCACGAAATGGCCGTCTACCCAAGCAGAGCACTCATAGTCGACAGCGCCAAAACGGATCAGCAGGCGATTTCCGCGGTTTATCTCGTCGACGGTGCGGATATCGCTCACGGTGCGCTCATACCAGATCACTTCGTGAACTTCATGAACACCAATTCCTGAGGCCGGGGTTTGGAAAGCGTAGGGCACTCTGATATCTCGTCGCTTGTTTGTTCCTGCTTCGGAGGGGATTCCCTTTAGGTGCCATGATTGGGAAAGACCGCTGTCTGCGTCATCGAAGATGATGTCCCATATTCCGTCGAGGGAGATCCAATGGAGGTTTTTGGGCTGAAAGTCAGGTCGCGGGTAAGCCATTTTGTAGACTGGATTCTGTGTACTGACGAGGTAGTCGGAGTTGAAGCTGTATAGGATGATGAGGGGAGGGGACAGCTCCCCGCAGATGACGTATACTTACAGATCCGAAATAGGCAATCCGCGATTCAACAACATCTTGATTGCTAAATTCAATAACATTTATACAAGAGATTCATTGCTTATATGCATATGCATAATCGATTGTATTGCTTATGCTAATTGCCGTGTTTTGCCCTGCTTATTTTCCAGTGCTGAGACAACAACTCAAGATATCATCATCTTTCTACTCGTGAGTAGTCCAAGAAAGACCATTGACAACAATTGTATCTCTCAGTGTGCTACTAATTTGTCTTATTTTCCTTATATCGATAGAAGGCAAGAGTTCCTGATCGACTACATATCCTGAATTGCGCCACACAAGGCTGACTCGTATATCGGACGATCGTAAAACTACCACTTAAATCCATGAATACTTGTCTTCCCCAGATGATCATTATCAATTCTCGCTGACTATTTTGCCGTGTCAGATACCGAAACAATCATCTCCCTCATCAAGCATGGCCAGGTCAACTCAGTGAAGCAACTCCTCCCTCCATCCCAAACTCCACTCCCCGACATCATATTATTGCTTAAAGTATCAATCGAGGCCAAAAACGTCGACATTCTACGCTATCTCCTCGATACCTTCAAGCCAGACAGCGAAGAATACCTCTTCCGATATGCGGTCATAGAATCCCTAAACTATGACCGAACCGAGGAGTTCAAGGTGCTGAGCGAATACAACCCAAAAGTCTTAACGCGGGACATAAGCCATACAGGAAATGCTCTTGCCCATGCAGTCTTGGTAAATAATATTCCATTGGCATCTTTTCTGCTTACTCATGGCAATGATCCGAACGAGTGCCGGTTTATGAGCAAACCTCCAATTGCATCTGCGACATATCTCAGGTACCACGCGATGATAAAATTGCTCATTCAGCATGGAGCTGGAATAGATGGCACGCATGCGCTGTTTATGGCTGTGGAAAGTGGTTGTGTGGACACGCTTCGCCTTTTGGCACATACCAAGGGCGTGGATATTAATATGACACAGCCAGGGAAGTGGCTTGAGGAAGGACTGGTTCCGGGGCCTGTACTGCATCTTGCGGTTCAAACAAAGAATCCAAAAATGGTTCGTGTCTTGGTTGAGGAGCTTGGAGCTGATCCTCTGGTCAAGGATGAAGATGGGAAAACTGCCGTGGATTGGGCGAGATGCATTGGTCATCGTGGTATTCGTAGACAGCTTGATCCAACTTACAAAGGAATACCGGGTTGTCTAATTACTTAGAGTAGCTAGGTAGCAACAAGCAAATTGCGTGAATTTGTACTATGTATCGCTTGGGACACGTGATCCCTGGCAGACAGCCTTCTCACCTATCTGCAATACACGAGGCTGAGACGTGGCAGTCCGCATATGGTCGGCGTCATAAACATAACAAACCCGAACCAGCCTCCTTTTACGCCTGCTACCGGTCTCGAGAGATATCTTGATGCTGAAGCCGTGTTCTCTGCTTGTTTTACCCGTTGTACAGCACTCATGGAGGGGGTTGTTGGTGGCCTGCCTACCCTCCTGGTCGCCCTTCTGGTTGCCGTAGCTTTGTGGTATTGGCTTGGGCGAGCATCGAGCTACGAGCCAGTAAGTAATTCCTGAGGTTTCATTAAACGTGAAGTATTGTACGGAGTATGACTGACGCCTTTGAAACCATCAAATCGACCCGCTTTCGACGTTCTTTATCCTAATTCGCAGGAGAAACCCGATGTGGAAGTATAGTAAGTAAGTCCTTTGATTGGCCATTCCTTGCTGACCCCATCGAATAGTATCATTATATCTCTACAGCAAGCCACCGACAAGCTAGCGTCCATCTCATTATCGGATAATGGTCTCAATCTTACATGGAACTTTATTATTACTTGTGTGCGTGAATTTCCTGAACATCAAGACAAGCTTGTCGATGTACTAGTCTCCCTTTCAAAACTACCAGATGCTACAACGGACCAAGGCGAGCCTCTTAAAAAGCATGGAATGCAAGTTTGGGAAGACTTGCCAATGCTTGACTGGGACTTCCGCGAAGAGTGGGATGTACGATCTATACCTTCTGGCCCTCCTGGCCGCCGACAAAAGGCAATCTTGGACTTCATCAACCTGAATAAATTTACTGCACTCCTTATGGCGACAGAGGAACTCGTATTCGATTTCTCCTGGTTTGCGCTTATAACTTTTCGCACTGCGCTCGAAACGCCGCCAAACCAATTACCAGTAACGGACCCTCTGGACGCATATGTTCCTGCTGCGGTCGCCTGGATTGAGACCCTAGGTGTAGGAATATATGTATGGGATGAAGAACACGAGCATAGACCTTTGTCCGGCGTTTCTGGGAAGGGAGGTCCGCTATGGAAAGGGAAGCACGGTTTTTGCAAGGAGAGGTTTGGGGAGGTGGCTAGCATGGACGACGAGCTTGGAGAGGAGGCGATGACAGCAGCGAGATAGGCTGAGCTAATGATGAGGGATGTTGAGAATGGGGATGTGGAGGAGTAGAGAAAGAAGATGGGCAAGGCAATGCCAAGCTTAGCCATCATCTAAGTAATAAAATGCGTTAAATTTACGCAGAATAAATACATAATATTTTACTTCAGAACGACTATCTGAGTTCTCCGAGGTCATCTGATTGTACTGGCCGAGTCGCCATCTCGTCAAAGTCACGTTGTAGCTGCTCGACGAGTTCTCCGCGTCCGGTGCCGTGAAGGACATTCGCGATATGGAAATGTGTTTCAAGAAGGATGCGGTTTGGGAGAGGGTATCTGCTATCTAACAAGTCATCGTCTGGGAAAAATAGGCAATACCAGGGGTACGATGATGTTGTTGTAAGGTTGAAGAACTTCTTAATTTTGTACTGGTTTTCATCAGTCGTAGGTTTTAATGCGAGAATGAGAGCCCCAAATGAGCGTGCAGTACGGGCTCCGGCAGCATCATGACATTGGTGGCGTCGTTCAGGTTCTCGCAGCCAAAGTTCAGCCAAGAACTTACACCCAGGAAATACCGATATAATGTATTCCATAAGGTAAAAGCCCTTTCTTTCTCCTCCGTAGTGTACGCTCCCAGGCCGTATGGCAGGATGTGAGAGGATTTAAGGGTCCCAAGCATTCAATTTGGAGATGAGGCCTCGAATTTTTATCGTAGAACTGAATCCAGTGACACGAATTGCTGTCTCTCGACATGCCTTCCTTCCATAGTCGTATCTGCTCGTTAACAATGGGATTGTCCATATTGTCCAGTAAGTTGTCAATGGGGTCTTTAACTCTGAATAAGTAATGCAAGTCCAAGTCTGTGTTCAGTTTGTTGTCTTGTACTGGATACTCTATTTGATCAGGGTGAGGAAGACATTCTCCAAGATTTCAGGTGCCTCCCGTTGCAGCAATTCATGCCGAGGATGTTTAGATAAGATAGTCTTTGAGATTTCTGGAAAGGAGCAGAGGTAGGCCCTCTTTGACGAATTGCAAGAGCCGTTTAAGTCATTTATATCGAAAAAGCTCTCCGTTATTGAAGCCTCAGCAGAGCTACTTGTTTCGAAAGTGACTAATTAGGGTGGATTCGAGCATCTACCATTTGCCTCCTTAACTTCTATTGCTATCTGGACCAGAAGTGGTGGAGAATTCTGTATCGAATGTTCCGATAAAGCTTATGTGCATCAGAGATTTTCTCTGCGGCTGGAGCACTTCACATATTGGTGATCTCACTCTGGCACCAAATGGAAAACGGGTATCGATGATACGTTTCCTTGAAGTACCTTCACCCTTGTTAGTCATGCCTATTTTCTACAATAATATATGCGGACGTCTCCTTGCAACAAGACTCGTATAGATGAAGGAACGTCCTCCTGTGTTCTGTTCTTGTTCGTCTTGTCCGAGCACGTTCTCATTCTTCATGAGTAGGACCAGTCCTAACAGCGAAAAACACGTTGATATTACCATCGTTCGCGAGCCTTACAGGCTTTCTTAGTGTGCCTTATCTGGGCTCTGTGTGTCCGTAGCATGAAGAACGCTAGAAATTGTGTAATGAGTGTCTCAGTTGAGACTCATTTCGGAAACGCGTATCTGTTCTCATGTATGGCTTCGATACTCATTTTATATGATCCTAGATAGTCTTGAGCTTTTTTTGTGACAAGTGACTCTTGCTTGGCGGTGCTTTTGGCGATCCGCCTTGGATCATCTAGTACAAGGGGCGGTACTAGAGTTCGACGAGAGTAGAACACGTCTTCTCGAACGATGTCCTACCACTCGAACTGGACTCTTTGGTGTGTTCTCGCGACAGTGACTAGGAGTTGTGTCTATCAAGCATGTATGAGCACTGGTAACGCCGCAGGGGAGAACAAGCCATCATACTCTTTTCGTAAGCGTGTATTGAATTGACGCATCTCGACGCTTATTCTGTCAGTGCCTGCAAAGAAAAGAGCTTAACAACAATGACGGCCGATTTGACTGCTTGGCCCAGTAGCAGGATTCCAACGTAGAGTGTATATCACTATTTGGCTGGGGCACATCAAGGATATCAGCAATGATTTCCCGAAGGCCGGACCTGTAGCTGCGACCCGATCTTTGTCCCGTTGTTAAACCCTCTATGAGAATCGGCAGCTCTTTCTTTCATCCCGCGTCATATGGAGATTAGGGTTGCGTAGGTCTACCACTCAGCACGGCATCTCTGTATAGAGTAAGTGAGGATATGGAGAGGGGACTCACTGTGTTGAGTAAATCATTTATATTTCCCAGCACACCCCACGCATGCATCCTCTCCCAATGACGCTCACCATCAACAACCGTCCTCCCACATCCAAAAACCTCTCTAACCCCTTAACAACACCCTCCAGCAACTTCCTCGCCTCAGTATCTTTTCCAGGAAACGCATCCCCGGGATAAAATATCCTCCTCGGAAACCCGTATAATTCCCCATATATCACTCCCTCACAACCCCCGCCCACGTCTCCGCACTCCTCACAAACACGCCCGCTGTATCAAGTGCATGACATAATGGGATAACGTTATTGAGTGATGTCGTACCAAATGAGGGCCGGTTCCTGTATATCCCCTGCATACCCGCTGGACTGCGCATCGAGCCGCCTCTGTCGCTGACGACGCTGGGGTTTGGTAGCCATCGCCCCAACCATCATCACCATCAGCCTTACAACACCACAACTACACCCTTGAAAAAGAGTAGGAGGTAACGAACACGCCGGTTAAAAGGACAATAAAACCCCACCCAATCCTCAATCCATAATAGGCCCATCCCCATTGCAAACTGCAGTCCCCATTTTCCCCACAAATACAGCGCCCAGATCAAGTAACCTCTGGGGGGTGGTGTCTGTTTTCAGGGTTGCGTTGACGGAGCCCTGGAGCGTAGGGGATAGGAGGAGCTTGTTTTGTTTTGCTGGGAGTGTTGCGTTGGCTATGGCCGGGGTTGTTGCGTTGGAGGTTAGGGTAGATTGCTGTTCAGTTAGCATACTCACTTTCTCGAAAGATACGGACGTACTTCTTAGAAATTTCGTCTGGAAAACATCATCTACTTCTGTATACTTTTTAACCGTCTCTTCCAGTACCCTCTGAGAGAAAACCCTCTCGCTCATCCGGATAACCGTCATTGGAATAACATCTTTTATCTTGTTTGGCGGCCACAGCTAAATTCCCCTCAACTACCAGTTTCGACGCAGGAATACCGCCCACATAGTAATTGATGCCATTGAGACTGATAGCCTTGCCTTGATCAATGGCCCAGGCGGATGGGAGTAGAAGAGATAGTAGGCCAACGCCCACGTACTTGAACGCAACCATTTATCGAGATGGGCCCTGAGAGCATCTTTCTAAACCATCTTTATACTAGTATCCCTTCACTCCTCCACATATTGGCACATACAATAGATCGGCCTGGTATCTACATCGGTTCCAAGATAGTACAGTATCAACTGTCATTTGCAACTAAGAACACGACTGCATGAAAGAAAGCAAAGGATTGTCGGTAGCAGTTGGAACAGAACAAAGTAACAACAAGGAATAGACAGAACAAAGGTATAGCGTAGACAAAAGTACATAACAAGAAGTAAAAGGTGGACATGAGGCAGTAAATCTTGAACCTGAACAGACTGCAAGACCATCGAGTACAGATTTGCAGCCCCGTGTTCCAGCTCATTTTCCTATGTTCAGGTCCGGATATTAGGTTTAATAGATAAAAGAAACGAAGAAATCAAGAATGCAGCACATTTCTTTTCTTCGGTCCACCCAATTAAAGAATAGATTCATTACCTGAAGCAAAAAAAAAAAAAAAAAAAAGGTGAGAGAAAATAAAAGAGACTTCGAGGGAGCGTATGAGTGATGAACAATACAAAACACAAAAATGGAAAAGGAGAATCAAAAAGAGTGTGTGGTCGAGAATATTCGAGAGAAAATATAAAGGAGCGCGCTTGGTCGGTCGGTGCAAAAGAGGTCGTCCACGTTGGCAGTGAGCTATCGATTAACGGAGTGAGAACCCCTTTCTCTTTCCTTTCTCTTCGATCGGCCGTCCGCTTTCCAGACGACCCTTCTTTTCGTCTAGTTCGCCGCGTTGACGATCCAATTGGTCCTTCATCTCGCGATGTCGGGCATACAGTTCGTCTTCGCTCTGTTTCAACTTGCTTTCCTTCTCTGCCACCTTCTGCTGGAAGACCATCTTCATTTCGGTTTCCATCTTGGCAAGCTTCTGCTCGTGGAGAGCCCGCTCCTCCTCCTGCTTGACGGCGGGGTTGACCTCCTTGAAGACGCTCGGGTCCTGGGCAACACCCATCTGGGTCAGCTTATCGGAGCGGTAGTTCTCGTAGAGGCTGTTGTTGGTGTGCTCCTTGAGCTCTTCCATGTGGGTACGGATCAACATCTGGCGGAGCTTGACAAAGTCGCAGTGCTCCTCGTTGTCGACCTCAATGGTACCCCAGGGGTAGCTACGGCCACGAACCTGACGACCGTCGGCGCTTGTGACTTCCGAGTTGGCACCAACAACGGCAAAGGGGACCTTGGACATGATCTCCTGGTTCTCAGCGATGGTCTCTTCGTCGTCGAGTTCGTAGCGGGGGCCCTCGAAGATCTGGATCGAGTGGTGCTGGATATCGGCGAGGATCTGCTGGGGTTAGCCGAGAAATCAGTATAGGAAGAAAGGAATGACGTACTCTCTGCTTGAACAAAGCAATCTCCTCGTCCGTAAGAGTGTCGGCCTTGGCAATGACAGGAATCAGGTTGACCTTGGTGTGCAACCGGCGCATGACCTCAATGTCCAGAGGCTTCAGGGAGTGGCCCGTAGGCTGGATGAAGTAGACGCAAGAGTGGATACGGTTGTCGATGATGTTGGTCCGGTTGACCTTGTTCTCGGCCTCGAGGTAAGCGTCGTATCTCTGCTCAATGTTCTCGACAATCGGGCGCCACGAGTCATCGTTGTTCACAAAGTCACCAAATCCGGGGGTGTCGACAACGGTCAGACGAAGACGGACACCGTTCTCCTCGATATCGGCGCTGATGGACTGGATGGCCACAGTCTTGGGGATGATGTCGTGGCTAGGGGCAGCGCGCTCCTTGGGGGGGTAGAGAGAGGTGTTGAACAATGTGTTGACGAGAGTCGACTTTCCGAGACCAGATTCACCTGGACTAATAAGCACTGTAGCCTTCCATCGGAATGAAACTACTTACCGACAACCATCACGTTAAAGTTGAATCCTTTACGGACACTCTTACGGTGCCATTGGTTGGGCAAGTTGGCGAAACCAACGTAGCCGGTCAACTTGCGGCGAACAACGTTCTTCATATCGGTGGCAGCCTGAGCGACGGCCTTGGGGTCCTTGGAGCTGACGGTTTGAGCGTTGCCAGAGCCCATGGGGTTGCTGCGCTCAACAAAGGGAGATTCGCCCTTGCTGTCGAGAGACAAGCGGCCGGTGGGAGTATCGTTTGCTGGGGGAGTAGGCGAAGCTAAAGAAGCAGTGGCAGTGGTATCAGCATCGTCTTCGTCATCTTGATCATTGTTCTCGGGCGAAGAAAGGCTCGTGAAGAGGGAGGATTCTCTCTGGTCTGGCAATCCCAGATCCAGACTCAAGTCTGTCTGCGAGCGAGAACCCAGATCTAGCGAGAGAGCCATGTCGCAATGCGAGATTCGGGAAGAACTTCAAGAGTATATTATTCTCTTTCAAGACGAGAGGAGTTGACGATCACACGACAGAGACGAGAGAGTAGACGGGGTAAAGAGAAAGAGAGGGATGTATGCGGGACAGGGAGCTTACCCATTACGGTAGTCGAGGGGTGCGTAGGGGGTTCTGGAAGCGAGCGTAAGAGGAAGGAGGCCGGGAGCGACGAAACGGAAGGTCCCTACTCGCACTTTCTATCAGCAACACATTCCAACCACGTTTATTCTTCGGATGTCCCTGGATAATGACGGATGGATGACGACTAATTGTACACTTCGTCGGGAGGGGGGGGAATATGGAGGTGGAGGGGGGAAATTCCAAACGCCCAACGGTATTACCAACACCACACAAACAAACAACGGGGGCAATCGTACCGTGATGTTATTCAACGGACACCTAGTAACGTCTAATTACGAACGAACGAGGGCGAGCACAAAAGCGAGAGAAGAGCGAGAGATCTCAAGCACAGCTTGGGGGGGGGGGGTGGGCGAGAGCGTGTCTGTAGGGCGGTGGAGATCCGGAGAGAATTAAAGGGCAATAAATAGAAATAAATAAATTGAGGAGAAAAAAATAGAAAAATATAAAAAGGGTACTGAAAGAGAGAAAAGAAGAATTAACAAAATGGAGGACAGCACCTTTTCTTTTTGGCGAAAGGGAAAGAAAGAAGAAAGAGGAAGAGAGGGAGTTGGAGAGAGTGTGAGAGTGAGAAGAGAAGGGAAAAGGATGTGAGAGAGAAAGGGGCTCATCGGCCAAATCTTGGTTAGTTTGAATCCCCGGCGGGCCTCGCCCGTAGCAATCAATTGATTCTACGGAGTACTATGTACAGTCAAGCACGGTGCAGTCAATGCTGCCCAATGCATCTACTCTGTACTCTCATTTTGTTCATTCCTGTTCAATATACAGTAGCATTCTGCATCTACGAGTACTATGGATATGGCGTTAATTCTCCGACGACCTGTCCACTACAATACCTGATACTGTCAGCGGGTACTCTGTACAAGTAGACAAAAAAAAAAAAAAAAAAAGAAAACCCTGCAACACTACAGCATACACACTCAATGTATCTCAACACCATCCATCTCTATCTGTTTACTTTTACTTTTACTTTTACTCTACTCCATACTCCATACTCCATACTACTACAATACTCCCACAGACAACACATGGACCATACCCATACCCCCGCAAAGACCACCCGTTCAACCTCTTATAATAATATTCCATCCTCTTCCTACATAGTACCTGTACAGAGTACAGAGTACACTCAGGGGAACTCCTATCCAATGGTCCCTCTCCGGTCCAGCCAGGGGTCACAACTGGTCCTGGCCAATCACCGCACGGAGGCGGGTCGGGACGGGTGCTTAGATAATATTTACGGTCGATCCCCGTAGTTATGTATCCATATTTTCATCATTGGCAAATGTACTTGTACAGAGTAGGTATTGGGAGATATTGGAGTGGTTTATTGGTTGATGTGTCTATTGTTATGGGGTACTTGGGCAGATACTAGGCACATGCGTAGAGATAGGAGGTCAGCTTGAATGCAACGAGTCAGATATCTAGACACGGGGTACAAGTACGGAGTACAGAGCAGTACTTGTAGCAAGTCTTGTACTCTACCCTGTACGAAGTGTAAGAGAAGCAGCACTAGCCTCTAGAGCACTTGTACTCAATATAGAAACTCAACCTCCCCTCCTCCGAAACCGCATCAGCCCTTCCCTTCCCTTCCTACTTCCAATATGCATCCGCATCCACATCCGCAGCTGCACCTGCATGCAGTGGAACTTCATATCACTCAATAGTCGCGCTGACTGCATACCCGTAACACAAAGTTTATCCGGTGGCTGCAGAACCATCGCCTAATGAACTTGTAAAAGATGGTATATTGGGGATAGGTCGATTGTAGTTGTCATATTGATAGGGTCTAGTCTGTGTACTTGGAGGTGTAGTACGGTGTACGGTGTACTTGTACTTTGGTGGAGGATCGGTATAGGGGTTTGTTATGAGGGAATAGGAGTATGCAGTGTACCATACTGCTGTGGTTGGGTTCAGAATTCGGTTATGGACGACAAGCATCAGACCAATTGAATATTACAGTACATACAGATACAGCGACCAAAAGAACGATTCAATCCCAACCACGTCAATGCACGATTGAATTCATATGCACATGGACAACCGACTATTTCCCAGTCTTGCTCTTCTTCTTAGGCCGCGCTTCATCAGCATCGCCCATCTCCTCATCATCGTCTCCGCCATCAGCATCGTCCATCGCGGCATCGCTGTCACTGCCACTGCTGTCGTGGTCCGAGTCGAATTCTTCAGCAACGTCCGAGTCTGTTTCGGTCTGGAAGTCTTCGTCGGGGGTGTCCGAGTCCTCGTCGGCTGAGCCGCGGTCAGGGCGGCCGCCTTCGTCGCTGGAGCCCATGTCTTCGTTGACCAGGGCTGCTGCGATAAGGGATTTGTGCTACATCGGTCAGTTTGTGGTTTAACGTATGGTAAAGAGGAAAACGTACATCATCTGTCATCTCGTTCTTGAAACGGATGCTCTTGGCCTTGAAGAACTCTTCGAGAGGTTGTTGCTCCTCGCTGTGAAAGTCAGTGAAGATTCAATTGGCACTTTGGTGAAGAGTAGCATACCGGTTGATGTTGCTGAATTGGTGCTCTCCCAGGCCATTCTTCAGGCTAACGGTGATATCAAACGTCCTGCTAGCAGATACGGCACCGCCGACACGCGACATGGTAATAATGGCGACGTTCTCAAGCTGGATGTAGGTCGAAGGCTTGGGAACGAAGATCAAGCTCTTATCCAAGAAGTATAGGAGACCCTCGTTTGCCTTGATCGAGCACTTAACTCCGCTGTGGCCATGGTGACTGACAAAGTCCTTCGAAGGCATAATGACCTTCTTGCCGGACAGCCCACGGAAGATCTTGGTCACCACCTGGTGGATGGGCTCTTCGTAGTGAGACTGCAGCTTGTCTTTGTATTGGGTGTCGAGAATTTCACTGTGCGCATTAGAGACCATCAGAAAGATTCAAGAGTAGAATAACTCACTCAGTCATATTCAGCTCGAGGCTGATTTCTTCGTCCAATTTCATTTGCATAACAAGGAAAGGGTAGCGGGTCTGACCCTGGCGAAGAGGCGGGTCGAGTCCCAGAACAATAAGAGTGTGGGTATCATCATTTTTAGGAAGCAGGAAGAATTTCTTGATCGAGGCGTATTGGATCTTGTAGTCGTACGTCTTTCCACGTAACCGGAAAGAAGATTCGTACATGTCGATATCGAAGCGACCTCTGCAAACTCGTTAATACCCCATAACGACCACAAATCTCGGAAGCCATACCTAGGAGTAAGATGGAGGATATCCAAGAAGGTAGCAAACGTGTCGCCAGCCACATCACCAATCTCAGCCTTGTCCATAAGCGTCTCATAGAACAGGTTGGCTGCGTTCTGCTCCTCGACCTCCTCCTCCTCCTCTTCTTCTTCTCCCTTCTCCTCACCCTCTTCACCATCCTCTTCCTTGATTCCCTTCTCCTTCTTCACCGCACCAGGGATATAAAACCGCATCTCAACCAGCTCATCAGGGCCCGAAGCAGCCTTCTTGCCACGGTTCTTTGTGCTGCCCGGCTGGCCACTAGATCCATTTGGCTGATTATCCCCAAGAGAAAACTCGACGGCGACTTCGTTCTTTCCGGCAAGGTTCGTATTCGAGATTTCGGAGTAGGGGATCTCGAAGGCAGGTCGGTTTTGCACGTTGAACGAAAGCTCGGCCTTTGCGAAGTCGGCTTTACCCCAGTTCCACCCTCTCAAAGCATGTTCGCGGGACTCGATATTGATGCCATACCAGATTTTGAACGCTTTGCTCAATCGTTCGAAGTCCTAGCCATGGTTTCGAGTTAGAACCGTAATTCGCATCGTAAACGAAAAGAAAATCTGACGCACCTCCTGGTCAAACCCATCCAATTGAATCACACCCGACGAACGCGAAAGAATCCTCAACTCAAACCCCTTGGCCGCACGACTCCATTGCGCTGCGCCAATGTTGCTGCTATCAAGGGTAAATGTGTCGCCTCCGCCGGAAGGTCGCCATCCCAGACCACTCTCTGCAAGTTTGCACTTTCCGGGGCTCTTCGAAAGATCGAGATAGACGTTATCGAAGCTCTCCCTGTCGAAGTCGTCAGCATAATAGGAAAACGGCAACCGTGGCCGGCGCAACTCACATGTTGAACACCGGTAGATAGAAGAGTTGTTCGATGAAAATTCAGGTCCCGGCAAGGATGAAGTCGCGCGAAGATGACAAGGGACCGGGTATAGGCTGATTATCCTCCGTGGAAAGATTGCAACGGAGGTTATCTGATGATGAAGCTCTAGAACAACCTTTTTCTGGAGTTCGCGTTGCGGTGCGCGCGGCTGTCGGTCTTTCGCGTTAGTAAGGGGACAGCCGCCACTGATGCCAGATTGAGTATAGCTTCATGCCTCAGGCATAAACATGTCTACTCCGAAGTACCTAGTAACTACATCAAGACTCCGTACGGGCCAGAGGATCTCATACGATTGAAACATGACTTAATCCTGATCTATTATGCTCGAGATTCAATCTTGTTCTATTTGTACGATGAAACAGTCTGACTCTTGGTACCTCTGCCCTTACTGGGTTTTCTACTCCGTGCAGAGCACTCCGGTCACCCATTTCCAAACCGGAACAAAGTCTAGGGTCACTGGACAAAACAGATCAACATTCGTTTGCACATAGTAGTCAAGCAAGATCCAGCATCCCACGCTTTGAATCAGTATTTTACAGCATACCGGCGATGAAACAGCAATCGAAACATTATCATCACTAGTCTACCAAGCGGATCGAGTCGTGGCTCGTGGGTGCAAATCGATTCAACAGCAGTCTTCTCCACGTATATTCAATGATAATTTTCTCTGGGGTAGGAGGACTTTGTACTTTGTACTTGCACTCTTAACGGGCATGAAGGCGAGTTACCGTGCTCTACGTATGATTGTCCCAACCGGTACGCTAACAAACTTTCTATTTTAGTCGTAAACGTGATGTTTTGCGGCATCAGATCCACTTTACTGTCTATGGAGCTCCACGGTCTCGAAATAGCACGCGATACCATGCTCTTGGTATACAAGTATTTATTTGTACAAATTACAGAGTATCGGATGCTGCCAGAGATCAAAGATGACCATTCTACTTGCCGGTGGTAAAGATATATCTCTGCATACATCATACAGGATCACTAGACCCAAGGTCATCTGTTTTCTACGGACTCGCCATTTGCATTCGACCACACGATGATCAACGAAACAGTCGCAAAGATAAAAAAGACCTAGAGTCGAACGATGAAGGACGATATACTACCAGTCCTCTCGACTTCCATAAGATTGAAACCCCTCTATGCGAAAGCAAATGCAGGTAAACTATACGCCTTTCTCGTAGTATGAAAGCCTTGCCTAGACAAAAGAATGACATGATAGATTCACCTACGATACGCATAATGGGACTTTCCGATTTCTCAAGCCGAGCATTCATTTCAGTAGCTCTTACTGGTTACGGAACTGGGCTGGCGAAATAGATCGTTGTGGAATGGTCAACCCGGATTTGCGGACTTTTCAGGGCCCGTTTGCTGGAAGATGAATTAGACGGTATCATGATCATGCTACTTACTCTCATATCTAACTTGAGTCAGCAAGAAGAACCCAAGTGCTTTCTTGCTTGTAACTAAGTTTAACCTTGAGAATGGAGATTCTGATGAAGAGATCCTGTAGCATCGAAATTGATGTCGTTGGCTACCTTTGCTTATATATCTATGCTCAGAATCTGATTCGAGAGCGAGCCAAATGAAAGATAGCTTAGCTGATTATTGCACAACAATGACTTACGTAGACATGTCCAAAGAAGGCTGTGTTGATATATATTCGTATCGTTCTCTTTCATAACGCATAGACGGCTAGCACACCAAGAACAATACATAGTAATTATTCGTATGAGGTACTCTGTACAATCTGGAATAACACAAAAATACCAAAGTCGAGTATTCTGCATTAGAAACGCTGTATTATGTATGCAAGTACAACGTTCGCTACTATTTTTGCAGAGATGGACCCGCATGTTTCTCCGTGGTCCTCCGCTGGATCCAACTCAATAACTCAATAACTCAATCGGACAAATGATACATGACCAGGATTGCTGTCGTTAGACAAAAGCCACAATCACAATCCAGAGGGGCAATCGAGTCGAGGATAGTATGTACTACAATCCGGAGTGACACATACTCGGTGATTTCAGTCACACCGCTGGTATAAGCACAATTAGAAATACTGCAGATTGCACACTGCACCACAAGAGACTATCCCAGCCTCTGCTAGTACTGGAAACTACTTGTACACATACAAGTATGCCAGGAGGTATAAAGCGGTGGTTAGGATCCCCTCCATTTCCGAGACGCGAGGTTCCAGATGTATGTATTTTATGTAAGGATTGTTCCCCTCCGTAACGGCATGTGGTAATTTATGACGCTACCTTGGAACCGGATGAATGTAAATACCTGCCGGTATAATAGCTAATTGGCTTAGCGGGAGTAACCTAAACCCAAACAAGTATAATTTGGACATCCCAGCTAATCTTAGCTGTCTGATCCACCGATACTTATTGGTACGGTACGGTAAGGCAATACTGACTCGGACACGGGAGCTGGAACAAACCAAACTTCCCCTGCCATGTCACTCGTCACTCTTTCCACATCTCAACCCAGTCTGTCTGTCGTTCGTTTTTGCGATTTGATGTTGTGTTTTTTCTTTCCTCATGCATTATTTCTGATTACTATTCTTTTCTGAACTCCCACCTGGGAACGTGGAGTTGTCCATTCATTCACTCGTTTTATTCCATCATTCCATTCTTTTCATTTTTTTACCTCCCTCTTTTGCAGGCCACTCCTTTTTCTCTTGCGTTATCGTGTTGGGTTGCCACCATCTGAGCCCTACAGTTTCTCTCGTTTCTCTCTTTGATCCTTCTCAAGCTTATTCTTGAGGTCTCTTTTTCATACCCTCTACACTTTTTTCTTCTCTTGTCTTGAAGCCCGCGCCGTTTCCCCGCCCCTGAGCCATGAGGGCTCCCTCAGTCTTAGGGCCTGTGACGGCGGGCTTATCGACCGTCCTCCCATTACTGTCGACTGTTAAACCCGCGGTCGCTGATGGGTTATCATTCCATTCCGTCTCATATCCCGAACTAGATCTCTCACCATTAGGACGAGTCGCGCTCTCCGGAGATTTCGATGCCGTGTCGCTGTACGCCTATACCGAACAGTCCAACTCGACCTCTTCCAACAATGGATCGCAATCGATTTCCACGTCGCTTCCGAATGGAGTTCTCACGACGCTCGCTGATTCCGACGGTTATATTCTCGAAATGTGTCCGTTGACCCAGAAGGATGGAACGTCCGATATTTTCGTTGCCGGTAACTTCACGAGTTTGGGTGGGGTTAAGGCCCAGGGTATCGCGAAGTTTGACCCCAACACGACGAAAGTTACTGCCATGCCGGGTTTGTCGGGGTCGATATCTGCTATGCTGTGCGACCAGGACTCCAACAGTATCTATGTCGGCGGAGACTTTCGGTTCCAAAACTCGTCGAATGCGGCCGCCTATGTTAACGGTGAAGGGTGGAAGTCTCTGGCGTTTGGTGGATTCAACGGACCGGTCACTGCAATTCTCAGGAGCGATGACGGCAACATCATTTTCGGTGGTGACTTTGACGGCATCGGCAATTCCACCAACTCCAAAAAGAACCAACAGGTCATCAACCTCCAGGATGCGAAAATCACTTCCGACGCGGTCTCTCAGCAAAGCGGCTTCAGCGACCCCAAGAACATTATCTGCCAAACCAGCGGCGATGATGCCTCCGGTAAGACGTGGTTGTTGTACGATAACTCCCCGGGATACTGGCGCGCAGAGATGGGCTATGGTTTTACGCCAAACAAGATCCGTCTGTACAACACCCATTACGACGGGCGCGGAACGAAAGACTTTTTGCTTCGCGCGCTCCCGGACAATGGCATCATGAACCTCACCTACACCGACGACAACGGCGATGCTGCTCATTGCGACTCTTCGTGCCCCCTGTCCAGCAGCACCGACGACAAGTACCGTGAATTCCATTTCGTGAACAATGTCGGCATGTCTGGTTTCCAAATCGAAGTTCTGGACTGGTATGGAGATGGTGCCGGTCTCAATGGCATCGAAGTTTTCCAGGAGAACATCATGGCGTACGCTGTCAATGACTTCAACGAACCATCGTGCGGAGGTATTGAATATCCCTCCAAGGCTACAACGACTGGCTCTTGGACCGCCAAGCCTTCTGGCGAGAGTCAGTCCGGCTATTTGAGCACCCAGGTCTCCGACTCCACCTCTTCCGATGCCTCTGTTGTTTTCGAACCTGATGTGAAACAGTCGGGCAACTACAGTGTCCTACTGTACACACCTGGTTGCAAACAGGATGATGACTGTGGCGCGCGTGGTATGGTTAATGTCACGGCCAAAATGTCGTCGAGTTCCGATGAGGATGAACCTAGCCCGACCACCCTTTACCAGACTAACTACTACGAAAAGTACGACAATATCTTCACCGGCCACGTTGATGCCAGTAGCAGCTCGTTCCGTCCTAGCGTCACCCTGACTCCGGCCGATGGTCAGAACGATATCACTGTGGTGGCATCTCGTGTCAGGTTCGTCCTCAGAGACGCTTCGAGCGGGTTGAGTGGGGAATTGAACGGCCTGTACGAGTACGACCCATCCACAAACACGACCGAAACCGACTTTTCGAAATCTGGCTTCAGCAAAGCGGGACTGGACTTTGATGATGAGGTTACCATTAGGACCCTTATCAAGCAGGGTGACACCATCTACGCAGGAGGCAACTTTTCCGACTCGGACATTAGCAACATCATGTACTTCGACGATGGCAATGCGACTGCTCTGGCTCAGGGTGGTTTGAACTCCGAAGTGAGATCGATTGCGGCGTTGGACAACTCGCTTTACGTTGGTGGAAACTTCACCGGTACCGCCAAGGGCAGCAAGAATCTGAAGCACATCGCTTCTTACTCTCTTGACTCCAATTCCTGGTCCGCTCTGGGAGGTGGTGTTAACGGACCTGTCTACTCGGTCCTTGCTGCACCATTGAACGTTTCCACTGAGATCAACGAGACCACCATTGCCATCAGTGGTGAATTCGATAAGTTGTTGGCTTTCGATGACAACAAGGAAATTTCTGTGGCAGGATTCGGTATCTGGATCCCGTCCCGTAAGAACTGGCTGCAGAACCTCAATGTCAGCCAGATTGAGCTTGGCGGTCAATTGTCAGCGTTTACCAAGGT